AAAGAACAGACCGGAGCACTCCCGATGGGGAACTTTTTTTCCAGCGGCTTCCCAACAGAAAACTGTTTTTACCGCCTTGGAGTCGTCTTCTCAGTATAACATTCACCTCGCTGGCAGCGGCATACTTTCTGCTGACTTGTTTTCGCTTTGCAGAATCTGCGAGGCGTTCGGTTCCGCAGATCCGGTCCCTTGGGGATCGCAGATATACACTCTGCGATTGGGGCAATGCTGCAGGGGATAGTGAAAAAGGCGATAACGGGGCGATAAGAGTGACTGCTGCAAATTTTGGGCAGCATTTGTCAGAGGAAGGAACCGCTCAACCGCATCATCAGTTTTATGCACTCGATCAGTCCACCAGATTAGGACAAGATGGGGCAAATGTTGAGTCAACAACAATTAAGAAGGCATCTGGAACCCAATCGGCGTACTGGACGGAGGAGCGCGAGCAATATGGCTTGGAGTACTGGAAAAATCGTCACCTACCTTGGCCAGTGAAAGAACGTCTAAAAGGTATGTTCTCGCGAATGGTGAGGGCCTCAAGGCAATGCCGCTCGCTGCTTCCAATATTAACGTCCACACAACGGCTGCGTCTGGCATATCTGGTCATGCGGCTCTTAGCACTGGACTTGGGAGCCATTTCGTTAGTTAGGCTGGACATAGAGCCTTCAAGAGCAAGCTTGGGTGACGCTCTCCTCACTCTAGGTTTTGACTGTCTTAGAGGCAGCGGAAACGACGCAAAGCATGATGATATGCGCAGGTCGATTCTTCAACTGATGGCACTAGTTGATAAACTTAGACAGCCTCGGCATATTCGTCACGAATTTAGCGCTTTGAAATACCGTAAAAAAATGGTGAGCATGATGGGTACTGCTGGCTTGGTGCTAAAGAATTGTTTGGGCGTTCTCGATGGACTGCTACAGTCGAATTATGCAGATACGCCAAAGCTGACAGAGGACGTAGTTGAGCAGCAGTTTTCTGTTCTAGAGGCGCTTTACAACGTGCATGCTGACCATATCAGCAAGGACTACTTACTTCGCGAGTACATCCTATGGTGCCAGGAGCAAACTGGTGAACGTGTGCTTCTTGATAACCAACTGGAAGACCTCTCGAATGTTGTGATTCCAAAATTGAACGAGTTAAAAATCCATATAAAGGACACAATCAAGAGGGCTGGCGGCCTTCTACCACTTCAAGAGAAAAGCGCACCGCAGCATGAAAGTGCCAGCAGCATATTCGTGGGAAGCAACCAACCTACAATGACTCACCCTGAAACGCAGCTTGAGGAGTGGGACCAGCTAGCGCTGCATGAGAGCTTTGGCGAAATGCTGCAGAAATCTTTATACTCAACAGGTTCGTCAGCCACCACATACGTGTACGGAGGCACGTCTTTGCCTTCTGATACAGATCCTCTCTGGCCACCAGCCCAGCCGCCTCAGCAAGGCGCCGAACCAGTTGAGCAGGTCCCACTGCAACTCAGCAGAAGTCCTGGAGAAGAGCAGCCAGATTCGGGCTCGTCGCAATTCCTGCAGCAATTGCCTAGCTCCCCAACACCTTGGTTTCGCGCAAAAGACCAACAATTTCAAACCCCAGAACGCCAAATTGCTTGGGTGTCATCTTCCGCAGACAGTTCCTTCCTCCCTTTCGCTCCTCACTCTGCTGAAACAGGGTTTTCTGTGGGCCCACTCGCGCTACCCACTGCCGCTGGACGTGATATTGAACCTCTTTTGGCGCCCACTACACAGCTGCTACAATGGACTCAAGTTGACTCATCTGCCAGGCATCAGTCGCCAGCTGCAAGCACTCACAAACGCAATTACAACCTCTTCGGTCAGGGGGGTGTTCCTCCCTGGTCACCCTTTTCACTAGTGCCAGCCGCATCTGTCGAAGAACAAGCGGCTGCCGGCCGTGGCTGGGTGGACGCTCAAATGCAAGACATGCGTGACCCTAGTACGGATGACTTGGACGAATCAGAGAGCAGGCAGCGGAGTGGACGCTTGGAGTTTGGTCACCAATAAGGCATTGGGATTCTACAGCGCAGCGCTACTCCTTTTGAAACTATACCGATTTGAATTGACAAACTCGAGTGAAAATAGCTTTTCTGTCCCGTTGAATAAGAATCTGGGGTCTCAAAGGGATCCTGCTAATTGAGCTGCAAGGCAACTCACTGAACACGGATCTTATGTCAAAATCCTTCACGTTAATAGTCCAGTACTCACCTGTGCTTCATTGTTTTCGCCAGTGGCGCTGAATTGTCTTCGCTTTCCGTTGTTGCATATTGACCTGGTGCTTGTGTACTCAAGTTGCGTAGTGGTTGATGCAAGCTCCCCGCTTGCAGACCCCGAAGACTTCCGCAAGCGTTTCACACTGTTGGTCCTGTTGCGCCGACATTGTTTATGAGCAAAGTGGCTCTATGATTACTTGTTTGGGCGACTTGAAGCTCGAATAGGACTCTCACAGTCAGAGTTCCGTCGCTCAGTGCCTGCTCGATATATGACAATCCCATGAAGAGCCTGTGGTGCCCGCCTGCCGCTGAATCATGGTTCAGGGTTGCGTGTGCACCCTAGTAAGCATCGTGCCTGTGTGCCGTTTTATTGGGCCGCAACAGTGGAATTTTGAGGAATTCGGGAACGCATGAGATAAAATGCCATGAATGTCCATCAGGGCACTTCGTAGCGGTATGGGAATGTTTTCAAAGCTTTAGACTCGGAATACGACTTATCTTGGCTTGATAAGTGCATGTAGTATCGTAGCTTTACTCGGTGTCTTCCAGGCGTGCGGTGCCGCTGGCACTTAGAACAACGCAGAACCAAGAGCTACTAAACAGCGCACGCGGCACGTATCTAGACACCGAAAGGTCAGCATTGTTCGTTAGAAAGACGTTTGTTTGTTTTTGACGATATTCCTTCGTGCGTTGGTGATGGAAAATCTGGGGGTGGTAGCAGCCGGAGGCGCAATGCGCCCGTCGGGAGCATTCAGGGTTTACACATTTGGCCTCGCTCCAGAGTTTTGATGCCAATGATGATAGCATGTCACTTGAAGACCCGCGGGACAGTAGTTACGTGCAGTCCATCACGAGGGTAAGTTTAACGGGTCCGAACTTGTGGGACAGGAGTTGCGAGCGGTCCATCCTAGGACTAAGTTTAACGGGTCCGACCTAGACACCGCGCCAGCAAACCCCCATCACAGCGAACAACTGCCTCACTATGGTCTACGTCGCGTCTGCTCGTTCCACGGCCGATTCTAACTCACAGAGATGGCCCGATTCATTCAGGCGTTATGTGCATGTTTGTAACTTTATCTGTTGAGCGTGCTTGCCTTTAGTGCCTTGCTTCGTCAGCTTGGTGTCCAGCGCCTCTAAAACACGTTTAAGCATCCCTCGGACTACTGTAACTGGATGAAAGTCCGCAAAACACTATCTAGTTTTGGGTGGCTGGCTGCAGATGGCGAAAAGCTAGCGGCAGTTCGAACCTCAATAGAGTCTGTTGCCCTCCACGCTGACTCATTGAGTGCTATGTCAGCCTCTATCCATCGACGTGCTGTATCTCTGTCTGCAATGCTACCCTATAGCTGTTTACGCCTTGCGATGCGCTGGTTGTGAAGGGGAGTACTGCCCCGAAAAAGTTTTCGTTTGTGGGGACGAGGGGTACGCGACACTTACATGCTCACAGTCCAACGATTGATATTTCAGCTACGCGGAAAGCCGACACCAACAACGTTCACCTGATGAAAGAAGCATTTCACTCTCAGTGGCACGGTCCTCACATGATGCAATCTTGTGCTTGCGGGCGTTTGCACGGTACTTTAAATCGGGACTCTGACTCTCGAAGAAAACTACGGTTATTTGTCTTCCAAGGCCCCTAAATCAGAGCGTGGACCACTAAGGTAAACGAGCGGACGAACATAGTGGATCAGGTTACTGGACCAGGGTGCACCATTAGCCCTTAGGGAAATGCGCCACTGTGGAACACTAACCTGCCGCTAACATAGCGAAAGTTCCCGCAATAAACATTTTAAAAATAATATAAAAGCTATTAATTATGTATGGTAAGTAGAGTGCTCTTGGCAGACCCCCTACTTGTTGGACTGAACAAGTGCTGTCGCATCGGATCAACAACCACCAAGGGAGCGCGGTCTCACTAGCCGGGTAGTTGCCAGGGGGCTCTTATTGTACAATAGAGAGTTCGGCTGAGGATCTCGATCATTTAATAGGTGTACTTTCATTTCCGAGTGTGATCATCTTATTTCGTCCAGTGCATGGCTAGCATTTTTCCTTGAGACATTTAACGTGAATCAGTGGCGGTCCGATGTCTTTCGTTGGGGCATTTAACGTAAAAAAACGGGAATCGGTGGCGGTACGGAAGTTAATCGGGAAATTCAATGTGGAATCCATACTGTCAACTACGTCCTCAACTAAAAAATCAAAAAATATCAAAAGATTTGGATTTGGGCGTTAAGATAACAGGTTGAGTGCAACGGCGACTGCAACACAGCAATGCTTATTGTGCTTGTGGGCCACACAGGAGCCAGCGCTGCTTAATTGACTTAATCCGTTTCTTCCCACAGAGGAAAATCTTCTACCGGCTAAAAAAGTAAAGCGTCACCTTAATTCTTGAACTTCATGGACAACAACTGCATGGAGGGACTGCACCTTCGCGCGTATCTGGGTCGGACACGCATCGATAGCATTGCTGCCGCATTGAACACTGAACGTGCCAGTAAGTAATTCGGCAGTACTTCGTTGTCGATGTGGCTGAATTTTCACTTTGTGAAAAACTGCTTGATACCTTTGTAGAGCGAGTCAACTGGAAGTCTCCTGTTTTCAGTGTTGCGAACTCTTCACAAGCAAGCAAGGAGGCGGACTCGGGCGCGTACCACTTTCCAGCAGCAACTGCAAGCAGTGCTACCCTGTACTACGTTCGCGACCTGTGGACATCAGGCAAATAAAGGCCAAATTATTAGGCCCTTAAATTCTAGACGCGTGAGAGCTGTTTCCAGCACTGATGAACCCGCAGGCAAATCCACAGTATAGGAATGATCTGTCCTCCTCTCGCACCACAGATCAGACGGTGGGATCGATCTCCTGTCTCCAGCGGAAAACAGAACACAGCTCTGTTGACGACAAATTTCTCATCCAGAGCCTGTCCAAAAAGAAACTGTCGTCATCCCCGTGGGCTCGTCATCTCGGCGTAGCAATCACCTTCCTCGCAGCAGCGTACCTTCTACTTGTTTGTTTTCAGTTCATCGAAGCTAGAAAACTTTCGGCTCGACAAACTCGTTCCCTTGCAGACCGTCACGATGGATCATGTGACTGGGAGAGTGCTGCGGACGACAGCGACAACGGCGGCGATAGGTCTAGGCAGGGAAGGGGGCAGCAGCTGTCAGAGGAACGTCTATGGTTGTCGCAACAGGAGGCTCATGGAGCGCACGAGATTGAAGCATCAGGGCCTGGAGAAGTTGATGTTGAGGCGTCTACTGGAGAGGGGGCAAATGGGACAAGGTTCGGTAATTGGTCACAGCAACTTGCGCAGTCTAGTATGAAATCATGGGCAAAGCGAAACCTACCGCCGGCAGTAAAGGAGCGCCTAGTGGATGTGTTCTCGCGAATGGTGAGAGCTACAAGGTTGTGCAAAGCATTGCTGCCAAAGCTAACGTGCGCACAACGCCTGCAACTGACATATCAAATGATGCGACTGATGGCACTGGATTTGGGAGCCATTTCTTTAGTGAGGGAGGACATGGAACCTGCACGGCAAAGCGTGGGGGACTCTCTCATTAGTTTGGGCCTTGAATGCCTCGGGAGTAGCGGCAGCGACGCAAAGCTTGAAGGTGAGCGCTCGTCACTTCGCCAACTGATGGGTTTAGTTGATAAACTTAAGCAGCCTCGGCGTGTTGAACACGAATGCGGCCATCTTACATACAAAATAAAGATGGTGGCCATAATGAGTACTGCTGGCTTGACACTAAAGAATTGTTTGGGAATCCTCGATAGGCTGCTGCGACAGAGCAATGGACAACAGTCAGCGCTACCAGAAGCTGTGGTTCAGCAGCAGCTCAATATTCTGGAGGCACTTTATCGTGTACATGCTGGTCACATCGCTGTGGACAGGCATCTCATGGAGCACATCCTGAGGTGCCAGGAGGTCACGGGTGTGTATGCGCTACTTCTTAATCGCCAAGCAGTGATGCCCGGGGCTCCTTTTCCAAAATTACAGCATTTGCAGAATCAGATAAGAAGGGTGGTCAGTGGCGCCGTCGGTTTTAGTCCATTTCAACAGCAAAATGCGATACAGCGTGAACGTTCCAGCTACGTGTTTGTAGGAAGCAGCCAGTCGACAACGACTCGTCCTGAAACATTTCTTGAACACTTGGGCAGGATGGTGCTGCAAAGAAGATCTGCCGCAACGCTCGAGCCAGATTTAGGTTCGGGAGATTTTTCATCGAGCAAGCACATGCACGGAGGCACGCTATTCCCTCCTGCTGCAGTTCCACAATGGTCAGCTAGCGAGCCGCCCCGCCAAGGCGCCGAACCAGCTGCGCAGCCTCTACCGCAGCTTGAAAGCCGCCCTCTAGACTATCAACCACATTCAGTCTTGTTAAGCACTATTGGGCAATCACCGAGCTCTTGGACGTCTTGGCTTGACGCACTATACCAACCGTCGCAAGGTCCGGAACGCCGAATTGCTTGGGAGTCAACTTCCGCAGACAGTTCCTTCCTCCCTTTCGCTCCTCACTCTGCTGAAACAGGGTTTTCTGTGGGCCCACTCGCGCTACCCACTGCCGCTGGACGTGATATTGAACCTCTTCTGGTGCCCACTACACAGCTGCTACAACGCACTCAAGTTGAGTCATCTGCCAGGCATCAGTCGCCAGCGGCAAGCACTCACAAACGCGATTACAGCCTCTTCGGTCAGGGAGGTGTTCCTCCCTGGTCACCCTTTTCACTAGTGCCAGCCGCATCTGTCGAAGAACAAGCGGCTGCCGGCCGTGGCTGGGTGGACGCTCAAATGCAAGACATGCGTGACCCTAGTACGGATGACTTGGACGAATCAGAGAGCAGGCAGCGGAGTGGACGCTTGGAGTTTGGTCACCAATAAGGCATTGGGATTCTACAGCGCAGCGCTACTCCTTTTGAAACTATACCGATTTGAATTGACAAACTCGAGTGAAAATAGCTTTTCTGTCCCGTTGAATAAGAATCTGGGGTCTCAAAGGGATCCTGCTAATTGAGCTGCAAGGCAACTCACTGAACACGGATCTTATGTCAAAATCCTTCACGTTAATAGTCCAGTACTCACCTGTGCTTCATTGTTTTCGCCAGTGGCGCTGAATTGTCTTCGCTTTCCGTTGTTGCATATTGACCTGGTGCTTGTGTACTCAAGTTGCGTAGTGGTTGATGCAAGCTCCCCGCTTGCAGACCCCGAAGACTTCCGCAAGCGTTTCACACTGTTGGTCCTGTTGCGCCGACATTGTTTATGAGCAAAGTGGCTCTATGATTACTTGTTTGGGCGACTTGAAGCTCGAATAGGACTCTCACAGTCAGAGTTCCGTCGCTCAGTGCCTGCTCGATATATGACAATCCCATGAAGAGCCTGTGGTGCCCGCCTGCCGCTGAATCATGGTTCAGGGTTGCGTGTGCACCCTAGTAAGCATCGTGCCTGTGTGCCGTTTTATTGGGCCGCAACAGTGGAATTTTGAGGAATTCGGGAACGCATGAGATAAAATGCCATGAATGTCCATCAGGGCACTTCGTAGCGGTATGGGAATGTTTTCAAAACTTTAGACTCGGAATACGACTTATCTTGGCTTGATAAGTGCATGTAGTATCGTAGCTTTACTCGGTGTCTTCCAGGCGTGCGGTGCCGCTGGCACTTAGAACAACGCAGAACCAAGAGCTACTAAACAGCGCACGCGGCACGTATCTAGACACCGAAAGGTCAGCATTGTTCGTTAGAAAGACGTTTGTTTGTTTTTGACGATATTCCTTCGTGCGTTGGTGATGGAAAATCTGGGGGTGGTAGCAGCCGGAGGCGCAATGCGCCCGTCGGGAGCATTCAGGGTTTACACATTTGGCCTCGCTCCAGAGTTTTGATGCCAATGATGATAGCATGTCACTTGAAGACCCGCGGGACAGTAGTTACGTGCAGTCCATCACGAGGGTAAGTTTAACGGGTCCGAACTTGTGGGACAGGAGTTGCGAGCGGTCCATCCTAGGACTAAGTTTAACGGGTCCGACCTAGACACCGCGCCAGCAAACCCCCATCACAGCGAACAACTGCCTCACTATGGTCTACGTCGCGTCTGCTCGTTACACGGCCGATTCTAACTCACAGAGATGGCCCGATTCATTCAGGCGTTATGTGCATGTTTGTAACTTTATCTGTTGAGCGTGCTTGCCTTTAGTGCCTTGCTTCGTCAGCTTGGTGTCCAGCGCCTCTAAAACACGTTTAAGCATCCCTCGGACTACTGTAACTGGATGAAAGTCCGCAAAACACTATCTAGTTTTGGGTGGCTGGCTGCAGATGGCGGAAAGCTAGCGGCAGTTCGAACCTCAATAGAGTCTGTTGCCCTCCACGCTGACTCATTGAGTGCTATGTCAGCCTCTATCCATCGACGTGCTGTATCTCTGTCTGCAATGCTACCCTATAGCTGTTTACGCCTTGCGATGCGCTGGTTGTGAAGGGGAGTACTGCCCCGAAAAAGTTTTCGTTTGTGGGGACGAGGGGTACGCGACACTTACATGCTCACAGTCCAACGATTGATATTTCAGCTACGCGGAAAGCCGACACCAACAACGTTCACCTGATGAAAGAAGCATTTCACTCTCAGTGGCACGGTCCTCACATGATGCAATCTTGTGCTTGCGGGCGTTTGCACGGTACTTTAAATCGGGACTCTGACTCTCGAAGAAAACTACGGTTATTTGTCTTCCAAGGCCCCTAAATCAGAACGTGGACCACTAAGGTAAACGAGCGGACGAACATAGTGGATCAGGTTACTGGACCAGGGTGCACCATTAGCCCAGTGTGAAATGACAGATAGGCGTGCGCTCTGGAGGGCATCCACCTGTAGAAATGAAAGTCTTCCAAGGTATCCTCCATATATATTGATAAAAGCCATCAAATGTGTGTGGAAGTCAACTTGAGGGCAGACAAAATCTGGGATGAAAATTGTGATAGTTGAGATGGTGTGGACGCATCGATCACAAGGCGAGGTCGTTAACACTTCGTAACACTTTGCGTGGGGAAATGCCTTAGGGCTTTTAATATGCAAAGGAGACTTTGCCTCAGAAGCGCAGATCATTCAATAGCTTAATTTTGGTTTGCAAGGCTGTTCATTGTATGTCGTCAAGCATGACATGTGGTCTTGGTTGGGGCACTTGATGTGAGTCAGTGGCGGTCCCGAAGTTAGTCAAGAAATTCAATGCGGATTCAATACCGTCAACTACGTCCCCAACTAAAAAATCAAAAAACCTCAAAAACTTGGACTTGAACGTAGAGTCAGCACGTTGAGTGCAACGGTGACAGCAATACAGCATTGGTCATTATGCTTGTGGGCCACAGGAGGGTGCTCAGCGGACTTATTGCATGTTTTCCCGAAGAGAAAAACCTTCTCCTGGCTAGAAATGTAAAGCGTCATCTTAATTCTTGAACCTCATAGACAATAGTAGTGCGGACTTCGAGCGACTACACCATCGTGCCGTCGTGCGTATCCCAGCCGGGGACGCATCGATGGAATTGCTGCCGCATTGAAACTGAACGTGCCAGTAAGTAATTCGGCAGTACTTCGTTGTCGATGTGGCTGAAGTTTCACTTCGTGACAAACTGGGTGATGCCTTTGGAGAGCGAGACAAGCGGATGTTTCCTGCCTTTTGTGTGCTGAATTTTTCACGAACAAGCAAACAGCTGCACAAGCGCGTTGCCACTTTCCAGCAGCAACTGCAAGCAGTGCTACCCTGTACTACGTTCGCGACCTGTGGACATCAGGCAAATAAAGGCCAAATTATTAGGCCCTTAAATTCTAGACGCGTGAGAGCTGTTTCCAGCACTGATGAACCCGCAGGCAAATCCACAGTATAGGAATGATCTGTCCTCCTCTCGCACCACAGATCAGACGGTGGGATCGATCTCCTGTCTCCAGCGGAAAACAGAACACAGCTCTGTTGACGACAAATTTCTCATCCAGAGCCTGTCCAAAAAGAAACTGTCGTCATCCCCGTGGGCTCGTCATCTCGGCGTAGCAATCACCTTCCTCGCAGCAGCGTACCTTCTACTTGTTTGTTTTCAGTTCATCGAAGCTAGAAAACTTTCGGCTCGACAAACTCGTTCCCTTGCAGACCGTCACGATGGATCATGTGACTGGGAGAGTGCTGCGGACGACAGCGACAACGGCGGCGATAGGTCTAGGCAGGGAAGGGAACAGCAGCTGTCAGAGGAAGGTCTATGGTTGTCGCAACATGAAGCTCATGGAGCGCACGAGAATGAAGCATCAGGGCCTGGAGAAGTTGATGTTGAGATGTCCACTGGAGAGGAGGCAAAGGGGACCAAGTTGGGTTATTGGTCACAGGAACTTGCACGGCACAATATCATGTCATGGTCCCGCCGAAACCTACCTCCGCCAGTACACCGTAGCCTAGTGGATATGTTCTCGCGAATGGTGAGAGCTGCAAGGTTGTGCAAAGCATTGCTGCCAAAGCTAACGTGCGCACAACGCCTGCAACTGACATATCAAATGATGCGACTGATTGCACTGGATTTGGGAGCCATTTCTTTAGTGAGGGAGGACCTGGAACCTGCACGGCAAAGCGTGGGGGACTCTCTCATTAGTCTGGGCCTTGAATGTCTTGAGAGGAGCGGCGTCGACCCACGGCATGAAACACAGCGCGCCTCAATTCGCCAACTGATGGGTTTAGTTGATAAACTTAAGCAGCATCGGCCTCTTCAAGAAGATTTTGGTCCTGTCATGTACAGAATAAAAATGGTGAGCCTAATGGGCACTGCTGGCGTGGTACTAAAGTACTGTTTGGGAGTTCTCGACGGACTGCTGCAACGGAGCTACGGACAACAGTCAGCGCCACCAGAAGCTGTAGTTCAGCAGCAGCTCAATGTTATAAAGGCACTTTACCGTGTACATTCGGACCATATAGCTAGAGATGCTGAAGTCTGCGAGCACATCCTAAGGACCCAGCAGCAAACCGGCATATATGAGCTTTTGGATAGCCAGCAGGCAAGCCTGAACAATGTTTCAATTTCGAAATTAGTGCAATTGAAAAATAAAATAAAAGACGCAGTACGTAGCGCCGGTGGGCTCCTAAAATATCAGGGGCCAACACCGCGACGCTCAGAAGCGCTACGGGACCACAGTGCTAGCAGCATGTTCTCGCGAGACAGTGAACCGACAAATATTATTCCTGAAGCACCGCATGGAACGTTGGGTCAACAAATGCTGCACGAAAGATCTGCCGAAGATACCGGACGAGTTTTCGACTCAGCAGCCGTTTCATCGAGCAAAAGTATGCACGGAGGCACGCCATTCCTTCCTGGTGCAGTCCCACAGTGGTCAGCTAGCCAGCCGTCTCACCAAGGCGCCGAACCAGCTGCGCAGCCTCTACCGCAACTTGAAAGCCGCCCACTAGACCATCAACCACAGTGGGTCATGTCAAAGACTCTTGAACAATCACCAGGCTCTTGGACGTCTTGGCTGCACGCAGCACACCAACCGTTTCATAGCCCAGAACGCCATCAGCCTCAGGAGCCTTCTTTCCCAGCGCGTTCCGTTGATCGTGTCGCTCCTCAGTTTGCTCCTGGGGGATTTTCTGCGGGCCCAATCGGGCGACCCGCAGCCACTGGACGCGATATTGGACCTCTTTTGGCGCCCACTACACAGCTGCTACAACGGACTCCAGTTGACTCATCTGCCAGGCTTCATTCGTCAGCTGCAGGCCCTCACACACGCGAGTACAGCCTCTTCGGGGGAGGGGGAACTTTTCCCTGGTCACCCTTTTCACTAATGTCAGCCACATCTGTCGAAGAACAAGCGGCTGCCGGCCGTGGCTGGGTGGACGCTCAAATGCAAGACATGCGTGACCCTAGTACGGATGACTTGGACGAATCAGAGAGCAGGCAGCGGAGTGGACGCTTGGAGTTTGGTCACCAATAAGGCATTGGGATTCTACAGCGCAGCGCTACTCCTTTTGAAACTATACCGATTTGATTTGACAAACTCGAGTGACAATGGCTTTTCTATCCCGTTGCATAAGGCTCTGGGGTCTCAAAGGGATCCTGCCACTTGGGCTGCAAGGGAACTCATTGAAGGAGGGTCTAGTGTCAAAATCCTTCATGTTAGTAACCCAGTGCTTACCTGTGTCATTGTTTTCGCCAGCGGCGCTGAATTGTCTTCGCTTTCCGTTGTTGCACATTGACGTGATGCTTGTCCAACTCACCCTGCTTCGCGATTGGTCCAAGCTCTCCGCTTGCAGACCCCGAAGACTTCCGCAAGCGTTTCACACTGTTGGTCCTGTTGCGCCGACATTGTTTATGAGCAAAGTGGCTCTATGATTACTTGTTTGGGCGATTTGAAGCTCGAATAGGACTCTCACAGTCAGAGTTCCGTCGCTCAGTGCCTGCTCGATATATGACAATCCCATGAAGAGCCTGTGGTGCCCGCCTGCCGCTGAATCATGGTTCAGGGTTGCGTGTGCACCCTAGTAAGCATCGTGCCTGTGTGCCGTTTTATTGGGCCGCAACAGTGGAATTTTGAGGAATTCGGGAACGCATGAGATAAAATGCCATGAATGTCCATCAGGGCACTTCGTAGCGGTATGGGAATGTTTTCAAAGCTTTAGACTCGGAATACGACTTATCTTGGCTTGATAAGTGCATGTAGTATCGTAGCTTTACTCGGTGTCTTCCAGGCGTGCGGTGCCGCTGGCACTTAGAACAACGCAGAACCAAGAGCTACTAAACAGCGCACGCGGCACGTATCTAGACACCGAAAGGTCAGCATTGTTCGTTAGAAAGACGTTTGTTTGTTTTTGACGATATTCCTTCGTGCGTTGGTGATGGAAAATCTGGGGGTGGTAGCAGCCGGAGGCGCAATGCGCCCGTCGGGAGCATTCAGGGTTTACACATTTGGCCTCGCTCCAGAGTTTTGATGCCAATGATGATAGCATGTCACTTGAAGACCCGCGGGACAGTAGTTACGTGCAGTCCATCACGAGGGTAAGTTTAACGGGTCCGAACTTGTGGGACAGGAGTTGCGAGCGGTCCATCCTAGGACTAAGTTTAACGGGTCCGACCTAGACACCGCGCCAGCAAACCCCCATCACAGCGAACAACTGCCTCACTATGGTCTACGTCGCGTCTGCTCGTTCCACGGCCGATTCTAACTCACAGAGATGGCCCGATTCATTCAGGCGTTATGTGCATGTTTGTAACTTTATCTGTTGAGCGTGCTTGCCTTTAGTGCCTTGCTTCGTCAGCTTGGTGTCCAGCGCCTCTAAAACACGTTTAAGCATCCCTCGGACTACTGTAACTGGATGAAAGTCCGCAAAATACTATCTAGTTTTGGGTGGCTGGCTGCAGATGGCGAAAAGCTAGCGGCAGTTCGAACCTCAATAGGGTCTGTTGCCCTCCACGCTGACTCATTGAGTGCTATGTCGGCCTCTATCCATCGACGTGCTATATCTCTGTCTGCAATGCTACCCTATAGCTGTTTACGCCTTGCGATGCGCTGGTTGTGAAGGGGAGTACTGCCCCGCAGAAGTTCTCGTTTGTGGGCACGAGGGACAGGCGCCGCTTGCATGCCGGGAGTCGAGAAAGTAGGGTTTTAACCACGTAGGAAGCTGATATTATGAGTGCGCATGTGATGAAAGCGGAGTACCTCTACGAGGTACAAATCCTACACACTGCAAATGAAGAAAGTACCAGGTGCTTATGCGAAACGTCGTGTCTTGCCTAGAAGTTCGAAGCACCAAGAAGGCTTCTTCGACTATTACTGTTGTTCGTCTTCGCACACCACTGAAGCACCAGATATATCACTAAGCGAAACAGGCATACAAATGCTCGAGATCAGGTAACTGGAGCAGCGTGCGCTGCTGATATCGGTGTCTCAGGAACCGCGTCGCTTTCAAGCGGTAGTCATCCGATAAAATACCGAAGTGCGTCATGAAAAACTTTCAGAAGGAAGCTATAAAACCTGTCAATTAGATGTTGAAGCTAGATTTAGCTTTTAATTTCACTAGATATGCTGTATACCTGTGAAAACAAAAGCAGTAAAACACTATATGGAATCGATCACACGCCCAGGGTACAACACCTGGAAAGATGAAGTTCCCATGAGGTCCCTAGAGAATATTTTCGGTGTCTTCTGTGAAGCAAGGATCATTTTCCTGGATGTCTTTGGTCTTCGAACTTTAGCTTGCCGCATTTTGTTATGACCTTCTTAACTTTTTGGTCAAGTGTGGCGAACCTGCGCGGTCACCCCGATACAGCAATGCAGATGTCTGACGACCGCAGTGGGCAACGACCCTCCTCTGACTACTTTTATTTGTTCTCGCAGGAAAAAAAAAATTTCTACTACCAAATGAGAGGTGGAGCCTTACTTTAATGTTTTTTTCATGAGGAACATCCAAGAGGATTTCATGCAACATCGCCGTCGTGCCTATCTGCGGCAGAGACGCATCGAGAGTATTGCAGATTGTAGTGAACATTGAGCAGAACAATAGTACACATTCCTGGTGCAACGCGTCTCAACCTGACGGGGTTTTCAGTGTCTCCACAGGGCAGATTCCGGGGGCACTGCGTTTTCAACGTGACAGGATTTCCAGCATCTCTGCAATTTCCATGAGACGAATGTGAGCGGTTCGCGCCTTCAGTGTGCAAAGTTTTTACGGGCAAACAGGCCACGTACCCTCTCCCAGTTTTTCTCACTAAACACAACCAATGCTATTCTTTACAGCGTACGCGGCATACGGAGAATATGCACGCACAACATCTCACTAATTGGTGTTTAGAATCCAAGCGCACCAGAGTTACTTTCAGGACTGATGAGCTGGCAGCCAAGTGCACGTTCTAGGGACGATCTGTCGTCCTTTGGCACCACGAATCGGAAGACGAGAGCGGTCACCTATTCACAGCAAACTCTCCATGGCACTGCCGATGGGTTCGTTCGTGTCCATTGGGTCCCCAGGGGGAGGCTGCGTTCATCTCCTTGGTCCCGTCTTCTCAGTATAGTATTTGCCACTGTAGCAGCAGCATACTTCTTGGTTATTTGTTTTCACTTGATAAGGGCTGGGCGGCGGTCAGCGTCGTCTACTCGGTTCCTTGCGGGTCACCGTGAGGTGTCATGCGATTGGGATAGTGGACCAAGGGAGACTGACCCAGTGGACAATGACACGGGTGACGACAGAACACCCGAGGAAACCTTGGGACAGAGTGCGCAGGAGCCTTCAGAAGAAGGGGTTGCTCGCCCGTCTCAACAATTCCAGGGGTTTCGCTCGCTTGCCAATATGGGACACGAAGAAGAAACAGATGCCGAGGAAACAACCGCGGAGAAGGCATCTAGGACCAGCTTGGGCCTGTGGTCTCAAGAGCGTGAGATGTACAAAGATCATCAGTGGGGAGAACGTAACCTACCGGGGCCTGTAAAACAACGTCTACTGATCATGCTTTCGAGAATGGTGAGAGCTTCAGGGCTATGCAGGTCATTACTACCAATGCTAACGTGCACACAACGCCTGCAACTGACGTACCTTGTCATGCGGCTGATAGCACTGGATTTGGGAGCCATTTCGTTAGTGAGGGAGGACATAGAGCCTGCACGGCAAAGCGTGGGGGACTCTCTCATCAGTTTGGGTCTTGAATGTGTTGGAAGTAGCGGCAGCGAAGCAGAGCATGAAGGACAGCGCGCGTCACTTCGCGGACTGATGGGTTTAGTGCATAAACTCAAAGAGCGACGGCATATTGTCAACGAGTATAACGCTCGAAAGTACAGAAAAAAGATGCTGAGCATAATGGGTACTGCTGGCTTGATACTGAAGAACTGTTTAGGCGTACTGGAAGGGCTGCTACACTCAAATTATGCCAAACCTTCATTGCCTCTGCCAGAAGCTGTTGTTAAGCAACAATTCAATGTTCTAAAGGCACTTTACCGTGTACATGCCGAGCACATCGCCAAGGATGGGCCACTCTGTGGGCACATTTTAAAATGTCAGGAACAAACTGGAATGCATACACTTATCGGTTGCCATAACCAAGACATGTTCGAAGTTGCTATTCCCAAGCTGAGAGATTTACAGAAACAGATTAAAGAAGCAGTACGTAGCGCAGGCGGCCTTCTGCCACTTCAGCATCCTGTTGCGCTAGGGCATCCCAGTGCTAGCAGCGTGTTCGGGCGAGACAGCGAACCGACAAATATTAATCCTGAAGCACCGCATGGAACGTTGGGTCAACAAATGCTGCACGAAAGATCTGCCGAAGATACCGGACAAGTTTTCGACTCAGCAGCCTTTTCATCGAGCAAAAGTATGCACGGAGGCACGTCTCTCCCTCCTGCTGCAGTTCCACAGTGGTCAGCTAGCCAGCCGTCTCACCAAGGCGCCGAACCAGCTGCGCAGCCTCTACCGCAACTTGAAAGCCGCCCATTAGACCATCAACCACAGTGGGTCATGTCAAAGACTCTTGAACAATCACCAGGCTCTTGGACGTCTTGGCTGCACGCAGCACACCAACCGTTTCATAGCCCAGAACGCCATCAGCCTCAGGAGCCTTCTTTCCCAGCGCGTTCTGTTGATCGTGTCGCTCCTCAGTTTGCTCCTGGGGGATTTTCTGTGGGCCCTATCGAGTGGCTCGCAGCCACTGGACGCGATATTGGACCTCTTTTGACGCCCACTACACAGCTGGCACAACGGACTCCAGTTGAGTCATCTGCCAGGCTTCATTCGTCAGCTGCAGGCCCTCACACAGGCGAATACAGCCTCTTTGGACAAGGGGGAGTTCCTCCGTGGTTGCCCGTATCCAAGGCATCGGCGTCCTCATTTGACACGCCTGATACTGCAGGCCATGGTTTATCGGGCGGTCAAGAGAAAAAGGACGCGTAGGCCTAGCACGTACACCCGAAAAGATGCACACAGAACCCGTTAGGTCCGACGTTTTGATGACGGCAGCCAGTGAGGTATTGCAATTGTAAGCCAGGATGATAGGAGGAACCCACGAGCATCGAGCGCAGGAACTGACAAATGAAGGCACGCTTTCGCCGCGTTATCAGTGCACGAGTCCGTCACAAGCCTTCAAGCAGTAGGCGATGCGGCATCAATTGGAGAGAAGACTTCTCGATCCTGCTTGGGCTGTTGGGCACAGGAGTGCCAGCAGTATGATTTGGTCTTATGGGCAAACCGTAACATGCCTGAACCCATAAAAGGGCGTTTATTGAACCTATTCTCACGAATGATGAGAGCTTCGAAGCTGTGCAGGTCATTGCTACCAATGCTAACGTCCGCACAACGGCTGCATCTGACGTATGTTGTAATGCGACAAATTGCATTGGATTTGGGAGCAATTTCGTTAGTGAGGGAGGACATGGAGCCTGCACGGCAAAGCGTGGGGGACTCTCTCATTAGCCTGGGTCATGAGTGTCTTGAAGGCAATGGCAGTGGCGCAAAGTATGAAGGCCTTCGCCCCGCGATTCGCGAACTGATAGCTTTAGTTGATAAACTCAAACTGCCGCGACGAGTACAACACGAATATGATTCTCTGAAGTACAGAAAAAAGATGTCCACCATGATGGGTACTGCTGGCATGGTGCTGAAAAATTGTTTAGGCGTTTTGGAGGGTTTACTTCAATCCAGTTGCGGAGACTCATTGGAGCTGCCATATGCCGTGGTTCAGCAGCAGATCGGTGTTCTAGAGGCGCTGTACCGCGTACACGCGAGCCACATAAACAGAGATAGACCACTTCGTAAGCACATCATAGAGTGCCAGGAACAAACTGGCACGCATGAGCTTCTCAGTTACCAGTTAGCGCAGACGTCCTACAAGGTGATCCCGAAACTGCAAGACTTGCAGAAACAGATGAGAGAAGCAGTCAGCAGCGCCGGCGGCCTTCTACTACTGCAACAGCCAAATGCGCGACAAAGTCACGGCACTAGCAGGAGGTTCGTTGGAAAAAGTCAACTGCGAGAGGCCTACCCTGAAGCACTGCATGGACAAAGGGGGCAGCACCACATGCTGCAAGGAAGCTCTGCGGCAGCGGAACAGCAAGCGCTTCACTTCGCAGCTTCATTAGTGAGCGAAAACGTCTACGGAGGTCCCTCTTTGCCTTCTTCTGCGTATCCACTGTGGCAACCTTGGCAGCCGCCTTACCAAGGCCACGAATCAGCTGCGCAGCCCGTGCCGCAAGGCACTAGTAGTCCTTGGAATCAGCAGTCACAGTCAGTCTCATCGCCATCACTTCAGGCATCGGGTGGTTCTGCAATGCCTTGGATGCACACAGCACACCAACGCATTCAAGGCGCAGGTCCCCGTCTATCGTTGGCACCTTCTCTCCTTGCGCGTCCTTATCGTCTTTGGGCTACTCAGTCGGCTGATTCTGCCTTTTCTTTGGGTCGGTTACAACGGCACACACTTTCTGGGTGTGTTGTTCAAGCGCCTTTGGGGCCCACTGCACAGCTGCGACAAAGGGCTGGAGCTGAGCAGCCTGTGACGTTTGAGTCACCACCTGCAAGCTCCCGCAGAGTTGAGTATAGCCCTTTCAGACAAGGAAGCAGTCCTTCCTTGTTGCCATTTACGCGAGCAACGGTCTCGTCTCTCGAAATGCGTAAAACTTCAGGCTGCGGCCGTGCGGGCAATCGAAGGCAAGGAGTGCGTCGTACCCGCGCCTGTGACCCGGATAAAGGAGAGAGCAGCCGTGAGGCTGGACGCTATGGTGAATGCCGCTTGTGACGTATTGGAATTCTACAGCGAATGGCTGCCTTCCCCGTTAGTGTTCCACTTTAAGTTCGCCGCCTTCAGGGGGCGCGTCCGTCATGTCTTGTCGCAAAACAAGTAGAAGCCTCACAGTGAAACAAGGGATTGAGCTGCAATACGCCACATGTCACAATTTGGAGGCCTTGCGTCTTATTTTCTCAGCCGCACTGCTTTGCTCCTTCATATGTAGCCACATATACTTTTGTTCAATGTGCGTTGCTTTGTGGATGACGCAAGCTGCTTGGTTAGGTGTATCTCTAAGTTTTGTCTGGGGGGGAAAGCTGCGCTCTCAAGGTCGGAAGTGCCGTAAGTCCCGTAAGCTTTGCCGTTTGCCGGACCACGGATATAAGAGGAATTCGTGCGTGATTGTTGTCTTTTTCTCGGAGAGAGTAATTCGACACTGCATCTTGACCGCAAACGAGAGTTTTGTAACTCAAAATTTGAAGGCTTTCTCCCCTCCATTACCAAGCCTAGCCCGGGAGTTAAAGGCCCTTCTCACCGACTCTTTGCATTGTGTGAGCTCATGGCTGTATGTGTATGCGCTTCACCGTACCGACGCATTTAGGCGAAGGGTTTTGTCAGGGTTTGATTGCTTAGGGTATTATTAGTGGCGCAGCCGCAGATTTGCAGGCGTTCCTGCAATGTTTTGACTGTTCGAAGGCATGCTAGCCAGAGCCTCATCACTTTTCTGGGCCCTCATTAGCAGAAGAAGCCTCTCAAAACACCTGTAAGCCTGAAATTAAGTGTCGCCCCCATGAAAGCCGGAAGATCTTGTCAATGTTTGAGAGTGCCACAAGTGGTCGTGCTTCCGAGGGAAAAGCGCTGCACTGTTCATCTCGTAAAGCGACGATTCGCCACGATAGCACATGATAAGATTATTTGTTTCAGGAACAAGAACAAAGCTTATTTGTAGGGAGCGTTTTAAAGGCCCAGCAAGGGCAGTTTGTAATTTGGTCGACACGGGTCGCCTGAACATTCCAGGGTAAGCACGGTTACTGCGGAGAGCTTTAAACAAGCATTTGCACTGTAGTACGAGCGGGTGAACCTGAAAAGCCGTTGTGAAATGAATTAGCATTTTAGAGCATCCAGTTAAGTTGCTCCGCGTCACCTGGAGCGTGCTTGATGGCTCCCGGTTCAGTGGCACATTGTAGGCCACGTTGCCACCTCCTGGGCGGCTAGGTTCGAAAGTGCCGCAATCTCGGAGGACAGCTATGCAACGGCTCCGGCAAATGGCTTCCAAAGTGTGAGACAGGCCTTCATTTTTGAGCGGAATTAGTTGTCACTGTGGGCAAGCGGGTGGCCTTTCGGAGCGGTAATCTGTGATTTGTGGCACTTCAAAAGAAGAGAGAGTGTTTATCGTTCTTCTTCAGAAAGATATGAGAATTCTTGAAGTGTCTAATAGGCGATGAAACACGGTGTACCAACGTGGCGGGCGTTGCGAGTCTTCCGGGGTGGGTTGTGTGGAAGCATGCGTCGATGCATAGCTCTCAGTGCCTTCAAACAAAATACAGAGGTATTCGTATGGAACCAAAGAACAGAAATGCTCAGCTGCGTAGAACGCCAAGCCACGATCACAATGAGCATTCCAGGCACAGTTTTACTGGTGAGGCCTTCAGAGTAGATAACACACTTTGTTTAAAATCGTACATACCTTGCCAATTAGATTCACTCCGAAGGTGTCTGCCCCTCATTTCACCGAGATCCACGACATGAATTTGCATGAGGTATCGTGACCGCCCGGCGAGTCGCAGCTTCGAAGTGCGTCAACGAGTCCATTCTATCGCTGAGCCTTACCCCCAAAGCATTGGTGCAAAATTTACCTTCTTATTAATGTCTTGGACTGCGAGACAAACGTTGGTGATAAATGCTTGGATGAACGCTCCAGAACAAGGTTCTTGACTGGAGAGTGCAATGTGTATAATAGTTCAAGAGGCCATTTCCATGCACTTTCACTAAAAGCCTCGACTCACCCAACTGAAACAACTTGAAAAACAGAAGTGCTTCTTTTAAGGAACAATCAGGAGGAGCTGTGTATCTACTATGTTGTCTTGCTCATCAGGGAGGGGTTATGCGATTCACCGATTGCACTGTTCACTGAGAAGCACGTACTGCCACCCAGCTAATTTGCGGCATTGTAAAACTGCTTTTTCCGTGTGTCAGTGGCCACAATTCATGATTCATCGCATATTATAAACTGACGAAAATTTTTAGTGCAGGAAACCAACGTTTTCGTCAAGAGCATTGTTGTAGACGAGGAGGCCTCTGACGAAGTTCCACATGGGGAAATGGCTCGGAGGAACCCCGGCGAAAGACCGTGAATAGAAACGCATAGCTCCAGCTATTCCTTGCAAACTCGGCGTTTGGAGATATGTAACCAAAGCGGAAAGCCACTGGTATACAGACCCGAATCTTGTGAGAGCTTTCTTGCGCCAGATGAACCCGCAGCTAAATACACAATTAATGCACGACCTGCAATACTCTAGCAACAAAGCCCAGACGGTAGGTTCAATTTCTTATTCACAGCAGAAAAATGACTCCGCTGCTGCTGCTGGTGATGAAGACATTCTTGTCCAGAGCCTGTCCAAAAGGAAACTGATTTCAGCCTCGCGGTCCCGTCTCCTCCTCGTGGCATTCACCTCCCTAGCAGTAGCATACTTGCTTCTAATTTGTTTCCGCTTCATAAAAACTGGACGGCTAGTGGCTCCACAGAGCCGATCCCTTGCAGATCACTACGATGTATCATGCGATTTGGGTGACGCAACTGGGGATAGTTACAACCGCGACGGCAGAACAACAGGAGGAACCCACGAACACCGAGCAAAGGAGCTGAGGAATGAAGGCACGCTTTCGCCGCATTATCAGATTCATGGAGTGCACGATTCCGACACAAACCCTCAAGGAGCAGGCGATGCGGCGTCAATTGGAGAGAAGACTTACGGATCCAGCTCGGGATGTTGGGCACAGGAGTTCCAGCAGTATGATTTGGACTTATGGGCAAACCGTAACATGCCTGAACCCATAAAAGGGCGTTTATTGAACCTATTCTCGCGAATGGTGAGAGCTTCGAAGCTGTGCAGGTCATTGCTACCAATGCTAACGTCCACACAACGGCTGCATCTGACGTATGTTGTAATGCGACTAATTGCACTGGATTTGGGAGCAATTTCGTTAGTGAGGGAGGACATGGAGCCTGCACGGCAAAGCGTGGGGGACTCTCTCATTAGCCTGGGTCATGAGTGTCTTGAAGGCAATGGCAGTGGCGCAAAGTATGAAGGCCTTCGCCCCGCGATTCGCGAACTGATAGCTTTAGTTGATAAACTCAAACTGCCGCGACGAGTACAACACGAATATGATTCTCTGAAGTACAGAAAAAAGATGTCCACCATGATGGGTACTGCTGGCATGGTGCTGAAAAATTGTTTAGGCGTTTTGGAGGGTTTACTTCAATCCAGTTGCGGAGACTCATTGGAGCTGCCATATGCCGTGGTTCAGCAGCAGATCGGTGTTCTAGAGGCGCTGTACCGCGTACACGCGAGCCACATAAACAGAGATAGACCACTTCGTAAGCACATCATAGAGTGCCAGGAACAAACTGGCACGCATGAGCTTCTCAGTTACCAGTTAGCGCAGACGTCCTACAAGGTGATCCCGAAACTGCGAGACTTGCAGAAACAGATGAGAGAAGCAGTCAGCAGCGCCGGCGGCCTTCTACTACTGCAACAGCCAAATGCGCGACAAAGTCACGGCACTAGCAGGAGGTTCGTTGGAAAAAGTCAACTGCGAGAGGCCTACCCTGAAGCACTGCATGGACAAAGGGGGCAGCACCACATGCTGCAAGGAAGCTCTGCGGCAGCGGAACAGCAAGCGCTTCACTTCGCAGCTTCATTAGTGAGCGAAAACGTCTACGGAGGTCCCTCTTTGCCTTCTTCTGCGTATCCACTGTGGCAACCTTGGCAGCCGCCTTACCAAGGCCACGAATCAGCTGCGCAGCCCGTGCCGCAAGGCACTAGTAGTCCTTGGAATCAGCAGTCACAGTCAGTCTCATCGCCATCACTTCAGGCATCGGGTGGTTCTGCGATGCCTTGGATGCACACAGCACACCAACGCATTCAAGGCGCAGGTCCCCGTCTATCGTTGGCACCTTCTCTCCTTGCGCGTCCTTATCGTCTTTGGGCTACTCAGTCGGCTGATTCTGCCTTTTCTTTGGGTCGGTTACAACGGCACACACCTTCTGGGTGTGTTGTTCAAGCGCCTTTGGGGCCCACTGCACAGCTGCGACAAAGGGCTGGAGCTGAGCAGCCTGTGACGTTTGAGTCACCACCTGCAAGCTCCCGCAGAGTTGAGTATAGCCCTTTCAGACAAGGAAGCAGTCCTTCCTTGTTGCCATTTACGCGAGCAACGGTCTCGTCTCTCGAAATGCGTAAAACTTCAGGCTGCGGCCGTGCGGGCAATCGAAGGCAAGGAGTGCGTCGTACCCGCGCCTGTGACCCGGATAAAGGAGAGAGCAGCCGTGAGGCTGGACGCTATGGTGAATGCCGCTTGTGACGTATTGGAATTCTACAGCGAATGGCTGCCTTCCCCGTTAGTGTTCCACTTTAAGTTCGCCGCCTTCAGGGGGCGCGTCCGTCATGTCTTGTCGCAAAACAAGTAGAAGCCTCACAGTGAAACAAGGGATTGAGCTGCAATACGCCACACGTCACAATTTGGAGGCCTTGCGTCTTATTTTCTCAGCCGCACTGCTTTGCTCCTTCATATGTAGCCACATATACTTTTGTTCAATGTGCGTTGCTTTGTGGATGACGCAAGCTGCTTGGTTAGGTGTATCTCTAAGTTTTGTCTGGGGGGGAAAGCTGCGCTCTCAAGGTCGGAAGTGCCGTAAGTGCCGTAAGCTTTGCCGTTTGCCGGACCACGGATATAAGAGGAATTCGTGCGTGATTGTTGTCTTTTTCTCGGAGAGAGTAATTCGACACTGCATCTTGACCGCAAACGAGAGTTTTGTAACTCAAAATTTGAAGGCTTTCTCCCCTCCATTACCAAGCCTAGCCCGGGAGTTAAAGGCCCTTCTCACCGACTCTTTGCATTGTGTGAGCTCATGGCTGTATGTGTATGCGCTTCACCGTACCGACGCATTTAGGCGAAGGGTTTTGTCAGGGTTTGATTGCTTAGGGTATTATTAGTGGCGCAGCCGCAGATTTGCAGGCGTTCCTGCAATGTTTTGACTGTTCGAAGGCATGCTAGCCAGAGCCTCATCACTTTTCTGGGCCCTCATTAGCAGAAGAAGCCTCTCAAAACACCTGTAAGCCTGAAATTAAGTGTCGCCCCCATGAAAGCCGGAAGATCTTGTCAATGTTTGAGAGTGCCACAAGTGGTCGTGCTTCCGAGGGAAAAGCGCTGCACTGTTCATCTCGTAAAGCGACGATTCGCCACGATAGCACATGATAAGATTATTTGTTTCAGGAACAAGAACAAAGCTTATTTGTAGGGAGCGTTTTAAAGGCCCAGCAAGGGCAGTTTGTAATTTGGTCGACACGGGTCGCCTGAACATTCCAGGGTAAGCACGGTTACTGCGGAGAGCTTTAAACAAGCATTTGCACTGTAGTACGAGCGGGTGAACCTGAAAAGCCGTTGTGAAATGAATTAGCATTTTAGAGCATCCAGTTAAGTTGCTCCGCGTCACCTGGAGCGTGCTTGATGGCTCCCGGTTCAGTGGCACATTGTAGGCCACGTTGCCACCTCCTGGGCGGCTAGGTTCGAAAGTGCCGCAATCTCGGAGGACAGCTATGCAACGGCTCCGGCAAATGGCTTCCAAAGTGTGAGACAGGCCTTCATTTTTGAGCGGAATTAGTTGTCACTGTGGGCAAGCGGGTGGCCTTTCGGAGCGGTAATCTGTGATTTGTGGCACTTCAAAAGAAGAGAGAGTGTTTATCGTTCTTCTTCAGAAAGATATGAGAATTCTTGAAGTGTCTAATAGGCGATGAAACACGGTGTACCAACGTGGCGGGCGTTGCGAGTCTTCCGGGGTGGGTTGTGTGGAAGCATGCGTCGATGCATAGCTCTCAGTGCCTTCAAACAAAATACAGAGGTATTCGTATGGAACCAAAGAACAGAAATGCTCAGCTGCGTAGAACGCCAAGCCACGATCACAATGAGCATTCCAGGCACAGTTTTACTGGTGAGGCCTTCAGAGTAGATAACACACTTTGTTTAAAATCGTACATACCTTGCCAATTAGATTCACTCCGAAGGTGTCTGCCCCTCATTTCACCGAGATCCACGACATGAATTTGCATGAGGTATCGTGACCGCCCGGCGAGTCGCAGCTTCGAAGTGCGTCAACGAGTCCATTCTATCGCTGAGCCTTACCCCCAAAGCATTGGTGCAAAATTTACCTTCTTATTAATGTCTTGGACTGCGAGACAAACGTTGGTGATAAATGCTTGGATGAACGCTCCAGAACAAGGTTCTTGACTGGAGAGTGCAATGTGTATAATAGTTCAAGAGGCTACTTCCATGCACTCTCGCTAAAAGCCTCGACTCACCCAACTGAAACAACTTGAAAAACAGAAGTGCTTCTTTTAAGGACCAATCAGGAGGAGCTTTGTATCTACTATGTTGTCTTGCTCATCAGGGAGGGGTTATGCGATTCACCGACTGCACTGTTCACTGAGAAGCACGTACTCCCACCCAGCTAATTTGCGGCATTGTAAAACTGCTTTTTCCGTGTGTCAGTGGCCACTGCTTGTGGGCCGCTGCATATTGAAACTGAAAACGGTTTGAAGCGCAGCAAAACCATCTTTTTCGTCCACAGCAGTGTTGGAATTCTTATAAACAGGCAGCGCTCTGACGAAGTTCCACGTTGTGGGTAGGCTCGTACCAACCTGGGTGTGAGCTCGTGAATAGCCACGGACACTTCCAGCCATCTCTGCATACTCGGCGTTTGAAGACATGTAAACAAATGCTATGAGCAATTGTGACATAAACCCTAAATGAGTAACTGATGAACCCGCAGTTCATGCACGACCTGCAATACTCTGGCAGCAAAGGCCAGCAAGTATGGTCAATTTCTTATTCACAGCAGAAAAATGACCCCGCTCTCGATGATGGAGACATTCTTGTTCAGAGACTGCCCAAAAGGAAAATCGTTTCAGCCTCCCGGTCTCGTCTTCTTCGCGTAGCATTCACCTCCCTAGCAGCAGCATACTTTCTGCTTCTTTGTTTCCACTTCATAAAAATTGGACGGCTTTTGGCTCCGCAGAGCCGATACCTCGCAGATCGCTACGATGGATCATGTGATTGGGGCAACGCTGCAGAGCACAGTGACAACGGCGACAGTGACAACGGCGACGAAAGAACGACAGGAGGGACCCAAGAACATCGAGCGCAGGAGCTGACGAATGAAGGCTTGCTCTCGCCACATTATCAGAATCATGGAGTGCACGAGTCCGTCACGGGAAGACTTGAGGGAGTAGGCGTTGCAGCGTCAATTGGAGAGGAGACATCCGGAACCAGTTTGGTGGAGTGGGCACAGGAGCTTCAGCAGTATAGCTTGCATTCATGGGAAAACCGTAACCTACCTAGGCCAATAAGGGGGCGTTTAGTGAACCTATTCTCACGAATGGTGAGAGCTTCAAGATTGTGCAGGTCATTGCTACCAATGCTCACGCGCACACAACGCCTGCGTGTGACGTATCTTGTGATGCGACTAATTGCACTGGATTTGGGAGCAATTTCGTTAGTGAGAGAGGACATGGAGCCTGCACGGCAAAGCGTGGGGAACTCTCTCATCAATTTGGGTCATGAATGTCTTGGAAGCAACAGCAGTGGTTCAAAACATGGTCTTCGCACCGCGATTCGCCAACTGATAGAGTTAGTTGAAAAACTCAAACTGCCGCGACGAGTAGAACACGAATATGATTCCCTAAAGTACAGAGGTAAAATGCTGAGCATGATGGGTACTGCTGGCTTGGTGACGAAGTATTGTTTAGGCGTTTTGGAGGGTTTGCTTCAATCCATTTGCGGAGGCCCACGGAGGCTTCCAGATGCTGTGGTTCAGCAACAGTTCAGTGTTCTAGAGGGGCTGTATCGCGTACACGCTGACCATATTGGCACGGATAGAGCGCTTCGTAAGCACATTTTAAAGTGCCAGGAACAAACTAGTACGTATGACCTCCTTGGTGGCGAGACGTCATTTTTGCCCACGGATGAGATTCCAAAATTATACATGCTCCAGAAACAGATAAAAAAAGCAGTCAGCGACGCCGGTGGCCTTCTACCACTGGAACAGCCAAGTGAATTGCATAGCAATAGTGCTAGCAGCACGCTCGCTCGAGATAATCAACTGAGCGAGACCTACACTGAAGCACTTTATGGACAATGGGGACACCACATGCTGCAAGGAAGCTCTGCGGCAGCGGAACAGCAAGCGCTCCACTTCACAGCTTCATCAGTGAGCGAAAACGTCTACGGAGGCGCGTCTTTGCCTTCTGCTGCATATCCACTGAGGCAACCATGGCAGCTGCTTTACCAAGGCCACGAATCAGTTGCGCAGCCCGTGCCTCAAGTCACTTGCAGTCCGCTGAATCAGCAGTCACAGTCAGTCTCATCGCCGTCTCCTCAGGCATCGGGTGGTTCTGCGATGCCTTGGATGCACACAGCACGCCAACACATTCAAGGCGCAGGTCCCCATCTACCGTTGACGCCTTCTCTCCTTGCGTGTCCGCATCTTCTTTCTGCTACTCGGTCGGCTGAGTCTGCCTTTTCTTTGGATCAGTTACAACGGCACACACTTTCTGGGTGTGTTGTTCAAGCGCCTTTGGGGCCCACTGCACAGCTGCGACAAAGGGCTGGAGCTGAGCAGCCTGTGACGTTTGAGTCACCAGCAGCAGGTTCTCAAAGAAGTGGTTACAGCCTCTTCGGGGGAGGTGGCGTTCCTCCGTGGTTGCCTTTTCAACAAATGCGAGCTTTCTCTGTCGAAACGCGCACTCCTACAGGCCGTAGTTTCTTGGTCGGTCAGACGCAAGGGATGCGCCATGGTAGTACGTATGACTTAAACGAAGCAGAGAGCAGCCATCAGGCTGGACACTTTGATGACAGTCGCCAGTGAGGAATTGAAATCCCACAGCGCGATTCTACTTGTCTTTAGACTATGCTGATTTGAATTAATAAACTCGAATGGCAATGGCATTTCTGTCTTGTTGCATAATGATCCGATGCTTCAACGGGGTTCCACCAGTTGAGCTGCAAGGCAACTCATCAAGCGATGATCCTGTGTGACAATCCTTTGAGTTGAGAATCCGGGGCCCATCGGCGCTTTATTGCCTTTTCCACTTTTCGCCGATCTGTTTTGGTTTTCTGTTCTTCCAATATTGTCCTGGTGCTTGTGCAGCTCACGCTGCTTTGTGGTTGATGCGAGCTCCCCGCTTGCAGATTCGAAAGCTTTTAAGGAGCGTTTCTCACTTGTGGTCCTGTTGTGCCAGCATTGTTTATGTGCAAATTGGCTCTCTGCTTACTTGGTTAAGCAATTTGATGTTCGAAAAGGACCCCCCTTAGCCAGGGTTCTGTCGCTCATGGACTGCTCGGTATCGGTATATGAGCATCGCATGAAAAGTCTGTGTTGCCTCGGGGCTGCTGAATCATGGCTTACGGTTGCGTGCGCACCCTAGTAAGCATCCTGCCTTTGTCCCATTTTATTGGGCCGCAGTAGTGGGATTTTGGGGAGGTCGGGAACGCATGAGATAAAAAGCCATGACACGTCAGTCAGGGCACTTCGTAGCGGTATGGGAGGATTTCCAAAATTAGATTGAGAGCGTAAGCTGTCTCGGCTTGACAAAGGCATGTAGTTTCGAAGCTTTACTCGGTACCATCCAGGCGTGCGGTGCCACTGGTACTTATAACAACATAAAATCAAGAGGTACTAAACAGCGCACGCGGCACGGATCGAGACACAGAAGGGCAAATATTGTTCGTTAGGTCGAGGTTTGTTTGTTTCTGACGATCCTTCTTCCTAGTAGCTGGAGGCTCAGTGAGTCCGTCGGGACCGTACAAGGCTTAAACGCTTGGCCTCCCTGCAGTGTTTTGGTACCGATTGATAGCACGTTAATTGAAGACGCGCGGTAAATCAATCGTGTATGGTCCATCCCGAGGCCAAGTTTAACGGGTCCGACCTTATTCGCCGCGCCAGCAAGCCCCCACGACAGGAAGCAACTGACTCACTATGGTCTTCTTTGTATTTGCTCACTCCACAGCCGATTTCAACTCTCATAAATATCTCGTTTCACTTAGGCGATATGTGTATGTTAGTAACTTTACCTGTTGAGCGCGCTTGCCCTTAGTGCCTTGCTTCGTCAGCTTGGTGTCCAGCGCCTCTAAAGCATGTTTAAGCATCCCTCGGACTACTGTACGTGGATGAACGTCGGCAAAGTACTACCTTGTCGTGGGTGACTGACAGCTAATAGTTAAGATCTGGCGTTCGTTTGGACCTCGGTAGAATTCGTTGTTAAAATTCGCCGTCCTGTAGGCCGGCCTGCTGTGTGAAGTGATAGCCTCTATCTGTCTGCGTGCTGTGCGCGTGCCTTCAGCGATACCGTGTAGCTATCCGGGCCTTACAACGCTGTGTTTGTACAGGGAGCTATTGCCCTGCAGGAGTTTTGGTTTGCGAGCACACGAGAGAGGCGACGCTTGCACGAAGGGAATCGAAAAATGAGAGTTTTAGCTACGAAGGGAGCTGATATTACCAGCTTTCATATAATACGACAGCCGTCTACCTCTAAGTGGTACAATTCCCACACTCCGCAATAAAGGAAGGACCAGTTACTTGGCCAACCAGTCGCTTTCTTAATGCTCGGAACCTCAAGACAAGACTCTTTTCTGGACAACTGCGGGTGTTTGCCTTTCAATATCCCTACCCCATAAAATGCGTCGCCAAGGTAGGCGAAAGAGCAAATATTATGGAGCAGGCTGCTTAACGACGGTTCACCACCAGTTTACAGAGGTCAAGGGAGATACATACACCACTGAAGTAGTGATCACGCTCAACACACCGAGTTGCTCTGTCAGAAGTTCCAATAAAATATCAAATACTTACTGAAATCAAAGGGATATGAAGGAAATCTCTTCATCCTCTTGTCATCTTTTACAGTGACTAAGAATCCCGCCACATTCAATGATTGAACACATTCAATCATTGACGATCGAGCGAAGGCGATGAAACTTAACATAGTATCCTTCCAGAAAGTGCTTAACGTGCAATGAAGCTGCTTTTTGAAGAGAAATGATGGTTGATTGGATGGAGCTTGGCTTCCAGAGACATGCATATTTCACTGTGCGATTTTCGGCCTATCAGTGGCTGCACCCAAATTCGCTGAAAACTTCGCTGTGGGATTGACCCCAACAACTTTTTCTCTTTCGCAGGAGCAAATAATTTCCCAAAAGTTTCTTAATAAACAGAGCCAGCCAGCGCAGAGGCCAGTGGTATCAATCCTGATACCTGCAAGCCAGGGGTGCCGGCGACGCTCACCTGAGGAATTTCACTCGTTCATGTGAAGGAAAATGCTCTCAGCATTAGAAGATGCGTATAACCTTACTCCAACGTATTTATTTCATAGCCACTATCAGGGTGGGCCTCGAGCAACTACTCCCTTGCGCTTATTTGCCGTGAAGATGTATCGACAGCATTCGCGCACCTGGTGAGCATTGACCCAAAGGATAGTACGCGCTGCCGCAGCGTTGCGCTTCGTTTGTAGCTTGAATTTCAAAGTGAGCGAATTTGTGTAATTACAGTCTTGAAACGAGAAAGGGCGCTTATCGCTTTCATTGTGCCAAAGTTTTCAAGAGCAATGGAGCCCACGCATTACGCAGTGCCAGTTTTAAACAACAGCCGCAAACAAAGCAAAACATTACTATAAAAGCTAAATGCCTAAAAACTGCAATCAAAATAGAACAGCTAATGATATATCAGCTCCGAACGTGTGAGAAATAATCACAGAAGAGATGAACCCACAAGCACAGTTCCTCCACGACCAGGCGTTCTCTGGCTGCAAAGACCAGCAGACGGGGACCGATTCTTATTCACAGCAGAGCCGTGATTTCACTCCTGATGATGGACACACCCTTGTCCAGAGCTTGTCCAAAACGAAACCGTTTTCAGCCTCTCGGCCTCGTCTCCTCCTCGTAGCATTCACCTCCGTAGCAGCAGCATACATCCTGCTTATTTGTTTCCATTTCATAAAAGTTGGACAGCTCTTGGCTCCGCAGAGCCGATACCTCGCAGATCGCTACGATGGATCATGTGATTGGGGCAATGCTGCAGAACCCAGTGGCAACGGCGATGACAGAACAACTGGAGGAACCCAAGAACAGCGAGCGCAGGAGCTGACGAATGAAGGCTTGCTTTCGCCGCATGATCATATCCGTGGAGTGCACGAGTCCGTCACAAGTCTTCAAGGAGTAGGCGTTGTAGCGTCAATTGGAGAGGAGACATCGGGGACCGATTTGGGACAGTGGGCACAGGAGCGCCAGCAGTTTGGTGTGAAAGAATGGGCAAACCGCAACTTACCTGAGCCAGTAAAGGAGCGTTTGACGGGAATCTTCTCACGAATGGTGAGAGCGTCAAAGCTGTGCAGGTCATTGCTACCAATGCTAACGCTCACACAACGCCTGCACGTGACGTATTTTGTGATGCGGCTAATGTCACTGGATTTGGGAGCCCTTTCGTTAGTGAGGGAAGACATGGAGCCTGCAAGGCAAAGCGTGGGGGACTCTCTCATCACTTTGGGTCTTGAGTGTCTTCGCGGCGGCGGGGTTGATGTACAACATGAAAATCTTCGCACCTCGATTCGCCAACTGATAAGCTTAATTGAAAAGGTCAAACTGCCGCGACGAGTATTCACGGAATATAATGCTGCGAAGTATAGGAAGAAGATGATGACCATGTTGCCTACTTCTGGTTTGGTGCTGAAGAATTGTTTAGGCGTTTTGGAGGGTTTACTTCAATTCAATCGCGGAGACTCACAAAAGCTGCCAGAGGCCGTGGTTGAGCAGCAGTTTTGTGTTCTAAAGGCACTCTACAAAGTACATGCTGAGCATATCAGCAACGACGACTGTACATCTAAGCACATCCTAAAGTGCCAGGAACAAACTGGCACGCATGCGCTTCTCGATTACCAGCAAGTAGGGACGGATAAATCGCATATTCCGAAATTGAGCGATTTGCAAGAGCGGATAAAAGAAGCAGTCAGAGGCGCCGGCGGTCTTCTACCACTGCAACAGCCAAGTGCGCAACGCCATCACACTAATGGCAGGATGTTCTTTGGAGATAGTCAACTAAGAGAGACTTACGTTGAAGCACTCTATGGACAATGGCGGCACCACATGCTGCAAGGAAGCTCTGCGGCAGCGGAACAGCAAGCACTTCACTTCGCAGCTTTATCAGTGAGCGAAAACGTCTACAGAGGTGCGTCTTTGCCTTCTTCTGCATATCCACTGCGGCAACCTTGGCAGCCGCTTTACCAAGGCCACGAATCATTTGCGCAGCCCGTGCCTCAAGTCACTAGTAGTCCTTGGAACCAGCAATCACAGTCAGTCTCATCGCCATCACTTCAGGCATCGGGTGGTTCTGCGATGCCGTGGATGCACACAGCACACCAACGCATTCAAGGCGCAGGTCCCCGTCTATCGTTGGCACCTTCTCTCCTTGCGCGTCCCCATCGTCTATGGGCTGCTCAGTCGACTGAGTCTGTCACTTCTACCACTTCGCTACAGCGGCAACGACCCGCTGGAGGCGGTGTGGAGGGACCCTTGGCGCCCACTGCACAGCTGCGACAAAGGGCTCGGGCCGAGCAGCGCGTGAGGTTTGAGCCACCAGCAGCAGGATCTCAAAGTGGTGTTTACAGCCTTTTTGGGCAAGGAGGTGTTCCTTCCTGGTCGCCAGTTTCAGCAGCGTCAGCTGCCTCCATGGATATACGTGGCAGTGCAGGCCACGATCGGGCGAGTAGTCAGATGCAGGGTCTGCATCACGCTAGTGGAGATAGCGTAAATGAAGGGCAGAGCAGCCGAGAGGTTGGACGTTTTGGTGAAAATCATTAGTGAGGTGCTGGAATTTTACAGTGACTTGCCTACAGTGTCTCCGACTTTAAAACCTCTTAGTTTCAATGAAACTGTCGCTGTCACGTTGAACAATGATCGAGACTCGCAAGCCCCCCTCACGGTGTGGGTAGTTGTTCAATTTACTATGAAGCATTTCTGGTCACGAAAGGGATAGCTGTCTGCGCCTTTCCTTTCAAATTGCCGACCCTTTCTTCCGTTCACAGCCAGCATGCAACAGCCACAGCCTGGCTTTTCGTGCAATGCCACTTTTGGTGCAAGCGTTAGCTCGGCTTTCGCTGTTCAAATTTTTCAAGGAGATACGAACATGACACGAAGCAACATAGCTATTTGCCTACTGCATTCGTGCATAACAGACACGCTGTGACGCGATTACTCCAGTACTCATTGAGAAGCCATCACGAGGGTTTACCAGGGCATCTCCTAGCAGCTTAGAAGTGTCATTGGAATGTTCCAAGGCAAGCTTTGGTTGTCACACAGGAAGCCATGACTAATGACAAATGCATACACCGACATGTTTGTGATATCGGTTGGGAGTTCGATAGCCACCTCACAAAAAGAACGGCATTCTGCAAAGCCAGTTATCCTGCACTACCTTGACGCTTTTGCTCCACTGCTTTATATGATGTTCAGTTGATGACATCACCTTACCAACTATCCTGACATTACCTTACCTATTATCCTGCACTATCTTGACGCTTTTGTTCCACTGCATTATATTATGTTCAGTTGAAGACATCATCTTACCAATTATCCTGCACTATCTTGACGCGTTTGTTCCACTGCTTTATACTTGATTCGTAAAAAATGCTGCGGAGCTGAGATATACGTGTTCTCCTGAAGTATCCGAAAATGACATGAGCCAAGTACACACAAATTGGTCATCATGGCCATCAGTGTGTAGAATCTTACGCTGTTGCTTTATAGCCCATCATATTTCGGTACTGCACTTATCATTTGCACTCTAACCTAACAATGTTCTTTTCCCTTTAATTTTCTACACCGTAGCTGAAACTCCGGATTGTTACTCGGCTTTCATCTTCCTTGTGGCTCACCTGCCACCAGTTTTCCTTGTAGCTGTTATTTGCATCGTCTAGAGGAACATCCTGTAATGGCTTGCATGCTGTCAGCTTGCCTGCAATAGTCAGCCATAAAATGAAACAGTCTGTTTCAAAGTGTCTGACTTTAAATCAAGTGTGTACCAGCTCAGGTACAATGTGAACGTTGCATCCACTCTCATGCGCGATAATTCCCAGAAATCAGCATGCAGTCAAGGGCCAACCCTATCGTGAGACCGCATCTGTGCTTTATCACATCCGGCAAAATATGCAAGCTACTCGATTTCCCAAAGACATTGTTTGCATTTAAAATGCTCACAAGCTAGTGAGACTAAGCGACAGCAAGACGAGTTAGCTTGGCGTCTTCTGAAGTTACAATTACGTAACTGACACGATTACGCACGTCGCTCGTTATACACTTCGCTCAGAATTTTCCTGCGAGCTCAAGTTTCAAGTCCGAGAAATATTAACCTTGCAAATCAGAAGCTCTCCAGTGAGAGCAAGCTTAATGTCCCAAGCCACGGTAATTGCGTAAGAAGATAAGCAATGACACACCACGATTAGATCCCAGCTGGGACAACAGTAAAGAATCGAGGAAAATGTTCCAAGGGCTTATCACCTGCTTTTTCATTCAGCACTATAGCACGTTTCTCCCCGAAGTGTGTTCGCTTGCCTTACCAGAAGCCCTGTTCAGATGCAGTGGGTCATGGGTCCTCTACAATATCCAAAGTGGGAATCCGACAACTGGGCGTCCGCCGCAATCTACAAGATATAGAGAGTGCTCTCCAGATAGATGTCTAAATGAATTTGCCTGACCTGTATCGACCCTTTGAAAGACTTTTCGGGCTAAGCAGGAGCCTTCACTGCCACCAAAAATTCTTTGGAAGGTGCTTTACCTATGGTGGCCGCCACTGATGCGACGCGGCGCCTCCACACGGGCGGTGACGACAGAATTGCGCTCGTAATATTCCTGAGTTGAGGAGGAGTCTTTATTACTACAAAAACGCCTTTGGAAGGTGCAGGCATGGTGCGGCGCTGCAACATTAACGCTGGTGCCGGGCCAAGGCGAGTTGGGTGTTCCTAGCCGACAGATTCTTAACAGGGTACTGTCAGAGTTGGAAGCAGAGTGGTCACACTAGCCCAATCCAGAAGAAGAGCACACTTACATGAAAGCCTCAGTCTTACACGGAAATGGCTGGTTCCTCTGTGAGAGGAGGGGCTCAAATTGCAGAGCTAAGAGGGAAAACTAGGGCTATTAGGTAAGCGACAGCGTTCGCATTTTGCGAAAGACCTACTATGCCCAAGCAAAGCAAGACTATCACTCGGCACGCGACCAGGTAACCGCTAAAGCTACAAGTAACGTTGCCATGTCGCAGCGACAGTTTATGTGCCCAGGCTCAAGCGTAGCAACAACGAGAGCTCCCCTTCGGATTGTAGAGGCGATAAGGGGTGCAGGACTCCCTAAATTATGCGTAAGTCGCCTGCCATAGATTGACAAGAAATTTAGAGCTTCAATGTTTTCCCATGGTAGGTTTGCAGTAAACAAAAGCATGGTATTAAATGGCGCACAAAGCCTCACGGTGATCGCGTCCCCCTCGATCAAACAATCTTCGCTAGCCCGTATAACCAGTGGAAGAAAAAATCCGATGGCTTTTTTTTGGAAGATAGAGCAGAATCAAGAAACGAACAATAATGCCTTTTGGAGGCATCAAAGACGTTGAGCACATCAACATTGAACTGCGGCGTATTCAACGTGACTCAGAAGAAACAGAGTGGCCCCGCTGCCCCACAAACACCTCGGCCACTCATCGAAGAAAGGCCTGCTTGTTTCTAGTTTATCGCTTCCGCTTGCTTAAGTTATGAACCGTGCATTAATTGTAGAAGGGATGGTGATCACCGGTACAGCTCTGTTAGTTGCAGCATTCAACGCGACTAATGCAATTCCAAAAGTCTTTTTAAACGTGAAAGTGCAAACTGTTCGTTAACTCGTCGCTTCCCCCACAGCGGGGAGCAAGTTGCACGCAGAGCCAGGTTGCTGCGTAACAATTATTCACGTACCCAACGCAGTACAGGTGAAAAACGGAACTTCAAGGCGTGCAAAGGATGCACAACTGTGCATAGAGTGGCTCGAGGTCCCTACTCACTTATGTCAGCCGCAGCTCAGCCCATCACCTGAGTCTGTGACTCTTGTCCGTCATACAGCCTGATAATCAACAGTGGCTCTTCATCAGGCCAGTGCAAATCGACAGTCCTTGAAGGAAACAAAGAACAACTCATTGACGGCCGCCTTGAGTACGGTCACGAGGAATGCTACGTCTTGCTTCGTATTCATCGTCCGTTATAAGCCTATGGGCGCCCTCTTCCTCTGGACGCGGCCACCCGTCGCTTGCAGTGGCGCGTCTCTCAAAAGAGGCAGGCGTCGCGTGTGGAAAAGGGAACCACGGAGGTATGCCGCCACCTCCAAAAAGACTGTAACCCCCTTCTTGAATGGGCGCAGGTGGCCGCACCCACTCTGAGGGTTCGCCTACATTCATCGGTGGCAGCGGAGTAGCGGGCATCAAATGCGCTCCAGAACTGCCACCAGAAAAGTACGCTCTAGCACCACGGGAAGCAGAAGCATGTTCTTGCAGTAAGCTGCTACCACGCGGATTTGCAGGATGCTGCGTAGTCGACAGATACGAGGAGCTTGGCAGGGAAGTGCATGGCCAAGGAGAACATGGGTGCCCGTAAGAAGCTTCCCCTCCTTGTGCTTGCGACCCAAACATCGACGGACCAGCCGTCGGCAGGACGGCGTGTGGATACAGGAAATGTGGTGAATGGGTTTGAAGATGTTCGTTGAAGATTAATAGGTGCTGTTGCAAAAGCGACCCAGCATCTCGTTGAAATGACCACGCAGGTAGCCACGGAACTGGCGGCGAACGCTGCGCGCCGTCTTCTGTGTGCGGTGCAGGGGTCACAGTACTGGATGGAGGCTGTGCTGATTGAGCGAACCTTTTACGAGGCAGCTTGCGGCTCTGTGGTTTACTTTTTCGCTCCTGCTGACCCACCCTTTCTGCAGTCCCTTCTTCCATTGTGTTGCTAGCACTACCACGCTCCCCGGTCTCTGGCTCTTGGGACGGCAGAAGACCGCCAGCAGCTCTTACAGCCTCATCTATCTCGTTCTGTAAGTCTTTCAGCGGAGCAATCACGCCTTGAAATACGCTGAAATGCTGGGTGCCTAAAAGCGAAAACACGGCTGTCGACTTCTGGGATTCTAAAATGTGTAGACGAAGTGTGCCGTCTTTCGCGACATAGTAAGAGTGCGTATGGTAAACCGTTTTTAAAACGCTCAGCTGCTGCTCGACTACTTTCGATGGAAGCCTCTTCTCCGACGTATCTGTCCTTAGCCGTAGCAGCCCCTTCAAAACGCCCAGACAGTTCTTCATTACGATTTCCGCAGTTCCGATTATGCTTATCATCTTCCTTTTGTATTTATCAGCGCTCATCTCTTTCTCAAGGCGCCGTGGCTCTTTTATCCTCTCAATTAAAACTGTAAGGTCCTTGAGGTGGGCGCGAAGGTCCTCGTCACCTTCGTCATTCCGACCGAGTACGTGCTGTGCCAACTCAATGAGAGAGTCGCCTACGGCCTTTCTATAAGGCTCTATATCCTCTTTAACTAGGTAAATGGCTCCCAAATCGAGGGTAAGCAGCCTCAACACTTGGTTTGTCAACTGCAAACGCTGCTTGTGCGTCAACACTGGCAACAACGATCGGCATGAACTCGCAGCCTCTTTCATGCGCTGAAAGAGACATATTAAGCGTTGTTCTTCTTCCATAGGCATGTTCCGGCCTTCCCACAAGTCCAGGTCGTATGCCCTGAATGGTCTTTGTGGGTTGGAAGCAACGCCACTACCGTATTCCCAAATCTCCTCGTCCGCTTCTGCCTCTAAATCTACTTCTACTTGGGAGCTTCCAGCAGCGCCTTGTAATCCAGCAGCAACTACTTCTTGTGTTCCATCGGCAAGGCCTTGCAATTCAAAAGCCTCATGATGCAGCAAAAGGCTGCCTTCCCCAAAACCCTCCAGCTCTATATCTTCTGCCGAATGCCCCGTCAGCCCACTGCCACCTTCATCGCCATCCCCAGACACACTGCCTGAATCGCACGATTCATCTCGACGAGCTGCGAGAGACCTAGTGGGCGGGGCCCACTGACGCGCAGACTCTATTAAGCGAAAGCAAAGCAGCAAAAAATACGCTGCTGCCAACGAGGTGAATGCTACGCCTAGCAGACGAGTCCAAGACGATACAAACAGTTTGTTGTTTTGTTTACGCTGGACAAAGGGTGATTCACCCGCGAAGCGCTGATCGATTTCCCTCCGTAGATGTGAATCGGGGCCTTGATGGGTGATACCAGACGCCAGCATGCCCTGCTTGAGCTGCTCATTGGGCAGTGTGTCCATTGGACCAGACACCTCGCCTAACGTAGGTGGGGACGAAGTCAAAATCCTTACCAGATTGCTTCCAGCGTCAGTCCATATGTTGTCCAAAGAATGTAGCGTGGCACTTTTCGTGGCCACTCTAGAGGACTCTGCCGCTGTTGTGCGGCTTCCTTGGTCATCGAAACGGTGGCATACCCAAGTATGGCAGCATTGGTTTTGCATGCACTTTCTCCTCACCCAGCTACAGGAAAACAGAATGTTGCTTTCCGATGGCTGAAATCAAAGTGATCGTCCGATTCAAGTCAAGCTTAGCGGTTTCATGATTCCCGTTAGGAAGGAGATTGCGATGCTGGGCGCCCAGCAAAAAATCACAAAATGGCATGCTTAAAAAAATTCCTTTTCTCAAAAAGTCTGCTTATGGGGTCTCTGATGTAAAATTTCATGACACTCTGTGTTCAACATAACTTTCGGGGCTTCATGACTGTCTTGGGCAGCTGCTTGTCAAAGAAACTACGGTTGGGAACGGCGCAGCGCCATAATCATCGTGAAACGTATTCTGTCCGAATCTATAGCTACGAAAATCGATGGAGAATCTCGTAGCTATCTCACAGTTGGAGTCCAAAGCCCCTTGCGGTAGCTCTTGGAATCAGTCCATGAGCGTGGCAGTGTGGAACGAGCACTCTTCATGAGAACTGAATGGAGCGACAGCCTGCAGTGCTTATGTCCAGATTACAGTATCCGATATGGTACTTGATTCTGTTATTAAAAAGAAGCAACACGCCCTAGAACTGTAGTGAATACCTCGTTAAGCTATCGCTGTGTGTCTGTTTCCCCACGGCAATTGGGTACTGATGAACATGGCGTTACGTGGCATCCAACAAAGCGTCGACGACATCGCCCCAAAGAATCAGAGCAACCTTACAAAATTGTGCTCATCCAATCATTTATTCATTGTTCTCGGAGAAGCCAGCGGCGGGCTATCCCAGGAAGTGCCGCGTGTCCCCCATGGGATCGATGGGCCTAGTTGTGTGTGCGTGTGTGCCGTAGTTCCTGGCAGAACCCAACACAGATAATGCCTCGTCCCTTCTTAGCCTCAATTCAACTCAACAACCAAAGCAAGCGAATTCACACATTTTTCGCGAGCTAGGGGTGGAGTTAATCGCTGTCAACTGTGTCTCGCTGCACACTCCATGCTACTCGAAGCTACTCGAAGCTCGGGCTGCACTTCTGCACTGCTTATTAGAGTTGTTGCGCATCGCTGCTCTTCCATTGAACCTCTTTATGCTTCATTTTGGTTGATGCAAGAAGAATGCAAAATGTTGGAGCTGCCTCTCAGAGTGGCGATCTGGTTTCGAACTGTTCCACGCTTGCCAACGACACCTTCTCTTACCAATTACCAGAGGCGCGCTACCTCCTTTAGGCAATGAAGGTGTATTCAGCGTTGTGAGTAACTCTGCCGAAATCGATCATCATCAAGCCCTAGAGTAAGCGAGGTATTTCTTTCGACGATTGATTCCAGGGCGACGTCGCCCTTCACTACCACACTGATTTGAGGTACTGCTGCACTTCCGATTTATGTAGCTGAGGAATGCCGCACTAACGTTTGCATTTGCAGTGTTCTTGCCGCGCCATTACATCGTTGGTGCTGTTCCACCATGCTCTGGCAACGCCTACACGACACGAAACTATTGTCTGCTCCGCCCTCTTGGCACCTTCCCCACCGTAATTCGCTCCTGCTTAGACTGCTTTTTCGAACACGTTACGGTGATAGGCCACTTGCACACTGCAGCAATAGTGCACAATGCATCATAATGAGATGGCTACTTCTGCTAGGCATGACTGGGGCAAACGTGTTTAGTAGAACTGGACGGACGGCAGCCCCGGCGCTGCTAGGCCTAATTCCGGATGAAATTTCTTGTAGAATCTAGCCTAACAGCGAGTTCAGCGCTATAGTACGATCTCCTGCTACTGCTGTTGCTGAACTTTGCAATGCATACACACACCAACTGAAGCTGCGGCAATCATATCTGAAGGCTTATAAGCGAAGTCGTTCTACAACAAGTTCAACGCGATTCGCAAAGTACATCGGACGGGAAAATGAAACTCCTACTTAACTCGTCGCATCGTCCATAGCGCGGCGCAAGCTGCATGCAGAGCCAGGTTGCAGCTAAGGAGGCCGACGCAGTATAGGTGAAAAACGGAACTTCAGGGCCTGCACAGGATGCACGGGATGCGAAACTGCACGGCAAGAGGGACAAGGTCCTCGTTCACTTATTGTCGATCGCATGTCAGCCTGTGGAGTGAGCCTGTGGCTTTTTCCATTGTGTACGACCTGACATATTCCATTGGCGTCAGAGCAACCCACTGTAACGTCGCCGCATTTAATATCGGTATGCCCTGAGATTTAGAAAATAGCTCATTGACGGCCGCTCCACGTACGACCACTCGGAAAGTTATATCTTGCTGCGTCGTGACTATCCGTCATAGGACGTTGGGCGCCCTCTCCCTCTTGTGGCCTTCCGCCTCTGGCAGTGGAGCGTCTCTCTATAGAGGCAGGTGAAGCCTGTGAAAAAGGCAACCAGGGGGGTGTGCCGCCACCTCCAAAAAGACTGTAACCTCCACCTTGAAAAGGTGCTGGCGGCTGCAGCTGCTGAGACGGCTCACCCACACCCACACGCAGCAGCGGAGGAGGGGACACCAAAGAAGCTGCAGCGCTGCAACCAGCATATGCCTGCCGTGATGAGACGCTATGAGGTGGACGCGCAGTCTGCTGCACACCTGACGGTTGAGGCGGTCGTGCAAAGGGCATCTGTGGTGGAGGCAAATATGGATTGGTACCTAGAACTCCAGTTGTAGGTGCGTGCGGCCGAAATTTCGACAGACGAGACTCTGGGAGAGACACGGGCCGAGAGACAAGCTGCGGGAATTTATCCTGAGGATTCCAGGAGGAACCAAGTTTGTGCGGTTGCTGCCGAACCGGCCCAGCACCTTGTCGAGGCGGCCGGTCAGGTCGCCACAGTGGAACTCCAGCTAGGGGCGGACGGGTTGACTCCGCTCCTGTTTGCGCCGCAGCAGTTGTTGCATAAAATGAAGGCTGCAGCGTTTCCACAAAACTTTTTTGCGGCGGTTTGAGGCTCCGTTGTTCCCTCAGCCCCTCGTGTTTACCACATAGATTTCGACTCTCCTCCAATGCGACGCTAGCACTGTCGAATGCAACCCTTGCTTGCTGTTGAGCTTGCAGAAGACCGCCAGCCGCTCTTACAGCCTCGAGTATCCTGAATTTTTGCTCTTTCACTGGAAGGATTACGTCTGACGACACTTTGAAATGATCGGTAGTTAGGAGCGCATACACGCGTGTACGCTTTTGACACTCCAATATGTATTGACGAAGGCTACCGTCTCTAGCCACATGATCAGCGTGGACTCTGAAAATCGATTTTATAACCTCTATCTGCTGCTCTACTGTTCGTGGTGGGAGCTGGCCTGCCGATGTATCTTGCCTAAGCTGCAGCAGCCCATTCAAAACGCCCAGACAGTTCTTCAGTGCCACTTCGGCAGTTGCCAGTATTGCTATCATCTTCCTCTTGTATTTTTCAGGGGGCTTTTCCTTATATAGATGCCGTGGCTGCTTTAGCTCTGTTATCAAAGATGTCAGAGTTAAGAGCTTGCCGCGGAGCCTCTTACTGCCTGAGCCATCTGGCCCGTGGTGAAGTGCGTATTTTGCCAACTTAATGAGAGAGTCGCCTAGAGCCTTTCTACGACGCTCCTTATCCTCCCTAACTAGATAAATGGCTCCCAAATCCAGGGCAAGCAGCTTCAGCACTTGGTTTGTCAGCTGCAAACGGTGTCTGCGCGTCAACACTGGCAGCAACGATCGGCATGAACTCACAGCTTCGTGCATGCGCTTAAAGAGACGCACTAAGCGCAGCTCTTCTTCCACAGGCATGTTCCGGCTTTCCCATAAGTGCAAGTCATGTGCAAAGAGTGGTTTTTCTGAATCAGAGGCAACGCCACCAACGTATTCCCTAACCGCCTCATAAAACGCTGCCACGTAGTCTGCTTCTGCTTCTTCACCTGCGGCAGGGCTTTGTAATCCAGCAGCGACTACTTCTCCTTGTGTTCCTTCGGCAGCGCCTTTGAATCCAAAAGCCTCATGCTGCAGCAAAAGGCTGCCTTCCCCAAAACTCTCCAGCTCTAAACCTTCTGCCGATCCCCCCGTCAGCCGACTGCCGTCCTCATCGTCATCCCCAGACACACTGCCTGAATCGCACGACTCATCTTGGCGATCTGAGAGAGATCTCGCGGGCGGTGCCCACTGACGCGCAGACTCTATTAAGCGAAAACAAAGCAGCAAAAAATACGCTGCTGCCAACGAGGTGAATGCTATGCCTAGCAGACGAGTCCAAGACGATACAAACAGTTTGTTGTTTTGTTTACGCTGGACAAAGGGTGATTCACCCGCGAAGCGCTGATCGATTTGTTTTCGTGGATGCCATTCAGAACCTTGATGGCTGATACCTGAGGGCAGCATGCACTGCTGGAGTTGTTCACGGGTCGGTGTGCCCATTGGGCCAGACTCTGCGCCTCACGTTCGTGGAGGCACACTCTCAATCCTTACAAGATTGCTTCCAGCGTCAGTCCATATGCTGTCCATAGAATGTGGCGTGGCACTATTCGCAGCTACTCTAGAGTACTCTCTGCAGCTGCTGCGTGGCTCCCTTGGTCAACGAAAAAGTGAGACACGCGAATTAGGCAGCACTGGCTCAGTATGCATCTTGGTTTAAGTGAACTACTCGAGAGCAAGCTTTCGCGTTCTGTAGCTGAGAACAGATCGCTGTTAAGGTTCAACTCAGCTTTTCGGGTTTCATGATTCCTGCTACCGGGAAGCAGCTGGCGGACGGCCGGAAGATATGCAGACAAAAATAAGACAGTGGTATACTCAATGTTGACCACTTTCCAGTACCAGAACCATAAGATTTCATTGCTCGCTATGTTCAACTTTTGGGGCTTCATGATTGCCTGTACAAGCCCCAAGCTGGTCACTAGATCAGCGGTATAATCTGCTGCAGTTTTCTCCAAAACAATGTACAAATATGAAACAGCTTCATAATATCTCAAAATTTTCTCATAGTTGGAGCTCAAAGTTCCTTGTGGCAGCTCTTCTAATCAGTCCATGACCGTGGCAGTGTAGTATGATGGGCTCTCATCGGCGTACTAGAATCTGTATTCACTGGCGGGTGGTCTTGAGTGACTAATCCTCGGAACATGGCTTGCTCCCCTAAAGTCTCCCAATTAGGGACACAAACGTATATTACACATAAGTCACATAGGTCTTTTGGGGGGATCCTCCACGAAAGGTCTGTGTTTGGACCATGTGGACTGCTCCGGCAACAAGGGTGGCGCCTCAACCAGCGCTGCGCCTTGGACCACAGCGTGCAGTCAAGGCCACAAAGCCTTAGTCCCACTGTAAACTAGTCCCATTCCATCGAGTCACCACCTGTTTCCTATTTCTGGCCTCTAGAGGCCTCGAGGGAATTCATTCAAGTACCTGTGCATTACAGTCCAGTGTCCAGTGATGAGCCTTCTTCGTGACCGCGACGTGGAGCAACAACTTGCAATACTTACGTCAATGTTATAGTCTGTGATTTGCTGTTCAGTTCTTTAGTTAGAGATGAGTGAGAAGGCATGGGACTATTTTGGACAACTCTTCAAACTCTCGCCGTGTCTCCAAGTCCACTCTTCTGAAACAGGCGCTGAAGAAAACTGCACTAGGCAGCCTATGAAGAAGTTTCAAAGAAAACGCTCCAAAAGGAACCCGATATGTCAGTATTTTATTAGTATTCTTACCTACGCACTTCTAATTTAATGCTACGCCACATGGAATACCTGATTATCCTGACTACGTTGCGTATCTGAGCACAATATGTTCTCCTGGTTCGCTAAGTACTGTTAGAGAAATGTCCTCAAGCAAGCCTTCACTCATTAAGCTCTCAGCAGCCAGCCGCGGGGCGCACCAAGAGGTGCCATAGATGTCCCCAATAGATCAATAGCCACAGTTGAGTGTGTGCAGTTGTTCCTCGCGTAACCGAACACAGTTAATGCCTCGTCCCTTCTTAGCCTCAATTCAACTCAACAACCAAAGCAACCGTATTCACACACTTTTCGCGGGCTAGGGGTGGAGTTAATTGCTTTCAACTGTGTCTCGCTGCACACTCCAAGCTACTCGAAGCTACTCGAAGCTCGGGCTGCACTTCTGCACTGCTTATTAGAGTTGTTGCGCATCGCTGCTCTTCCATTGAACCTCTTTATGCTTCATTTTGGTTGATGCAAGAAGAATGCAAAATGTTGGAGCTGCCTCTCAGAGTGGCGATCTGGTTTCGAACTGTTCCACGCTTGCCAACGACACCTTCTCTTACCAATTACCAGAGGCGCGCTACCTGCTTTAGGCAATGAAGGTGTATTCAGCGTTGTGAGAGCCTCTGCCGAAATCGATCATCATCAAGCCCTAGAGTAAGCGAGGTATTTCTTTCGACGATTGATTCCAGGGCGACGTCGCCCTTCACTACCACACTGATTTGAGGTACTGCTGCACGTCCGATTTATGTAGCTGAGGAATGCCGCACTAACGTTTGCTTTTGTAGTGTTCTTGCCGCACCATTACATCGTTGGTGCTGTTCTACTATGCTTTGGCAACGCCTACACGACACGAAACTATTGTCTGCTCCGCCCTCTTGGCATTTTCCCCACTTAATAATTCACTCCTGCTTAGACTGCCTTTTAGAACGCCTTACGGTGATAGGCCACTTGCACACTGCAGCAATAGTGCACAGTGCATCATAATGAGATGGCTACTTCTGCAAGGCATGACTGGGATAAAAGTGTGTAATCGAACTATTCGAAAGGCAGCTCCGGGACTGCCAGGCCTAATTCCAGCCGCTCCACGTACGACCACTCGGGAAGCGATCTCTTGCTTCGTCCTGACCATTCCTCATACGACTTCGGGCTTCCTCTCCCTCTTCACGGTGCGGCCTTTCGTCATTTGCGGGGGAGTGTCTCTCTACAGAGGTAGGTGAAGCCTGTGAAAAAGGCAACCACGGGGGTATGCCGCCACCTCCAAAAAGACTGTAGCCTTCTTGCTGAGGAGGCGCTGGCGGCTGCAGCCGCTGAGACGGCTCACCCACACCCACACGCGGCAGCGGAGGAGGGGACACCAAAGGCGCTGCAGCACTGCGACCAGCATATGTCTGCCGTGATGAGGCGCTATGAGGTGGGCGCGCAGTCTGCTGCACACCTGACGGTTGAGGCGGTCGTTCAAGGGGCATCTGTGGTGGAGAGAAATACGCATGGGTGACTGAAACTCTCCTTGTAGGTGCTTGCGACGGCACAGTCAGCACGGACGACCATGGGAAAAACACTTGGGGAGGGACACGCTGTGGCAATTGATTCTGAGGACTCCAGGAGGAACCGAGTGTGTGCAGTTGCTGCCAAGCCAGTCCAGCACCTTGTCGAGGCGGCCGGTCAGGTCGCCACCGTGGAACTTCGGCAAAGGGCGGACGGGCTGCCTCCGCTCCTGTTTGCGCCGCAGCAGTAGTTGCGTAAAGCGAAGACTGCACGGTTCCCACAAAATCTTTTTCCGGCGGTTTTGGGCTCCGTTGTTCCATGAGTCTCCCTTCCTGACCAGTCCGCCTCTCCACTGCGCCGGTAGCACTGTCCAGCTCAGGCCTTGCTTGCTGTTGAGCTTGCAGAAGACCGCCAGCCGCTCTTACAGCCTCGAGTATCCGATTCATAAGCTCTTTTACTGGAGCGATTGCGTCTGAGGACACTTTGAAATGATCAGTAGTAAGGAGCGCATACACGCCTGTACGCTTTTGACAATGCAGTATGTGTTGACGAAGGCTACCATCTCTAGCCAAATGATCAGCGTGGACTCTGAAAATCGATTTCACAACCTCTATTTGCTGCTCCACTATTCGTCGTCGGAGCTGGCCTCCCGATATATCTGGCCTAAGCTGCAACAGCCCATTCAAAACGCCCAGACAGTTCTTCAGTGCCACTTCGGCAGTTGCCAGTATTGCTATCATCTTCCTTTTGTATGTTACAGCGCGCTTTTCCTTTGGGAGAGGCCTCGGTTTCTTTAATTCATTAATCAAAGTTTTCAAATTTCTAATTCTGGCGCGCTCTTTTCTATAGCTTGTACTTTCAATCACTCGTGGTAGTGCGTCATTTGCCAACTGAATGAGAGAGTCGCCTACCGCCTTTCTATAAGGCTCTTTATCCTCCCTAACTAGGCAAATGGCTCCCAAATCCAGGGCAAGCAGCTTCAACACTTGGTATGCCATCTGGAAACGCTGCTTGTTTGTCAACATTGGCAGCAACGATCGGCATGAACTCGCAGCCTCTTTCATGCTCTCAAGGAGACGTAGTAAGCGCTGTTCTTCTACCACGGGCATGTTTCGGCTTTCCCATAAGTGCAGGTCATCTTCTATTTGTGGGCAAGGATCAACGCCACTATCGTATTCCCAAATCTCCTCATCCTCTTCTGCCCCTAAATCTACTTCTGCTTGTGCGCCCCCACCAGCGCCTTGTAAATCAGCAGCAACTGCTTCTCCTTGTGTTCCTCCGGCAGAGCCTTGTAGTCCAAAAGCGTCATGATGCAGCAAAAGGCTGCCTTCCCCAAAACCCTCCAGCTCTATATCTTCTGCCGAATGCCCCGTCAGCCCACTGCCACCTTCATCGCCATCCCCAGACACACTGCCTGAATCGCACGATTCATCTCGACGAGCTGCGAGAGACCTAGTGGGCGGGGCCCACTGACGCGCAGACTCTATTAAGCGAAAGCAAAGCAGCAAAAAATACGCTGCTGCCAACGAGGTGAATGCTACGCCTAGCAGACGAGTCCAAGACGATACAAACAGTTTGTTGTTTTGTTTACGCTGGACAAAGGGTGATTCACCCGCGAAGCGCTGATCGATTTCCCTCCGTAGATGTGAATCGGGGCCTTGATGGGTGATACCAGACGCCAGCATGCCCTGCTTGAGCTGCTCATTGGGCAGTGTGTCCATTGGACCAGACACCTCGCCTAACGTAGGCGGGGACGAAGTCAAAATCCTTACCAGATTGCTTCCAGCGTCAGTCCATATGTTGTCCAAAGAATGTAGCGTGGCACTTTTCGTGGCTACTCTAGAGGCCTCTCTGCAGCTTTTTCACGGCTTCCTTGGTCATCGAAACGGTGCCATACCCAAGTATGGCAGCATTGGTTTTGCATGCACTTTCTCCTCACCCAGCTACAGGAAAACAGAATGTTGCTTTCCGATGGCTGAAATCAAAGTGATAGTGTGATTCAAGTCAAGTTTAGCAGTTTCATGATTCCCGTTAGGAAGGAGATTGCGATGCTGGGCGCCCAGCAAAAAATCGCGCAATTACATGCTGCAGACGAATCCGTTTCTCAAGAAGTATGTTTATGGGGACGCTGATATAAAATTTCATGACTCTCTGCGTTCAACTCAACTTTCGGGGCTTCATAACTCTCTTTAGCACCAGCTTGTCGAAGAAGCTCCGGTCAGGAACGTTGCAGTGCCATAATCATCATGAAACGTATTCTGTCCAATTCTCTAGCTACGAAAATCGATGGAGAATCTCGTAGCTGTCCCACAGTTGGAGTTCACAACCCCTTGCGGCAGCTCCTGGAATCAGTCGATGACTGTGCAGTGTGCAGCGAGGCACATTCTTCATGACAACTGAATGGAGCGACAGCCTGCAGTGCTTATGTCCAGATTACAGTATCCGACATGGTTCTTGGATTAGTAATTCAAAAGAAGCAAGAAGACCTGTAGTGAATATCTGGTTAAGGTCTCTGCTTCCCCACGGCAGGAATGGGTACTTAAGAAAACTACAGGAAAAATGCATCCAACGAAGCATCAAGCCCATCGGCCCGAAAATCAGAGCAATCTCACTAAATTGTGCTCATCCATCAATTTATTCATTGTTCTCGGAGAAGCCAGCAGCGGGCTATATCTCAGGAAGTGCCGTGTGTCCCCAGGGGATCGATGGGCCTAGATGTGTGCAGTAGTTCCTCGCATGACACAGCACAGACAATGCCTCGCTCCTTCCTAGCCTCAATTCAACTGAACAACCAGAGCAAATGAATTCACACATTTTTCGCGGGCTAGGGGTGGAGTTAATTGCTTTCAACTGTGTCTCGCTGCACACTCCAAGCTACTCGAAGCTACTCGAAGCTCGGGCTGCACTTCTGCACTGCTTATTAGAGTTGTTGCGCATCGCTGCTTTTCCATTAAACCTCTTTATGCTTCATTTTGGTTGATGCAAGAAGAATGCAAAATGTTGGAGCTGCCTCTCAGAGTGGCGATCTGGTTTCGAACTGTTCCACGCTTGCCAACGACACCTTCTCTTACCAATTACCAGAGGCGCGCTACCTGCTTTAGGTAATGAAGGTGTATTCAGCGTTGTGAGAGCCTCTGCCGAAATCTATCATCATCAAGCCCTAGAGTAAGCGAGGTATTTCTTTCGACGATTGATTCCAGGGCGACGTCGCCCTTCACTACCACACTGATTTGAGGTACTGCTGCACGTCCGATTTATGTAGCTGAGGAATGCCGCACTAACGTTTGCTTTTGTAGTGTTCTTGCCGCACCATTACATCGTTGGTGCTGTTCTACTATGCTTTGGCAACGCCTACACGACACGAAACTATTGTCTGCTCCGCCCTCTTGGCATTTTCCCCACTTAATAATTCACTCCTGCTTAGACTGCCTTTTAGAACGCCTTACGGTGATAGGCCACTTGCACACTGCAGCAATAGTGCACAGTGCATCATAATGAGATGGCTACTTCTGCAAGGCATGACTGGGATAAAAGTGTGTAATCGAACTATTCGAAAGGCAGCTCCGGGACTGCCAGGCCTAATTCCAGCCGCTCCACGTACGACCACTCGGGAAGCGATCTCTTGCTTCGTCCTGACCATTCCTCATACGACTTCGGGCTTCCTCTCCCTCTTCACGGTGCGGCCTTTCGTCATTTGCGGGGGAGTGTCTCTCTACAGAGGTAGGTGAAGCCTGTGAAAAAGGCAACCACGGGGGTATGCCGCCACCTCCAAAAAGACTGTAGCCTTCTTGCTGAGGAGGCGCTGGCGGCTGCAGCCGCTGAGACGGCTCACCCACACCCACACGCGGCAGCGGAGGAGGGGACACCAAAGGCGCTGCAGCACTGCGACCAGCATATGTCTGCCGTGATGAGGCGCTATGAGGTGGGCGCGCAGTCTGCTGAACACCTGACGGTTGAGGCGGTCGTGCAAAGGGCATCTGTGGTGGAGAGAAATATGCATGGGTGACTGAAACTCTCCTTGTAGGTGCTTGCGACGGCACAATTAAGAGAAAAGACACTGGGAAAAACACTTGGGGAGGGACACGCTGTGGCAATTGATTCTGAGGACTCCAGGAGGAACCGAGTGTGTGCAGTTGCTGCCAAGCCGGTCCAGCACCCTGTCGAGGCGGCCAGTCAGGCCACCACAGTGGAACTTCGGCAAAGGGCGGACGGGCTGCCTCCGCTCCTGTTTGCGCCGCAGCAGTAGTTGCGTAAAGCGAAGACTGCACGGTTCCCACAAAATCTTTTTCCGGCGGTTTTGGGCTCCGTTGTTCCATGAGTCTCCCTTCCTGACCAGTCCGCCTCTCCACTGCGCCGGTAGCACTGTCCAGCTCAGGCCTTGCTTGCTGTTGAGCTTGCAGAAGACCGCCAGCCGCTCTTACAGCCTCGAGTATCCGGTTTATAAGCTCTTTTACTGGAGCGATTGCGTCTGAGGACACTTTGAAATGATCAGCAGTAAGGAGCGCATACACGCCTGTACGCTTTTGACAATGCAGTATGTGTTGACGAAGGCTACCGTCTCTAGCCAAATGATCAGCGTGGACCCTGAAAATCGATTTCAGAACCTCTATTTGCTGCTCTACTATTTGTGGTGGAAGCTGGCCTCCCGATATGTCTTGCCTAAGCTGCAGCAGCCCATTCAAAACGCCCAGACAGTTCTTCAGTGCCACTTCGGCAGTTGCCAGTATTGCTATCATCTTCCTTTTGTATTTGTCCGCTCGCTTTTCCTTTGGGAGAGGCCTCGGTTTCTTTAATTCATTAATCAAAGCTTTCAAATTTTCAATCTTGCCGCGGAGCTTTCTACAGCCTGCACAGTCATCCACCTGTTGTAGTGCGTCATTTGCTAACTGAATGAGAGAGTCGCCTACGGCCTTTCTATAAGGCTCTTTATCCTCCCTAACTAGGGAAATGGCTCCCAAATCCAGGGCAAGCAACTTCAACACTTGGTATGTCATCTGCGGACGCTCCCTGTTTGTCAACATTGGCAGCAACGATCGGCATGAACTCGCAGCCTCTTTCATGCTCTCAAGGAGACGTAGTAAGCGCTGTTCTTCTTCCACAGGCATGTTTCGGCTTTCCCATAAGTGCACGTTATATGCACTGAATCGTGGGTTAGGAGCAACGCCACTATCGTATTCCCAAATTTCCTCGTCAGCCTCTGCCTCTAAATCTACTTGTAATCCAGCAGCAACTGCTTCTCCTTGTGTTCCTCCGGCAGAGCCTTGTGATCCAAAGGCCTCATGTTGCAGCAAAGGAGTGCCTTCCCCAAAACTCCCCAGCTCTAAACCTTCTGCCGAATCCCGCGTCTGCCCACTGCCACCTTCATCGCCATCCCCAGAGACACTGCCTGAATCGCACGATTCATCTCGACGAGCTGCGAGAGATCTAGTGGGCGGGGCCCACTGACGCGCAGACTCTATTAAGCGAAAGCAAAGCAGCAAAAAATACGCTGCTGCCAACGAGGTGAATGCTACGCCTAGCAGACGAGTCCAAGACGATACAAACAGTTTGTTGTTTTGTTTACGCTGGACAAAGGGTGATTCACCCGCGAAGCGCTGATCGATTTCCCTCCGTAGATGTGAATCGGGGCCTTGATGGGTGATACCAGACGCCAGCATGCCCTGCTTGAGCTGCTCATTGGGCAGTGTGTCCATTGGACCAGACACCTCGCCTAACGTAGGCGGGGACGAAGTCAAAATCCTTACCAGATTGCTTCCAGCGTCAGTCCATATGTTGTCCAAAGAATGTAGCGTGGCACTTTTCGTGGCTACTCTAGAGGCCTCTCTGCAGCTGTTGCACGGCTTCCTTGGTCATCGAAACGGTGCCATACCCAAGTATGGCAGCATTGGTTTTGCATGCACTTTCTCCTCACCCAGCTACAGGAAAACAGAATGTTGCTTTCCGATGGCTGAAATCAAAGTGATAGTGTGATTCAAGTCAAGTTTAGCAGTTTCATGATTCCCGTTAGGAAGGAGACTGCGATGGTTGGCGCCCAGCAAAAAATCGCACGATGACATGCTGAAGACGAATCCGTTTCTCAAGAAGTATGTTTATGGGGACGCTGATATAAAATTTCATGACTCTCTGCGTTCAACTCAACTTTCGGGGCTTCATAACTCTCTTTAGCACCAGCTTATCGAAGAAGCTCCGGTCAGGAACGGCGCAGCGCCATAATCATCATGAAACGTATTTTGTCCGATTCTATAGCTACGAAAATCGATGGAGAATCTCGTAGATGTCCCACAGTTGGAGTTCACAACCCGTTGCGGCAGCTCTTGAAATCAGTCCACGACTGTGCAGTGTCCAACGGGGCAGCGAGCAAGATTCTTCATGACAACTGAATGGAGCGACAGCCTGCAGTGCTTATGTCCAGATTACAGTATCCGAAATGGTTCTTGGATTAGTAATTCAAAAGAAGCAAGAAGACCTGTAGTGAATACCTCGTTAAGCTCTCGCGGTGTCTCTGTTTCCCCACGGCAGGAATGGGTACTAAAGAAGACTGGAGGAGAAATACATCCAACGAAGCATCGAGCCCATCGGCCCGAAAATCAGAGCAATCTCACTAAATTGTGCTCATCCAACAATTTATTCATTGTTCTCGGAGAAGCCAGCAGCGGGCTATATCCCAGGAAGTGCCGTGTGTCCTCAGGGGATCGATGGGCCTAGATGTGTGCAGTAGTTCCTCGCATGACACAAAACAGACAATGCCTCGCTCCTTCCTAGCCTCAATTCAACTGAACAACCAGAGCAAATGAATTCACACATTTTTCGCGGGTCAGGGGTGGAGTTAATTGCTTTCAACTGTTTCGCTGCACACTCGAAGCTCGGGCTGCACTTCTGCACTGCTTATCAGAGTTGTTGCGCATCGCTGCTTTTCCATTGAACCTCTTTATGCTTCATTTTGGTTGATGCAAGAAGAATGCAAAATGTTGGAGCTGCCTCTCAGTGTGGCGATCTGGTTTCGAATTGTTCCACGCTTGCCAACGACACCTCTTGCCAATTACCAGAGGCCCGCTACCTCCTTTAGGCAATGAAGGTGTATTCAGCGTTGTGAGAGCCTCTGCCGAAATCCGTCATCATCAAGCCCCAGAGTACGCCAGGTATTTCTTTTGACGGTTGATTCCATGGCGACGTTGTCCTTCAGCACCCACACCGATGTGAGGTAGTGCTACACTTCGGACCTATGTAGGCCGCATTAACGTGCCGCATTGAAGCCTGGATTTGTAGTGTTCTTGCCGCGCCATTACATCGTTGGTGCTGTTCCACTATGATTTGGCAACGCCTACACGATACAAAAGTGTTGTCTGCTCTGCCCTCTTGCCAGCTTCCCACTTAGTCATCCGGTCCTGCTGAGACTGCCTTTTCGTGCACCTTACGGTGATAGGCCACTTGGTCGCTGCAGAAATGGTGCACAGTAAGTCATGTTCAGGTGGCTACTTCTGGTAGGCATGACTGGGGCAAACGTGTCTTGTAGAGCTGGACAGACGGCAGTCCCGGCGCTGCTAGGCCTAATTCCAATAGAAATGTCTTGTGGAATCTAGCCGAACCGCGAGCTCAGTGCTACAGTACGAGCTCCTGCTACGGCTGTCGCTGAATTTCGCAATCCATACAAAAACCAGCTGAAAATATCTGAAGACTTTTGAACGAAGTCGTTCTACAACAAGTTCAAGGCGATTCGCAAAATACACCGAACAGGAAAATGCAAACTCCTAGTTGACTCGTCTCATCGCCCACAGCACGCCGCAAGTTGCGTAAAAAGCCTGGTTGCTGTGTAGTAGTTACTACAGAGGCCGACGCAGTATAGGTGAAAAACGGAATTTCAGGGGCTTCACAGGATGCACAGGGTGCGCGACTGTGCGGGAAGTGGGACGAGGTCCTCGCCTACTTACTGTCGGCCGCATCTCAGCCCGTGGCCTGGGTCTGTGCAAAATCCCATTGCGTACAGTCCGACACATTTTGCATCGGCATCTGAGCAGGCCACTCTAAAATCGCCACAATTGAAATCAGTATGACCTAAGACTTAGAAATAACAGTTCATCGGCGGCCGCTCCAAGCCTGACCACTCGCGAAGCGGTGTTCTGCTTCGTCCTGACCATTCCTCATACCACGTTGGGTGCCCTCTCCCTCTTGCGGCCTTCCGTCACTTGCACGGGAGCGTCTCTCTATAGAGGCAGGTGAAGCCTGTGAAAAAGGCAACCAGGGGGGTATGCCGCCACCTCCAAAAAGACTGTAGCCTTCTTGCTGAGGAGGCGCTGGCGGCTGCAGCCGCTGAGACGGCTCACCCACACCCACACGCGGCAGCGGAGGAGGGGACACCAAAGGCCCTGCAGCGCTGCGACCGGCATATGTCTGCCGTGATGAGGCGCTATGCGGTGGACGCCCAGTCTGCTGTACACCTGACGGTTGAGGCGGTCGTGCAAAGGGCATCTGTGGTGGAGAGAAATATGAATGGGTGACTGAAACTCCCCTTGTAGGTGCTTGCGATGTAGGTGCTTGCGATGACACAGTCAACAGAGAAGACCCTGGGGGAAACACTTGGGGAGGGAGAAGCTGTGGCAATTGGTCCTGAGGACTCCAGGAGGAACTGAGTGTGTGCAGTTGCTGCCGAACCGGTCCAGCACCCTGTCGAGGCGGCCAGTCAGGCCACCACAGTGGAACTCCGGCTAGGGGCGGACCGGTTGCCTCCGTTCCTGTACGCGCCGCAGCAGTGGTTGCGTAATGCGAAGACTGCACCGTTCCCACAAAATTCTTTTCCGGCGGCTTTGGGCCCCATACTTCCATCAGCCTCTCGTACTGACCACTCCACTTCTCCTGTGGAAAAGATAACCTGTTGGACGTGTCGCCATCTGTAAAATGACTGTAAGCCTCTTCTTGAAAAGGCCCTGGTAGCTGCAGCCGCTGAGACAGTCCACCCACATCCACACGCCGCAGCGGAGAAGGGGGAACAAAGGGCGCTGCAGCGCTGCGACCAGCATATGCCTGCTGTGATGAGACGCTGTGAGGTGGACGTGCAGTATAGTGCATATCTGGCGGTTGAGACGGTCGTGGAAAGAATATCTGCGGTGGAGAGAGATATGGATGGGTGTCTACAACTCCAGTTGTAGGTGCTTGCGGCCGATATGTCGACAGATGAGGCTCTGGGAGAGACACAGACGGGGAGGCAAGCTGCGGCAATTGATCCTGAGGACTCCAGGAGGAACCGAGTGTGTGCAGTTGCTGCCGAACCGGCCCAGCACCTTGTCCAGGCGGCCGGTCAGGTCGCCACAGTGGAACTCTCGCTGGCGGCGAATGCATTTCCTCGACTTCCTCATGCGGCGTAGAAGTTGTGGCGTCAGATGAAAGCGTCACGGCTTCTGCGAAGCCTTCGTACAGCGGTGTGTGGCTCGACGGTTTGCGCTGCTCCGAATCCTGGATAATTGGTCCTTCAGTCTGTCTTACCAATGCGGCGCGAGCTTTTGCAAGTTTCATTCGAGGTGGTGGTGGAGGGCGGAGAAAACCACCAGCATCCCTAACGGCGTCAAATATACTTTGTTGCATGTCTTTCAGTTTAGGGAGTTCTATTCTGGACGTTGTAAAATACTCTTTGCTGATAATCGTATACACACCTGTTTGTTTCTGACAATCTATAATGTGTTGTCGAAGGGAACCGTCTTTGGACAGGTAGTAAACGTGGGCGTCGAAAATGGCTTTCAAAACATCCACCTGTTGCGCGACTACTTTCGGTGGCAGCCTCCTCTGCGAATCTTCCTTCAACTGTTCCAGCCCTTGCAAAACTCCTGCGCAACACTTTAGAGCCACTTCGGCAGTTGACATCAGGGCTATCATCTTTTTTTTGTATTTTTTAGCGCTCTTTTCTTCATCGACATGCCGCGGCTGCTTTATCTCTTCAAGTAAAACTATTAATTCTTCAACTTTCCTGCGTAACTTTCTATGGCCTTGGTCGCCGTCCACCTGCTGAAGTAAACGCTTTATCAATTGGATGGCAGAGTCGCCTACGGCTCTCCTCTCAGGCTCCATGCTCTCCTTAACAAGTGATGCGGCTCCCAAATCCAGGCCGATCAACCTAGCCACATAAAATACCAACTGCATGCGTTGAATGTACGTTAATGCTGTCAACAGCGGCCCACATGAATTCAAAATTTCTTGCATTCGGCCAAACAGACTTCTTAAACGCTGTTCTTGTTCCACAGGCATGTTCCTGCCTTCCCATAAGTGCAAATCAGCGTCCTCAGCTTGATTGGGGTTAAAGCCAGCAACATCTTCCGAAATATCGAAATAGGATGCAAACCCAACATCTACCTCTTGTGTTCCTTCGGCAGCGCCTTGTAATCCAAAAACCTCAGGATGCAGCAAAAGGCCGCCTTCCCCAAAACTCTCTAGCTCTAAACCTTCTGCCGAATCCCCCGTCGGCCCAGTGCCACCTTCATCCGCATTCCCAGACACACTGCCTGAGTAGCATGATTCATCTCGACGAGCTGCGAGAGATCTAGTGGGTGGGGCCCACTGACGCGCAGACTCTATTAAGCGAAAGCAAAGCAGCAAAAAATACGCTGCTGCCAACGAGGTGAATGCTACGCCTAGCAGACGAGTCCAAGACGATACAAACAGTTTGTTGTTTTGTTTACGCTGGACAAAGGGTGATTCACCCGCGAAGCGCTGATCGATTTCCCTCCGTAGATGTGAATCGGGGCCTTGATGGGTGATACCAGACGCCAGCATGCCCTGCTTGAGCTGCTCATTGGGCAGTGTGTCCATTGGACCAGACACCTCGCCTAACGTAGGCGGGGACGAAGTCAAAATCCTTACCAGATTGCTTCCAGCGTCAGTCCATATGTTGTCCAAAGAATGTAGCGTGGCACTTTTCGTGGCTACTCTAGAGGCCTCTCTGCAGCTGTTGCACGGCTTCCTTGGTCATCGAAACGGTGCCATACCCAAGTATGGCAGCATTGGTTTTGCATGCACTTTCTCCTCACCCAGCTACAGGAAAGCAGAATGTTGCTTTCCGATGGCTGAAATCAAAGTGATAGTGTGATTCAAGTCAAGTTTAGCAGTTTCATGATTCCCGTTAGGAAGGAGATTGCGGTGGTTGGCGCCCAGCAAAAAATCGCACGATGACGTGCTGAAGACGAATCCGTTTCTCAAGAAGTATGTTTATGGGGACGCTGATATAAAATTTCATGACTCTCTGCGTTCAACTCAATTTTGGGGGCTTCACATTTTTAGCACCAACTTGTCGAAGAAACTCCGGTCAGGAACGGCGCAGCGCCATAATCATCATGAAACGTATTTTGTCCGATTCTCTAGCTACGAAAATCGATGGAGAATCTCGTAGCTGTCCCACAGTTGGAGTTCACAGCCCCTTGCGGCAGATCCTGGAACCAGTCCTTGAGCGTGGTAGTATGCAGCGAGAAGTCTTCATCACAACTGAATGGAGCGACAGCCTGCAGTGCTTATGTCCAGATTACAGTATCCGATATGGTTCTTGGATTAGTAATTCAAAAGAAGCATGAAGACCTGTAGTGAATACCTCGTAAACTTTCGAGGTCGAACTGTCTCCTCGGAACATGAGCGGGTACTAAACAAAACGGGAGGAGACATGCATCCAATGAAGCATCAAGCCCATCGGCCCGAAAGAACAGAGCACTCTTACTAAATTGTGCTCATCTAACCATTTATTCACTGTACTCGGAGAAGCCAGCTGCTGGCTATATCCCAGAGAATGCCGTGTGTCCCGTGGTGTCCCCAGGGGATCGATGGGCCTAGTTGTGTGTGCAGTAGTTCCTCGCATGACGCAACACAGTTAGTGCCTCGTCCCTTCTTAGCCTCAATTCAACTCAACAACCAAAGCACATAAACTCACACATTTTTCTCAAACAAGGACTCGAGTTAATTCCTTTCAACTGTGTCTTGCTGCACACTCCAAGCTACTCGAAGCTCGGGCTGCACTTCTGCACTGCTTATTAGAGTTGTTGCGCATCGCTGCTCTTCCATTGAACCTCTTTATGCTTCATCTTGGTTGATGCAAGAAGAATGCAAAATGTTGGAGCTGCCTCTCAGTGTGGCGATCTGGTTTCGAATTGTTCCACGCTTGCCAACGACACCTTCTCTTACCAATTACCAGAGGCGCGCTACCTGCTTTAGGCAATGAAGGTGTATTCAGCGTTGTGAGAGCCTCTGCCGAAATCTATCATCGTCAAGCCCCAGAGTACGCCAGGTATTTCTTTTGACGGTTGATTCCATGGCGACGTCGCCCTTCACTACCACACTGATGTGAGGTAATGCTACACTTCGGACCTATGCAGCTGAGGAATGCCGCATTAAGGTGCCGCATTAACGCTTGGATTTGTAGTTCTATTGCCGCGCCATTACATCGTTGGTGCTGTTCCACTATGCTTTGACAACGCTTACACGACACAAGAATATTGTCTGCTCTGCCCTCTTGGCACCTTCCCCACTTAGTAATCCGGCCCTGCTGAGACTGCCTTCCCGAACAGACTACGGTGATAGGCCACTTGCTGAATGCAGGACTGGCGCACAGTAAGTCATGTTCAGATGGCTACTACTGCTAGGCATGACTGGGGCAAACGTGTCTAGTAGAGTTAGACGGACGGCAGCCCCGGCGCTGCTAGGCCTAATTCCAATAGAAATGTCTTGTGGAATCTAGCCGAACCGCGAGCTCATTGCTACAGTACGAGCTCCTGATACGGCTGTCGCTGAATTTCGCAATCCATACAAAAACCAGCTGAAAATATCTGAAGACTTTTGAACGAAGTCGTTCTACAACAAGTTCAAGGCGATTCGCAAAATACACCGAACAGGAAAATGCAAACTCCTAGTTAACTCGTCTCATCGCCCACAGCACGCCGCAAGTTGCGTAAAAAGCCTGGTTGCTGTGTAGTAGTTACTACAGAGGCCGACGCAGTATAGGTGAAAAACAGAATTTCACGGGCTTCACAGGATGCACAGGATGCGCACCTGTGCGGGAAGTGGGACGAGGTCCTCGCCTATTCACTGTCGGCCGCATCTCAGCCTGTGGTTTGGGTCTGTGGTTTTTCCTATTTTGTACAACCTGACGCTATTGCATCGGCGTCCGAGCAAGCCGCCGTAACGTCGCCGCAAAGGCGGTATGCCTTAAGAAAAGATAGCTCATTGACAGCCGCTCCAATTACCGCCACTCCATAAGCTATCTCCTGCTTCGTCCTGACCATTCCTCATACCACGTTGGGTGCCCTCTCCCTCTTGCGGCCTTCCGTCACTTGCACGGGAGCGTCCCTCTATAGAGGCAGGTGAAGCCTGTGAAAAAGGCAACCAGGGGGGTATGCCGCCACCTCCAAAAAGACTGTAGCCTTCTTGCTGAGGAGGCGCTGGCGGCTGCAGCCGCTGAGACGGCTCACCCACACCCACACGCGGCAGCGGAGGAGGGGACACCAAAGGCCCTGCAGCGCTGCGACCGGCATATGTCTGCCGTGATGAGGCGCTATGAGGTGGACGCCCAGTCTGCTGTACACCTGACGGTTGAGGCGGTCGTGCAAAGGGCATCTGTGGTGGAGAGAAATATGAATGGGTGACTGAAACTCCCCTTGTAGGTGCTTGCGATGTAGGTGCTTGCGATGACACAGTCAACAGAGAAGACCCTGGGGGAAACACTTGGGGAGGGAGAAGCTGTGGCAATTGGTCCTGAGGACTCCAGGAGGAACTGAGTGTGTGCAGTTGCTGCCGAACCGGTCCAGCACCCTGTCGAGGCGGCCAGTCAGGCCACCACAGTGGAACTCCGGCTAGGGGCGGACCGGTTGCCTCCGTTCCTGTACGCGCCGCAGCAGTGGCTGCGTAGTGCGAAGACTGCACCGTTCCCACAAAATTCTTTTCCGGCGGCTTTGGGCCCCATACTTCCATCAGCCTCTCGTACTGACCACTCCACTTCTCCTGTGGAAAAGATAACCTGTTGGACGTGTCGCCATCTGTAAAATGACTGTAAGCCTCTTCTTGAAAAGGCCCTGGTAGCTGCAGCCGCTGAGACAGTCCACCCACATCCACACGCCGCAGCGGAGAAGGGGGAACAAAGGGCGCTGCAGCGCTGCGACCAGCATATGCCTGCTGTGATGAGACGCTGTGAGGTGGACGTGCAGTATAGTGCATATCTGGCGGTTGAGACGGTCGTGGAAAGAATATCTGCGGTGGAGAGAGATATGGATGGGTGTCTACAACTCCAGTTGTAGGTGCTTGCGGCCGATATGTCGACAGATGAGGCTCTGGGAGAGACACAGACGGGGAGGCAAGCTGCGGCAATTGATCCTGAGGACTCCAGGAGGAACCGAGTGTGTGCAGTTGCTGCCGAACCGGCCCAGCACCTTGTCCAGGCGGCCGGTCAGGTCGCCACAGTGGAACTCTCGCTGGCGGCGAATGCATTTCCTCGACTTCCTCATGCGGCGTAGAAGTTGTGGCGTCAGATGAAAGCGTCACGGCTTCTGCGAAGCCTTCGTACAGCGGTGTGTGGCTCGACGGTTTGCGCTGCTCCGAATCCTGGATAATTGGTTCTTCAGTCTGTCCCTCCAATGTGGCGCGAGCTTTTGCAAGTTTCATTCGAGGTGGCGCTGTAAGTCGGAGAAAACCACCAGCATCCCTAACGGCGTCAAATATACTTTGTTGCATGTCTTTCAGTTTAGGGAGTTCTATTCTGGACGTTGTAAAATAATCTTTACTGATAATCCTGCGAGCACCTGTACGTCTTTGACAATCTATAATGTGTTGTCGGAGGGAACCATCTTTGGATAGACTATCAACGTGGGCGTCGAAAATCGCTTTCAAAACATCCACCTGTTGCGCAACTACTTTCGGTGGCAGCCTCCTCTGCGAATCTTCCTTCAACTGTTCCAGCCCTTGCAAAACTCCTGCGCAACACTTTAGAGCCACTTCGGCAGTTGACATCAGGGCTATCATCTTAATTTTGTATTTTTGAGCGCTCTTTTCTTCATCGACATGCCGCGGCTGCTTTATCTCTTCAAGTAAAACTATTAATTCTTCAACTTTCCTGCGAAATTTTCTATGGCCTTGGTCGCCGTCCACCTGCTGAAGTAAACGCTTTATCAATTGGATGGCAGAGTCGCCTACGGCTCTCCTCTCAGGCTCCATGCTCTCCTTAACAAGTGATGCGGCTCCCAAATCCAGACCGATCAACCTAGCCACATAAAATACCAACTGCATGCGTTGCATGTACGTTAATGCTGTCAACAGCGGCCCACATGAATTCAAAATTTCTTGCATTCGGCCAAACAGACTCCTTAAACGCTGTTCTTGTTCCACAGGCATGTTCCTGCCTTCCCATAAGTGCAAATCAGCGTCCTCAGCTTGATTGGGGTTAAAGCCAGCAACATCTTCCGAAATATCGAAATAGGATGCAAACCCAACATCTACCTCTTGTGTTCCTTCGGCAGCGCCTTGTGATCCAAAAACCTCAGGATGCAGCAAAAGGCCGCCATCCCCAAAACCCTCCAGCTCTAAACCTTCTGCCGAATCCCCCGTCGGCCCAGTGCCACCTTCATCCGCATTCCCAGACCCACTGCCTGAGTAGCATGATTCACCTCGACGAGCTGCGAGAGATCTAGTGGGTGGGGCCCACTGACGCGCAGACTCTATTAAGCGAAAGCAAAGCAGCAAAAAATACGCTGCTGCCAACGAGGTGAATGCTACGCCTAGCAGATGAGTCCAAGACGATACAAACAGTTTGTTTCTTTCTTTACGCTGGATAAAGAGTGATTCATCCGCGAAGCGCTGATCGATTTCCCTCCGTAGATGCGAATCGGAGCGTTGATGGGTGATACCAGAGAGTGGCAGGTCATGCCTGAACTCATGAGGCTGTGGGTTCATTGGACCTGACTTTTCCCCTCAGGGACGCGGTGAAAAGCGCTCTTTCATTGCCAGCTTTTTTAATCTCTGTCCAAACAATGTTCAAGAAGTGCAGGCAGGCACTGCGTGTAGCTACTGTTGAGCACCTTGTGCAACTGCGACGCACCTTCCCTGCCCATTAAAAATGGTGACGCACCCGAATAAGGAACATGGGCTACGTATACAGGATTATCTCTGCGCGTTGTAGGAAAAACAGGATGTTGCTTCTTGCTCGCGAAAGCCAGATCGGTATCAAGCTTCAATTCGTGTCTTGGGATCTGATGTTTCCCAAATGCCGCTGAACCCACAGGTCAAAGTGGTAAAATGGCAAGCTCCACACTGAGCCTTCTGCGAGGAGATACATTTGTAGGAGCCTAGCCAGAAGATTTCATGGCGGCCTCTGTTCAACTGCGCATTTGGCGCTCCACGGCTCCCTTTACAACCAGCAAGTTCGTCAGAAGATCCCCCTCAGAAGAGCTTAATGCCATAATCAGGATGGGAATTTTTTTGGACAAGTCTGTGAATACGAAGCTTGACACAGGATCCCATGCTTTTCTCACAGCTGTATTCCAAATGCCCCAACTGCAGCTCTTGAAATCAGCGCATGAGCGCGCCAGCATGCAGCGATGAGCCCTCTTCATCCATGACCGCTGAGAGGAACGACAGCCTGATGTACCTGTCTCCAGATTACAGTCGGCAAATTTCTTTTAAGTGATGTATTTATAATGTAGTGAAAAGTCCTAGAACTGTTGTAAATTCCTCGTCAAACTTTCGCCATGTCCCTGTCTCCCCACTGCAGGAACGGGTACTGAAGAAATCTGCAAGAAAATTGAACTTCGTGGAATATAATGAAGCATCCCCGGCACTTTTGCGAATACTTAGAGGACGAAAATTAAACTATCCCCGTCCACTAGCTGATTTATTGCACGTGGAGAAACCAGCCATGGGTAAACCAGCAAGTGCCGTAGGTCTGTCTGTGTGATCGATGAACCTAGTATGTGTAGCCGTCTCTCACCTAACCCCAAAAAGTTAATCCCTCACCCTGCCTTGGTCTCAATTAAACTCAACAACCAAAGCAAATAAACTCGCACATTTCGCGCTGGCTAGTAGTGGATTTAATTGCTTTCAGCTGTGCTTCGCTGGATACGCAAAGCCCACGCGGCACTTCTGCAAAGCTTATTTTCTGAGTTGTCTCACCTGCTCTTCCATTGAACCTGCTAAGCACCTTTTTGGTTGGTTCAAGAAGAATGCAAAATGTGGAGCTGGTGTGGCGGTCTGATTTATTGTTCCACGCATGCCACACCAATTGCCAGAGGCCCGCTACCTCCTCCAGGCAATGAAGGTTTATTCAGCGTTGTGAGTAACTCTGCCGAAATCTATCATCTTCGAGCCCCATAGTAAGCGAGGTATTTCCTTTGATGATTGATTCCAGGGCGACGCCGCCCCCCACTACCACACTGATTTGAGGTACTGCCACACTTCCTATTTATGTAGCTGAGGAATGCCGCATTAACGCTTGATTTTGTAGTGTCCTTGCCGCGCCATTACATCGTTGGTGCTGTTCCACTACGCTTTGACAACGCTTACACGACACAGAAATGTTGTCTGCTCCCCCTTCTTGGCATTTTCCCCAGTTAGCAATTCGCTGCTGCTGAGACTGCCTTTTCGTACACCTTACAGTGATAGGCCACTTGCACACTGCAGGACTGGCGCACAGTGCATCATACTCATCTGGCTACTTCTGCTAGGCTTGACTGGGGCAGACGTGTCCAGTAGAATTAGTCGAACCGCAGCCCCGGCGCTGCTAGGCCTAATTCCGGAAAAAATACCTCGTGGAATATAGCCGAGCCGCGAGCTCAGTGCTACAGTACGAGCTCCTGCTACTCCTGTTGCTGAACTCTGCAATGCGTACAAACATCAACCGAAGCCGCGGCAATCACATCTGAAGACTTGTGAACGAAGTCGTTCTACAACAAGTTCAACACGATTCGCAAAATACATCGAACAGGAAAATGCAATCACCTAGTTAACTCGTCTCATCGCCCACAGCGCGGCGCGAATTGTACGCAGAGCCAGATTTCTGCGTTGTAACTACTAAGGTAGCCGACGCAGTACAGGTGAATAATGGAATTTCAGGGCCTGCGCAGGATGCACGGGGTGCGCGACTGTGCGGGAAGTGGGACGAGGTCCTCGCCTACTTACTGTCGGTCGTATCTCGGCTTGTGGCCTGAGTCTGTTTTTTTCCATTGTATACAACCTGACGCTTTTTGCATTGGCGTCCGAGCAAGCCGCTGTAACATCGCCGCAAAGGCGGTATGCCTTAAGAAAAGATAGCTCATTGACGGCCGCTCCAATTACCGCCACTCCAGAGGCTATCTCCTGCTTCGTCCCGACCATTCCTCATACCACGTTGGGTGCCCTCTCCCTCTTGCGGCCTTCCGTCACTTGCATGGGAGCGTCTCTCTATAGAGGCAGGTGAAGCCTGTGAAAAAGGCAACCAAGGGGGTACGCCGCCACCTCCAAAGAGACTATAACCTTCTTGCTGAGGAGGCGCTGGTGGCTGCAGTCGCTGAGACAGTCCACTCACATCCACACGCGGCAGCGGAGAAGGGGGAACCCAAGGCGCTGCAGCGCTGCGACCGGCATATGTCTGCTGTGATGAGACCCTATGACGTGGACGTGCCGCATACTGCACACCTGACGGTTGAGGCGGTCTTGGCAAAAGAGGAGGACGGGGAGTGCCCTGCATTTCTGATAGATGAGCCAGCATTGGGAATGAAATCTGATTAGAATGAGAATAGGGAGAACTCTCTACAGGACTGTACCCCGTTATGTGCGGCTGAGCCGCATGCAGATAACGCGCTGATGGAGTGTCCTGCAGAGAGACAACCGGTGGCCAAGGGTTTCGAAATCGTCCGGAGAAACTAAGTGTACGGGGTTGCAGCAAAACAGGTCCAGCCTGTCGAGGCGCCCCGTCAGGTCGCCAAGGTGGAAGTCCGGTTGGCGGCGAATGCGTTACCTTCACTGCTTTATGTGCTGCAGAAGTTTTGGGGTCAAAGGTAAAGTGCACGGCTTGCACGAACTCCTCCCTCAGTAGCATGTCGCCTGACTGCCGACTTTGTTCCTCAGGCTGATTCTTTCTCTCTCCAGTCGGTTCCTCCAATGCGCCGCTAGCACTATCATGCTCTCGTGTGCGTGACTGTCGTGAAGGTAGAAGACCGCCAGCATTCACAACCGCCTCAGCTATCTGTTGCTGCAAGTGTTTTAGTGGAAGAATCATTTCTTTGGAAACAGTGAAGTGCTCGCGATCTAAAAGCGCATACACACGTTTTCGCTTTTGGCACTCTACTATGTGTTGTCGAAGACAGCCGTCTCTAGCCACATGATCAACGTGGGCGATGTATACTGCCTTTACAACGTGCAATTGCTGCTCAACTGTTTTCGGTGGAAGCGACCTTGCCGACGTAGCTTCCTTAAGCTGTAGCAGCCCACGCAAAACGCCGAGACAACTACTTAGCACCGTCTCGGCAGTTGCCACAATACTTATCATCTTTTTCCTATATTTTTCAGCGCTCTTTTCTTCGCCAATTTGCCGCGGTTTTTTAATCTCAATCACTAGCTCCTTCAATTTGCTGAGCCTGCCCCGAACTCTTTCATTGCTTTCCTGGTTGCCCCCTAGTTCAAGTGAACGCTCAATCAAATTGATGAGAGCATCGCCTACGGCGTTTCTTTTAGACTCCTTATCCTCTCTAACTAGCGAAGCGGCTCCCAAATCCAAGGCGATCAGCCTCACTACATGGTACGTCACTTGCATCCGTTGCGTGGAAGTTAACGCTGGCAGCAGTGAGATACACAACTTCGAAGCCTCTCTCATGGAATCGAAGAGACACAGTAGTCGATTTCCGTAATCAGTAGGCATGTTCCTGTTTTCCCACAAATACAAGCCACCGCCTGGACTTCGCGCAGTAGGAGCAACAGCGACAGCACCTCTAGAAGTCCCCTCTCCAGCTTCAGCGTCAGCTTCTACGCGTTGTTGCACTCTTCCGAAAGACATTTGCAGTCCAGAAGCTTGAGGAAACGGCAAAAGGCTGCTGTCCCCAAATCGTGCCCGCCCAAAAAGTTGTGTCCAATCCGTTGTTGGCTCACCGCCACCTTCACCATCACCTGCAGGCGCGTCGCCTGATTCACATGATTCATCTCGGTGAGCTGCGAGAGCTCTAGTGAGCGGAGTCCGCTGATGCCCAGATTCTATAAAGTGAAAGCAGAGCAACAGAAGGTATGCTGCCGTCAACGACGCTAATACCACGCCGAGAAGACGAACCCAAGACGATGCGTTGGTGGAACGCTGGGAAACAAGTGGTTCATCACCAGATCTTTGGACAATAAGCCTCCATGAATGTGAGTCTGAACCTTGATGAGGGATGCCAAGGAGCTGCAGCTCGTGCCAGAGCTGTTCTTGCGGCAGTGTGTTCATTGGGCCAGGCTCTGCCCTTTATGTACGTGAGGAGAATGTCTCAACCCTTGCTAGCTTGTTATTATATCCCGTCCAAACTGTGTCAATGCAGTGGAAGCTGATACGCTTTGTGGCTACTCTTGAACATTTGCTAAGGCTACTGCGCGTCACCCTCGTTCATCAGTGCAGTAACACTCCCGAGGAGGGACACATTGGTTTGGTAGCCGATCCCCTTTCATCAAACTGTAGGCATTGGTTGTGTCGCCGACCCGCCTTCAGAAAGATGTAGGAAGGCCGCTCGATGCTTCTTCGTGGCTGAAATGACGGGGCGATATCAAGATTGAACTCAATTTCTAGTGGCGCGATTCCTAATGCCAGGAAGCTTGCCGGCGTGCCCTCCAGCCCAAAACAGCACGGTGGGAAAGCCAGCATTAGGCCTTTTTCAATAAATATGTGTTACGGAGCTCAGACGTAAGGTTTTACGGCTGCTTGTTATCACAGCTTAAGAGTTTCATGATTCCCAGCAGGCTTGTCAACAGATCTTTGGCACAGAGAAGCACAACGGCAAAGTCACAGCAAAACCTCCCCCGAAAGTGTCTTTTAATGGAAATTATGAACAGGGTTCCGAGGATGTCTCATATATGCAATTCAAAGCCCCGCACGGCAGCTTATGGTTCAGTCCATGAACATTACTGTGTTGTTGAAATTCTCCTTCACCGCTGGGTAGAGCAATGGTCTGCAACGTTTATCCTCATATCGAAATCATCAGCGTGAAACACGTTCTGTATTCAAAAGTAGATGGGAAATCCTGACGCTGCAGTGGGTCCCTCGTCAAACTGTTGCCTTGTCTTTAATTCCCTACTCCACAGGATAATCTTGAGGAACCTTCTATTTCGTCGCCCTCAAGGAAGCGTCAAAGAGAAATATATTCCCAAGCAGCCGCAATGCTGAAATTAAAATGTGCAAATCCAGGGGCTGACAGAGTGTTCATGGAAAGTCTACCCGCAATCTACCACAAGAAGGGCCCTGGTGTCCCATCTGAGCGATCGATTATTGGTTCTATCGATGAACTCTCACATAGAGTGCCCGAACGCCGCTTAGCATAGACTCAACTTTAGTAATAAAACAAACAATTTCAGGTATTTTCCTGAGGATACTCTTGGAGCTTTTTGCCTGTAGAGAACGGCCTGTGCAAACGCAGACCAACTGCAGAGATGTGCAGTGGTAGTTGTTACGTCTCGCTGCTCTTTTATAGTAACTCAGAAACTTGTTGTGCCGTTAAGTGCAGGAGAAACATTTAAAACATGATTTTTTCCTACCTATGACAGCCTTGCGTGGTGAAGGCCCACAGATGTCCACGGTACTCTGCTCCTAGTGGCGAAAGCTTACTGCGTGTGCCTGAAGCCGTTAGTACCTATACCTAGAGCCATTAGTACCAGCTTTCTGAGCAAACAAGGCCCCCTAATTGAAAACTTACTTCACGGAAGCGTCTTCCGTTTTATCCACTCCATGGCTACTGCATAATAGTTATCCATATGGCACCCAGTGTTTCCGAACCGCACCGAATAGCATAAATGTGACATCAATGCGTATACATGTGACTCCCGTCTGCCGCTGTCACGCGGCCTGTCTTCATTTTGAGTTTCCTTCATCACGCATTCAGCACACAAAGATGTGGCCCCATCCACCTTCCTGGCGTTCTCTGCGCCCTTCTCCACTCAGAACGCCCGTTGTAAGCGACATGCTGATGAGGCGTTTGACGAGCTGAAAAATGCAGTACAATAGATTGCGCTCTCATTAGTGCTTCTGCCGCGCTTAACTTCGCCAAAAAATTCTAGTTTGCACGGCCGTGCTCTCTACCTTTGCTTCGCAGGAAAAAAATTTGGCGTTATAGGAAATGAGATTTCGCCTCGGATGTATATCCACTGAGCATACGCTGAGCAACTAAGCCCTGAATAAAATGTGTTTTCGAACCTCCCGAAATTTCGAACAACCCAACATGGAACCATGACAAGACTGGGACAAAAGGCAAAGTTATCCGTTATAGTAGCCTCTTTTTCTCACTCGCGCCTTGATCATGCAAAGCATAAAAACCTGACCGTCTGCCCTGCACTACTTTGGCTTGTCCAACTATTGCAGTGCATATCAACATCAATACAATATGGAAATAACGCAAAAAGTTTTATTGGTCGCCCCACGCTAAGACGTCCTTTGCTCAAAAGATTACGTAAACGGAAAAGTGCAGAGCAATAGTACACTCCCTCCACAGTTCAGAGCGCTACGGATGTTACATGCGAAGCCAGATTCATTTAAAGTGGTGATGAGCGTGACAAACGCTGTGATAAATAGAACTGTAAGGACTGTGCAGAATGCACCAGTGTCTCTTGGGTGGCACAGAGCGCTCGCTAATTTACGTGATGTAGAGCCCAACCGGTTGCGTGAATATGTTTTCACTCGAAGCATAACCTGACAACTTCAAGATTAGTTTGGGTCTCATCTCAAAATTCCTAATGTCAGTACACCTTGTGTTGGAAAAGTAACACGTCATTCGCGGCCGTTCCGATTACGGTAACGCCGAAGGCTATTATTTCCTCCATGGTGGTCAAAGGTCATAGGGTGGCGAGGGCTTTCCCCACCATCAGTGCTCCACCACCCACGGCTTGCGATGCGTTTGTTTGTAGAGCCAGTCGGCGCTTTCGAGAAAGGCGACCAGGGAGGTACGCCACCACCTCCAAAAAGACTGTAATATTCTTCATGAGAAGGTGCAGGTGGCTGCAGCCACCCCGAAGACTCACGTAAATCCAACGGTGAGGGAGAAGTAGCGGGCACCAAATGTGCATCAGCGCTGCGACCAACAGTTGCATGCTGCGATGTGACGCTATGAGGAAGACGTGTAACATGCTCTACACTTGACTGATGGGGAGTTCTTCCCAAGGAAGTTTGTGCTAAAGAAGAAGATTGTCCTAGAACTCCTTCTCTTGCTGCTTGCGACCAAACTATCGACAGACCAACCGGTGACGGGAATTCATGCGGAGGGACAAACTCTGGATATCGATCCTGGGAATTGGGGGGAAAAGTAGGTGTGCGGGTTTGCTGCAAAGCTGCTTCAGTGCCTTGTCGAGTGAGCCAGTCAAGTCGTCGCGGTGGAGGTGTAACTGGCGATGAACCCCTTATCTCTATCCCCTTGCTCGCCGCCGAAGTTGCAACACCGTAATAAAGCACGCCTTCCACGGAATTTCGCCATAGTGGATTGTGGCCTGACGGTTCACGTTGCTCCTCTTGCTGACTCGTTCTCACTTCCGCCTGTCCTTCCAATGCGCGGCTAGCTTTGTCGTGCTCCCGTGTTTGTAGCTGCTTAACGTCAGAAGGAAGCATGCCTTTCACGAAATTTTGTTGCATCGGTTTGTGGCCTGACGCTTCACTTTGCTCCCCGTGCTGACTCTTTCGCTGCTGTCCCTCCACAGCATGGCTAACTTTGGAAGGCCCCCGTGGTGGTGTCTGCTGAGAAGGTAGGAGACCACCAGCAGCCCTAATCGCCTCAGTTATCTGATTCTGCAACTCTTTCAACGGAAGGATCACAGCAGTAGCCACGCTGAAACATTCTCTATCTAAAAGTGCGAACACACGTGTACGTTTCTGGCATTCAATTATGTGTGCTCGGAGACAGCCGTCTCTGGCAATATGGTCAGCGTGGACGTCATACATCCATTTCATAACGTTGAGCTGCTGTTCTACTACTTGCGGTGGGAGTTTCTTCGCCGATGTATTTTCCCGAAGCAGCGCCAGCCCGTCCAAAACGCGCAGACAGTTCTTCAATACCATTTCAGCAGTTGCCAGTATGCCAAGCATCTTTTTTTTATATTTCTCAGCCCTATGTTCTTCTCCATCCTGCCGCGGCTGTTTCAGCTCATTAATTAAAACAATCAAATTTTCAAGATTGTGGCGATGCTTTTTATTGCACCCGTCCTCGCCCACTCGCCCAAGTAAGTACTTTATCAAGTGGACGAGGGAGCTGCCTACGCATTTTCTTATACCCTCTTTTTTCTTGTTAACTATTGAAGCTGCTCCCAAATCCAAGGCAACTAATCTCGCCACGCGAAATGTAAGTTGAATGCGCTGCCTGCACGTTAGTGCTGGCAGTAGCGACCTGCATACCCTCACGGCAATCAGCATGCGCCTAAACAGATGCATTAAGCGCTCTTCTTCTTCCACAGGCATGTTTCCATTAGCCCACAGGTGCAAATCAAAGTCCTTCAAATTGCTTGTAGCAGAGTCGACAGCGGCAACGTTTTCAGGAGTTTTCCCTTCAACTGCGTCCGCATTATCCACTTCATCTTGGGCGCCTTCGGCAGCTCTTTGTAATATGGAAGACTGATGACGCTGCAAAAGGCCGCAGTCTTCAGAGCGCTGCTGCACTAAATCTTCTGTGCACCGGCTAGTTGCCCGATAGTCACCTTCAGCATCAATCCCACGCACGTTGCCCGGAGGGCACGATCTATCTTGATGAGCTGCCAAAGATCGAGTGGGCGGGGACCACTGCTTCGCGGACTCTATAAAGCGAAAACAAAGCAGCAGAAAGTACGCTGCTCCTAAGGAGGTGAATGCAACCCCGAGAAGTCGAGCCCACCTCGATAAAGACAGTTTCTTCTTCTCGGTGCGCTGGCTAGAAACCAAGTCATCCCCGATTCTCCGATCAAATCGCTGCCGTGAATTTGGTTCGGAACCTTGGCGAGTGATATCAAAGAACGGCAGGTCATGCCTCAACTGTTCCAAGACAAGGGTGTCCATTGGACCAGTCTCTGCCTCTCACCTGCGTAGGTTCGAAGCCTCAGTCCTTGACAATGCACTTTCAATTGCTATCCAAAAGAATTACATGCAGCACAGGCTGCCGCTATCTTGGGGTTACTGTCAAACACTTTTAACTGCTGTTCTGCAACTTCCCTGCCCATCGACGCCTTGAAAGTCCCAAGTAGGAAAATATTGCAAGCCACTTTCATCGAGCTAAAAAGAAGGCCCGTTGCTGCGTCTTTCAGTTCAAAGCCAAAGCGACGCTTAGGTTCAGCTTAACGTTTCTGGTTCCTCGATTCCCGGTACCAACAATCTCGTCGATGGACGGTACGTCTAGAGGCACACAGTGACACTTGTCAGCACTGAGCGATTCCTCGGGAAATATATGAATAAGAACTTGATTATAGAATTTCATGACTATCTCTATCCAATTCAACTTTTAGCGTTTCGTGCTTCTTCTTACCAGCACGTCCTTGTAGAGATCTGCGACCGAGGAAAGGGAAAACGTAAAATCATCGCCGAGCTTCTTCTGAAGAAGTATAACAGCGGGAACCGAGACACAGGGTCTCAGAGATATCATTCAGGAAACCCCAGCGCCTCTTGTGGCAGCAGACAAGAGCAGCTCGTGAGTTTGCTCAGCACGGAACCCTTCTCATAACTGCTGAGTTGGCTGGTAGACAGCAATGCTTGCAGCCAAACCATACAGATTAAGGTGCAGTTTGTTATTGTATTGATGAAGAAGATGCGAATTCTGGAGTTACAACGAATTGTTCAAGCTGTTTCTGTTTCCCCACTGCAGAGAACTGTCTAGGAGAGAACTGCATCTTGTGGCCCTTAACGAAGCCCTAATTTCATCTCCATTGCAACAAAAGCCCAAAAATTTAGAGTCAGGCTCTGCTTACTCACATTGGCGTTGACTAGATACAGCAGAACGTGCACGAGAGTACCAGATCCGGCGCTGGCGACCGATGGTACGGTACGTTGCGCAGTGGTTCCTCCCGTGACAGCACAGAGATAATCCCAGGCCCCTTCATAAGCACATTTTGAATAAACAATCAACGCGTATGAATTTACATATTAGTCAAGTGCTGGTGGAAGATTCCTTCGGTTTCAGCCAGTTCCCTGCACAGTCGAAGCCTCGACATCTTCCGAGTCAGTGAAGTTGTGCGCCCCACAGCTCCTCTAGCAGATCCAGCAGAAATTTTTCGCCTCTGAATAAAATAATACTGTGGGAAGAGAACTCTGTCTCCAAATGTGCCAATTACGTCTCCAGATGCCTCACACATGGCCACGCCTTGAGTGCGACCAGATTGCAATGCGCTAGCCTTTGGAAATGGTTTGTTCGGTGTTGTAATGGCCAAACAAGCCATTTACCAAAGGCGAGGGCGCACAGTTCATTTTAGCTCCAGCGAAAAATGAGGCGTCCCACCTCACTACTTTCTAGCACGGCCGCAGCGCCCTACCTGCTGTCGCTACAAATCAGCTTGAAGTCTTGTTGCATTTTTCACCCAGTACGCCAGAGGGCGGTAGAGTAAGTCCGTAACACTAATGTGTGCACTTTCTATTTCTTGTCACTATCATCAGGTCGTCCATGAACACCGAAACGCTTTATGACCACGCCTCCTGGACAAAAAGGTGTGGCGTAAACGTAAAACGCCCTCTTGGCGTACCTACCAATAGTTGCCGTAATGAAAGGCGTGATCCATGGTAGTCGCCTCAGTGTTAAAAGCTCGCCTCAGTCCTGCAATGAAAATCTGAGTTCCCTTCTCAAAGTACGCTGGTTTGCATGGCTATTGCGAAGCAGATTAGCTGCACGGCAATCAAGCATAAAGCCTTATTCGCATAAGTCTACAGCACGCTCCGCGCACTTTGTAACATCAAGTGAATGGAAAAGCGCAACCCCCTGACGAAACGCCTACATCACGCAAAGCGCTGCCCTAGTTGCACGCAGGAGGCTGATTTCTAATGGTCGTGAACGCAGGTATCTACTACCACTTGCATGATGAGCGCAACTATAGCAGTACAACGAAGAACTGGAATTGTATGGTCTCTGCAGAAAGCATTACTCTGTGTACGGTGCCGCAAAGCCCTCAACCAATACGCTGCTTCACAGCTCAAACAATGGTCTGAACCTGCGCTTTTGGCCATCGTACAGAACAGCGGTACCATCAGCGCTACGACAAACGAGTCTCGACGGATAGTTCCTGAGATCGATTTGCCTTGTTCTGAGGATTATAGTATTTCGTTGGCGATTACTCCGAGTACAGTCACGCGGATGGCTGCACCCTGCTTTGTCCTGACAGTACGTCCTGCGAATGCAAAAACTTTCTCCTCATTGACCGCCCGGCCATCCTCCGCTTGTAGTGGCGCGTCTCTCACTAGAGTGAGCTTGCAGTCCTGAAAAAGGTGACCAGGGAGGTATGCCACCATCTCCAAAAAGACTATAACCCTCTGCGGGAAGAGTTGCAGGTGTCTGCAGCCACTGAGATGGCTCACCTACACCGGTCGGAGGCGGCGCACTGAAGCGCGCCAAATGCACTCCAGCCCTGCGACCAGCAGGAGCGTGCTGTTCTGATGGGCGAACAGCAGAGTCAGGGGAACTGTTAAGCGTGGCTAACGAATTAAAGGGCGCCAATGAGGATTTATCCAGACAGGAAGAATGTAGCTGGCCACTCAAACCTCCCTGTTCTGCTGTCCGTGACCGAAACACTGACAGACCAACCGCTGATAGGAAGGCATCTGTAGAGACAAGGTTTGGCAATCGATCATGAGAACCATTGGAGGAACTAAATGCACATGGGGGCTGCAAAACCGGTCCACTTCCTTGTTGACACAGCTGCCCACGTCGCCATAGTGGATGTCTAACTGCTCGTGAACTCTCTGCCTCCATTGCTTCGTGCGCTAACAAAGTTTCGGGGTCAAAAGAACAGCGCACAGCTTCCGCGAATTCTTCTTGCAACGATTTTTTACTTGCTGGTTTGTCCTGCTCCCTGCGCCAACTTCTTATCCTTACTCCCTGTCCCTCCAATGCACCTCTAGGATTGCTTAGCTCCTCGGTGGCAGGCCGTTGGAATGGCAAAAGACCGCCAGCCGCCGTCACAGCGTCACTGATCATGTTTCGCAATTTTTTTATTGGGAGAATCTTGGATTTGGATAAGAAGAAATGCTGGGGACCCAAAAGCGCATACACACCCGTGCGCTTCTGGCACTCTACTATTTGTGCTCTAAGCAGGCAGTCTTTCGCAATGTGGTCAGCGTGAATTTCATAAATCGATCTCAGAACGTTTAGCTGCTGCTGTACTGCTTCCAGTGGGAGCGTCCTCGTTGGCATCTCTCTCTTGAGCCGCAGCAGCCCACCTAAGACGCCCAGACAATTCTTCAGTGCTATATCGGCGGTCCCGAGTATGCTTACCATCTTCCTCCTGAATTTAGTAGTATTATTTCCTCCCTCGAAGTGCCGAGGCTCCTTCAAGGAGGTCATTAAAACTATCAGCTGCGTCACAGCAAGGCGAAGGTTTTCATTGTCCGTGTCATCCCCACTACATTCAAGCGACTGCCTGAGCAAATGAATAGCCGCGTCACCAACGGTTCCTCTTGTGGGCACTACTTCAACCTTAGCTAACGCAAATGCTCCCAAGTCCACGCCGATCAACATCACCACCTGGGATGCCAACAGTAAGCGCTGCCTGCATGATAATGCTGGTAGCAGAAACCCACACAATTTCGAAGCTTTGTGCATGCGATTAAAGAGGCATCCAACATACCCCTTCTCAGTAGGAGGCAACTGCCCATCTTCCCACAAAGACAAGTCATCTTCCCTTAAGCTTCCCGTAGAAGGGATGCCACCAACAACATTTTCAGAGCTCTCTGCCTCAACTGAGCCCTCATTAATCACATTTTCATGTGTCCCTGCAGCAGGTGCTTGTAATTGAGAAACCTGGCGATCCAGTGAGGAGCTGTTGCTCCCAAAGCGTCGCTGCACTAAACGCTGTGTCCACTCTTCTGCTGGGCCGTGCTCACTTTCATCATTACCATCCCCGCGCATGTTGCCTAAACATGGTTCACTTCTTAGAGCTGCGAGCGATCGAGGGAATGGGGCCCACTGCCTCCCTGACTCTACAGGGCGGAAGCAAAGCAGCAGTAAGTACGCTGTTGCTAACGACGCGAGTGCTACGCCAATCAGACGAGCGCGAGACTGTAAAAAATGCTTGTTTTCCGTGCGCTGGACGAAAGCCAACCCGTCCGCTACGCCCTGGCCAGTATGTCGCCATAAACGTGAGTTGAAACCTTGATAGGTGGTATCAGAGGACGGCAAGTAATGCCTGAGTTGTTCATGGTCCATTGGGCTCATTGGACCGGATTTTGTCCCCCGCTTAAGTGGGGGCAAAACGCCACGTACTGCTATCTTCTTCTGGCTCCTTTCCAAGTGCTGCAGATGCAGTGAAAGATGGCACTGTCTGTGATAACTGCTAAGCACTCTCTGAGGTTGCTGTGCGCCTCCCCTGCTTGTGAAAATGCTGACAGTTTTGAAAGCGTTGACGCCCAAATATGAAACATTGATCTTGGTTACGGTCCTCCCTCAACAAGATGTAAGCAAGCAAGTTGTTGCTTCTTGCTGGCTGAAAGCACAGTGAGATTAACGTTCATTTCAGCATTTAAGGCGCCTTAATTACCTTTAGCAGCAATTTTGCCCATAGATCTCCAGCCCCAAAGCGCGCACTGGTATATCAGCACGAAATCTTTACTGTCCGTTCAACACCACTGTCAAGGCCCAGTGATCCCTATCAACCGCAAGCTCGTCGTGGAACTTTCAACCCCAAAGATGACAATAACATAATTATCGCAAAGGTCCTGTTGGCAATGCCTTTGGATAGGGTTAGACATAAGCAACATCTTACGAGTACATCACTTGGGCAACTCGATGCCCCCTATGTAGACGACTTTCATGAAATCATCGAGGGGCATTCGTTATGCTTGCCATGTTGGCTTCCTTTTAGCAATAATTATCTCCGTACTGGGGTCATGATTATGAAATTTCCTTTGTGGTGACGAGGGAGTCAGCGATCCTGGTGCTACAGTGAGTTCTCGCCCAACTCCCGACCTGCCTCTAATTCCCCACTGCACGAAGCGCCCCAACAGAAATATTATTGCGTCTGGCAAACTGCCACAGGCACACTTTCGGATCAGATAATCTAAGAGGACTTAACTAAATATTACCATTTAAAGCGGGTTCGACCGATCAGGAAATCTCAGTACACACCATGTTAACTGTTGCTTGATTGGGCTGGTGATCGATGGCCCTAACACGTTGTGGACTGGTTCCTTCTGTGAAGTCAGAGGAATGTCTTCCACATCCTTGTTGGTCTCATTTGTAATTGAGCGTTGGCGTAAAGTAGCGTTCTAACTTGTCAAACGCTGGTGGCAGAACCTCGAAACCCTTTGCGCTTAACTGATTTTCTTGTGCATGCCCCGCTGCGAAATGTGCGCCGGTCTTCAAATTGCTGCACCTCACTGCTCCTTCACAAGGTGGAGAAATGCTTCTCGCTATTGACTCGCTACTGGCTGCAAAAATAGTACAAAATGTAGGACCTATCCCCAACTGCGTCGCCTTCCAACTGCGTCACGCGCGTCCACTCTTGAGTTCCTGCGAACTATGGCGAGCTACACATTCGAATGTCAAGGTTTGTCATGAGTTCTGATGGCTTACGCCACATTTTGCTTCACCCCTTGCACAAGTAAGCTATCACACTTCGTGTTTTACTGGAGGGGGACAGTGCATTTTTTGTGGGGGAGCAGTTCGGGCGTCCTCTGTTCCGACTGCTCCTACTACAAGTGTACTGTAAAACCCTGTTCCCCTTCGCATCCAAGAAGTTAGCGGCCAGTAAATTAGCACTTAGTGCGTGCATGTGTTACTTATACCACCGTCAGATCTCTTGCATTCATAACAATGCTTTTCCCCCAAACTCTACAGCGCACAGGAATGTGGGAATGTGTTTTGGCCCGCCCTCTTCATGTCACTTCCATGTTCTCCCACCATCTTAATACTCAAAGAGCGCCTGGTTCAAGTTATCGTGGTGATACATTTGACGGACTCAAGTATGCAGTAAACACCACGCATGCACAGCTACAAAAACTTCCCGATCCCCGCAAAAATGTCTATTCCCCACTGCGGCACTAGTTTCGGGTTGAAAATTTTTTGCATAACACATGATGAAGAGGTTGTGCCTGGCGTGCACACGCATCGTGCATACGCTTAGCGACCAAGCACTGAACGAAAATGTCCTCCTAGCGCTCCCAAAATGTTGAATACATGAGCATAGAACCAATACGCAAGGTGCAGACGCCCATAACAGTGGCATCTCTGTCCCATGCTCGCTCCGGTCATACAAAGAAAAAATTTGAATCTTCGCCGTGTAGCTTGCTCCACTAACGCAAAACAGGTTAATCACGCTACAAGAGGTGGCAATCACGCATTAAGCCTTAAGCCTCGTGCAAATCTACAACAAGCTTAGCGCATATAGAAAAAGTACCTCAACGGAAAAGCGCAAGACCCCGGCGAATTCCCGGCATCATGCACAGCTCTGTAAGCACGCAGAGCGAGGTTGATCTGCAGTGGTGAAGCGCCACACAGAACCGCAACTGCAGTGCACGCCCACAGTGCATCATTCTGCACATGGAAGCACGACGCCGTCACGCACTGAGGTGGCTCACAACTGGATCAGTGGTCTAAATATGCGTGTTTGCCTGTCACACAACGTGACGCCGTGTGCACTGTCCTTAAAGCAAGTAAGCGTCAATTGGCACTTCCCAAGGTCGGCTTGCGTTGTGCTGCAAAAAATAACATTTTATTGGCGGCCGCTCCGAATACGTCCACTCAGCCGGCCAACCGCTGCTTCGTCCTGGCCATCCGTCCTGCGAAAGCGAATGTTTGCTTCCCCCAGACTGACAGGAAATTCGCTGCCTGCAGGGACGTGACTCTCTATAGATTCAGCTGGTGCCTGTGGAAAAGGCGACCAGGGGGGTATGCCGCCATCCCCAAAAAGACTGTAATCTGCTTGCATAGATGCAGGTCCCCCTAACCATATGTAATCCTCTCGAAGCTGAGAAGATGTCTGCAGCCTGCTCTGACGCTCTCCTTGAAGACGGGCACGCGTCTCCAGCCACGCAGACGGCTCACCTACATCCATCCGCTCGAACAGAGGCTGTTGCATCAGACGCGGTGTAGCACTGTGTCCTGTAGAGACGCGCTGTGCTGATGAGCTGCCTTGAGAGGAAGGTGCACTATACGAAGCAGTTGACATTTGGGAGGGTCTTGCAGATGAAGCGTACGCCCCAGAAAAATATGGGCCCCCGTGTAGAACTCCCCCTCTTGCTGCTTGCGACCAAAACACCGACATGCCAACCGCTGACAGGAACGTCTGCGGAGAGACAAATTGCGGCGATGGATCAACAGGCTTCCCGGCAAATCTGTCTGTGGGGGGAGGCGTCAGAGCTGGCCCAGCATTTGCATCTTGCTCAAGCAACCAGCCAGGCCGCGAAGTTGGAACTGTAGCTGGCAGAAGATCATCCGGCTCCATTTCACTGCTCGCTGCAGAGGTTCTGGCCTCATAGGAAGCCTGAATTGCTTGAGATAATGCTCCTTGTAGCAGCTCGTTACCGGCGAACCCACTCAGCGCCTCAGGCTCACTATTTCCCTCTTCAGTCTGCTCATCCATTGCGCTGCCAGCACTGTCACGCTTCCACGCAACTCCTTGTCCAGGTTTCAGAAGTCCGCCAGCGGCCTTAACAGCTGCAGTTATCTGGTTCTGCAGCTCTTTAACTGGTAGAATCTTACCTTTCGACAATTTAAAGTGCTCCCGACCAAAAAACACATACAGACGCGTACGCTTCTGGCACTCTAGTATGTGTGCCCGAAGTGAGCCATCTCTTGAGAGGTAGTCAGCGTGGACATAGTAAAGAGCCTTCAAAACACCGAGCTGCTGTAATATTACGTTAGCCGGCAGCTTTCTTAGCGACAAGTCTTGCTGGAGCCGTTGCAGCCCCCTCAAAACGCCCAAACAATTCCTTAGTACTGTGTCGGAAGTTGCCAGTATGCTTATCATTTTCTTTTTGTATTTAGTGGGAGTCTTTTCTTGTTCAATAGGTCTTGGCTTCTTAATCTCTTCAATTATAATGATAAGCTCACGAAGCGCGATGCGATCGCCTTCACTGCTTTCGTCGTCCCCACTGCGTTCAAGCGACTGCTTCGCCAGCTGGATGAGGGAGTCGCCTACAGCTTTTCTCGTAGGCTCTATATCTTCCTTAACCAATGTGAGTGCTCCCAAATCCAAGGCAAGCAACCTCACCACGTGGAATGTAAAATACAAGCGTTGCCTGCACGTTAGGACTGACAAAAGTGACCCACACAACCTCGTCGCATTCACGATGCGACCAAACGTGCGCAACAGAAATTCCTTTTCACTTGTAGGCATGTTTCGATTTACCCACAAGTGCAAGTCATGCGTCTTCGAGCTATCTGTGGAAGAGCCACCGCCCGCAACGTCTCCGGAAGTCCCCTGTACCACTTCGCCGGCAGCGTACCCTTCGGCGCACGGTAGTCCGACATCCCCTTGATATTGCAAAGCCTGTTGAGGCGGTGATATTCGCTGTTCCTGCTCGGGTGACTGCACCAAACGTTGTGTCCAACCCCCCGTCTCCTCGTAATCTTCATCTTCATCCCCAGGTACGAAGCTTAAGCGACATGATCCATATCCACCAGCTGCAAGGGATCGAGTAGGTGGAACCTGCTGAAGCCCAGCCTCTATAAAACGAAAACAAAACAGCAGAACGTACGCTACCGCCAATGAGCTGAAAACTATGCCGAGTCGAGCAGCCCAAGACAATGGAAACGGTTTGCTTTTGGGAGCGAGCTGCACGAAAAACGACCCATCCGCGAAGCTCTGGACAGCATCTCTCCGTGAATGTGAATGAAATGCTTGAAGAGTGGAAGCAGAGGAAGGCAGGCCGTGCCTGAACTCCTCAAGCGACACTTGGTTCATTGGATCGAACTTTGTCCCCCGCGCCTGCGGGGGACAAGGCCACAGTTGCTGCTAGATTTCTTTCGCTTTATGTCCGAATGCCGTCCATGTAGCGCAGGCTGGCGCTACTCTACCTGCTGTTCAGGACACTTTGCTGTTCTTTGGCCGGAGCAAAGCAAGCTGTTGCTTTACGCTGGCTCATGCTATGGTAATATTGACGTTCAATGCAGCTTCTAGGGTATTGTGACTCCTGTCACCAACAGCCACGTCGGTTGTCCCCCAACCCCGAAGAGCACAAGATTCGACAATGAACCCCCAGACCAGAAGAGAACAATGGAAAGCCAGCAGGAAGCTTTTCCTAAGGACTCATGCTTACAGGAAATTAGATGTAATATTTCAAAACTGTCTGTGTGTTCACAGTCAGGGCTTCATAAGTCCCCGAAAAAGGCAGCTCATCAGAGTACACCCGAACGAGATGAGAATAACGGTGAGATCATAACGGAACTTCTCCAGACAAAATCTAATAATGAGAGCTTTGGGCACAAGGTCTCACGTCGAGAACTCTGGGCTTTCCGTGGCAGCACATGAAAACAGTCACTTGACAGTGTTCAGCTATGAACCCTGTTCGTGATGGCTGAGTTCAGCAGCGGCCGAGAATTCTTACAGCTAAATAGAGTCATTCAAGGGATTCTCGGCTTATAATTCCAAACAGCGAGAAGCCGTAAACCTACAGTGAATTCCCAGCCAAGAATCCGCTTTACCGCCGGTTGTTCAGTAAAGGGAAGGACTCGAAAAAGATTCCATTCCTTGGGAGTTACAGAAGCTTCAACTGCACATTTTTGAAGAAGATAGTCAAACTGATAAATTTTATATCCTTATCGTGAGGGCATTACACTGGACATGAAGAACCTACTCGCAAGACACCAGGTCGAGTAGGAAAGCTGTTAGTCGGTGATCGATGGCCCTTGCGCGTTGTGTATTCCTACCTGGGCGCTGTACATATTACCCCTTGGCCCTTATCAGTGTTAATTTGACTCAGAAATCAACTCGTAAATGGTTTACATATTTGGCAGGCTACTGGTAGGGTTTTCTGCTTCAAGCAGGTTGTCTCGAAGCACATCTGCTGGTGGCATGTGGTGTTAGCCGTATCGGCCTTTTAGTGGGCCTTCTGGTGTTTTTGTTCGTTTATGCAAGAAAAATATGGAAACTTTAGTATTTTTTAAATCTTACATCTTGGCCTTGAAATGCGTCGCACGTCGAGGACACGCTACACATGTATATTGGTAAGGTAAGTATCGGGAAATAAATATTTGGTCCACATTGTAATGGCCTGCGCCGCTTTCTGTCCGTGCTGCATTGCTGCTCAGATGAAACGCCAAACTTGATCATGTACCGTAGGGCGCTGTCTCCCTATCCTAGGACTGGGAATATCGGTCGTGCATCGTGTAGGACGAGGGCACTCTACAGTGCCCCAATTAGCAATATGACTGCTGTAAAGTACATTGCATTTGGCACTCAATGCTGCAGAAGCACGAAGACTGGCGCCATACATTTACTCGCGCATTTGTGAGTCCTTCTTCCATTCTACTGGCGCCACGCCGTAGGCGTCCATCCTGCCGTTCTTTCATCCAGGCGCAAAATGTGCTCTGACGGGCCTAGTTGATGTTTTTTTCATGTAGTTCTGCAGCCTTTTACTCAAAATGCCCCCGGCGTACGTTATACAAATGAGGTATTTGGCGAGTTCATGGATTCTGTTCAATGCATTATGCTCACATGGCTACTTATTCCGCGCCTAATTCCGGAAGATACGCCTAGCTTTTTGCTACCGCGTCACGTAGTTGTGTTTCTAAAAAACTTCTTGAAAGACGGAAGTGAGGCTGTGTCTCGTATGCGCATCCATCGAGCATACGCAAGAAAACCAAGAACTGAAAAAAAATGTCCTTCTGAAGCATTTAAAATGTCGAACAAATCAACATGAACAACGGCAACATAAATGTCATTAGAACGGATGGCGCACGTGCCAACGATAGTACTTTGGCGTGCTCGACTACTGCAACGCACACTAACATCAAGGCAGAAGACGGCAATCACGTATGAAACCCTATGCGCAACACGAAACAATATTGCGCGCAGCGCGGTCCAAAAAATTCCCTGAACGGAAAAATGCAGACCAGTTGTAAGCCCGCATCATCCAGGGTGCTGCACAAGTCACAAGCAGAACAAGATTGAAATGCAGCGGTACAGAACGCAATCAAAGCATAAAAATTGAGAATCAGGCCTGTGAGGCCCGTAAAGAATGTAGTGTTGCCTATATGGTGGCTTACGGCCCTTTGGTATCCACGTGGGCCACAGCGCAACCAGTGGTTTCAATATGCGATTTTACCCGTCGTACAGGCAGACGCCTTTAGCACCGTCTTTAAAACAAGTCAGTATCAACTCACAGCTCCTCAGGTCGTCTTGTCATATGCTGGGGCAACAATGTTTCATTGGCGGCTACTTTTAGTATGCTTACGCGGATGGCTACCCCGTGCCTCATCTTGGCCAAAGGTCCCAGTGACAAACCACTCAGAGTTTCTAGCGGCGCTTCGGTTTAGAGAGTCTGCTGGAGCCTGTGAAAAAGGCGACCAGGGAGGTATACCTCCACCGCTGAAAAGACTATAAAACGCACTTTGAAGAGGTGCAGGTGCTTGCGGCCGCCCGTTACCCCCTTCCAGAAAAGGTGTGCCTGCTTGTAGCCCGCTGGTATTCTTTTCTTGAAGATGTGCACGCGTCGGCAGACCCCTGTTATCCTGTTCTTTCTCAGCCACAGGTGGCTGCGACCCGCCGTAAAAATAGTCCTGAAGAGATGCACGTGTCTGCGGCCACCTGTTTTTCTCTTCTCCGGGAAGTGTAATTTTCTGCTGCCAATTCCCTTCTTGAGGAGGTGCAGTTGTCTGCGACCCCCTGTACTGTTGAAGAGGCGCAGGTGCCCGCAGCCACCTCTGCTGCAGCTTCTCAAAAAGTGCGGTTGTCTGCTGCCCTCTACAAACGTCCAACTGACATGGAGCTGTGTGTTGCAACACTTTTCCCCTTTCTGGAGGTGCAATTCTCTGCAGCCCCTTGTAACCCTCTTTTGGAAGAGGTGCAGTTCTCTGTGCCTGCTTGTCATCCCCTTTTTGAAGAGGTGCAGGTGCCTGCTGCCACCTGTAGTCCTCTTTAAAGAACGCACTTGTCTGCTGCCAGGCGTAATCCTCTTCTTGGGCAGGTGCAGTTGTCTGCGCCCGCACGTAATCCCTTTGTTTAGCTATTGCAGTTGTTTGCAACCCATTGTGGTCCTTTACTTGAAGAGGAGCAGTTGTCTGCAAACCACTGTAATCCTGTTCTTGAACACGTGAAAGTGTCGGCAGCCAACGCCACTTTTCTTGCTGAACAGGTACAGCGGTGCCATGCACACTGTAATCCTCTTGTTGAACAGGCGCAATTCCCTGTAGCCAGGTATGATCAAGGGGTGCAGTTCTCTGCTGCCTCGTGTATTCCTCTACTGTGGAAGTTACTGGTGTTTGAAACCACCTGCGATCCCTCTCTTCAAGAGCTGCAGGTGTCTGCATCCAGTTGTAAATTTTTTCCTTAATGGATACACGCGACTCCAAACAGTCATACGGCACAGCTGCGCGCGTCGTATGGACGGCAGTAGAGTGCACCATATGCGAGCTAGAACTGTGTTCGGCAAAACTGTATTGCCCTGATGAACTGGCATGATTGGCGCATCCAGAATTCTGCGTAGCTGATGGATAAGTAGGTTTTCGCGATAAAGTATCCAACCCGCAAGAATCTAGGCGTCCAACTAAAACTCCCTGTTCTGCTGCTTTCGATCGAGACACTGAAAGAACAACCGGTGACTGCGAAGATTTCGTCAAAACGAACGATGATGACTGCTCAACATCCTTCCCGGCAGACGTGCTTGTGGAGGGAGGCTTCAGAGCTGGCCCAGAACTTGCACCTTGTTCAGGCAACCAGCCAGTCAACGATGATGGAGCTTTATCTTGCAGCGAGCTCTCCGCCTCCACTTCTCTACTCGCCGCCAAAGTTCTGGACTCTAATGAAGATTTAATTGCTTGAGATAATGCTCCTTGTGTCGGTTCATGACTCGGCGGCTCACTTAGCTGCTCAGGTTCACTATTTTTCTCTGCAGTCTGCCCTTCTGTTGTGCCGCCAGCACTGCCATGCTCATGCTCCCATGCGCTTGCTTGTTCAGGCTGTAGAAGTCCCCCAGCGGCCCTAACAGCCTCATCTACCTGGTGGTATAACTCTTTGACTGGAACAATCCTCCCTCTGGACAGCTCGTAGTGTTCGTGACGGAAAAGTGCATACACGCGTGTACGTTTCTGACACTCCAGCATGTGTGCTCGAAGTGAACCGTCCCTTGCAACATAGTTAGCGTGAACATGATAGAGCGCCTTTATAACTTCTAGCTGCTGCACTACTACTTCGGGAGGCAACTTCTTTTGCGACGAATCTTCGTGAAACACCCGTAGCCCCTGCAGAACGCTCATGCAATTCTTCAATATCACGTCAGCAGTTGCCATTATGCTTATCATCTTCTTTTTGTACTTATCAGGGGGCTTTTCCTGCTTCACATACCATGGCTGCTTTATCTCATTGACCAAGCGAATCAGTTCCCGAAGCAAACTGCGATCGCCTTCACTGCCTTTGTCGTCCCCACTGCGTTCAAGCGACTGCAGCGCCAACTGGATGAGACAATCGCCTACGGCTACTCTCATAGGCTCTACATCCCTTTTAACCAATGAAAATGATCCTAATTCCAAGGCGACTAACCTCACCACCTGGAATGCCAACTGCAGGCGTTGTTTGCGCGTTAAGATTGGCAATATTGACTCACATACTTTCGTCACATCTAACATTTGCCTTAAAATGCGAAAAAGATATTTCCTGTCGTCTGAAGGCATGTTCCAACGCACCCACAAGTGCAAGTCATGCGTCTCGAAACTTCCTGTGGAAGGGCCACGGCGGGAAACGTTTCCAGAAGTCCCCTGTACCACTGCACCGGCAACGTGCCCTTCGGCGCGCGGTAGTGCGACATTCCCTTGATATTGCAAAGCCTGTTGAGGCAGTGATATTCGCTGTTCCTGCGTGAGTGACTGCACCAAACGTTGTGTCCAACCCCCCGTCTCCCAGTAATCTTCATCTTCATCCCCAGGTACGAAGCTTAAGCGACATGATCCATATCCACCAGCTGCAAGGGATCGAGTAGATGAAACCTGCTGAAGCCCAGCCTCTATAGAACGAAAACAAAGCAGCAGAACGTACGCTACCGCCAACGAGCTGAAAACTACGCCGAGTTTGAGAGCCCAAGATGGTGGGAACGGTTTGTTCTTGGAGGGGCGTTGAAAGAAACGGATTCCACCAGCTATGCCATCGCCACTCCTTCTCTGCAAATCTGCATAGGAACCATGATGAGTGTCGCCAGTAGTCGGCAGATCACGCCTGAGCTGCGCGCGCGGCTGTAGGTTCATTGGACAAAGTTTCGTCCCTCATGCAAGTGAAAGTGGGACTCAATAACTGGCAGCTAACTTTTGTGCATCCAGTGCAGACTGGCAATATTTGTGGCTGCCGCTGAGAACTGTTCTCTTGCTGGTCACTAGCGAGAAAAGTACTCAGACAGGACAGGAGATGAACGTATTGGGTTCGTTTGCAGCGAGGTGCAACGCTGTTTGTCCAAATGTCCTTGTTTCTTCCCCAGAAGGCAAGGAATTTCGGTAACTGAAATCAGCTCCTCAGTGCCATGCTTTCTATCAGAACCAATACTGTCGACTCCCCCTCAGCGAAGAAGTACATGACGGCATGGTCACGACGAAACAGGTCTTTGTGCGTCTTGCAAAAAACTTGAGAGTAAGGTTTCAAAGACTTCTCACTTGTTTTAGTTAGTGCACCCTGTTGAAAGGTTGTAGCACCGTGAGCCTTCTCGGACTTTAAGGAGCCCAGTGGTGGCCCTGTTCACCGATTTGAGCGATCCTCAGCAGTGTTTAGCGCCCAAACCAGGATGCTTATATATTTGTTTTCGAATATAAAACCAGTGGGAATCCTTTTGTTGCAACGTATTTATTGGTAAACACCCGTGCTATCTCTGCTTCGCCCTCCCGCGCCTCGATGAAGCTTCTATTGCGGATTTTGATAAACTGTGGCGATTATATCCTTCGTATCTCAAGCTACCAAACTTCCACGACAAACTGTTTCCAATTTTGAGCGGTTGCGCTGTCAAAGCACTGCAAGATGCTGTTTCATGCCTCCCAAGCGAGCAGTGATGCTAGTGTTCTGCAACGCATGCTGTGTTGCCAGCCACCTCAGACCCCGACGTGCTCCCAAGTCTCGCTTATGCGACTGAAGCATTTACTTGAAGTAGGATGAGTTTAGCATCAGTTGAATGGGTAGCTCGGACTACATAAGCTCAAGAAAGGTCTGGCATGTTTGTATGTACTCATTTCACTAGTGCATACGGCTGCCTAGCGAGCCTTGCAGCACTGCGACGATTCATGTAATAGCAGCATGCAGTTGCCATCCACGTCGTTGCTCTGCAACAAAGTTCCGGGACCATCCCTATCTCTGCCAGTCTGTGATGCTGTACTCTAGCACGCAAATACTTGCTCCACACAGTACGTCTGCCACAGGCAGCACTAGAAAGAATGAGACAGATATTTTCAAAACACAGCTTCAGCTGAGACCAATATATATACATCGAGCTACCAGCTAGTAAAACCAGGGGCCAAGGAGGTTACAAAATTCTCCTGGGACCCGAATATCAGCAGCAGCTGCATTCATAAAGGTTATCCACTTCGGGGAATTCGGAGTGAGGACAACAGTCTTAGAGAGGGCTGGATGACTAAAACTGAGCCAAAAGCAAAAGGCGTTGTAGGAAGACGAACGCAAAAAGTATTATGGCCAGCAATAAAATCAAGCTTGCCCAATGGGGTGACCGGAAAACCATTCGGGAACAGAGACGTACGAAAAATTTTGCTTACGGAGTTTGTAGACGTCTCCTGTTGTGTGGGGAAGATAACAGGCCCGTTGCGTAGGTGCATCCCTTACCGAGCTAAGCTCTCTGGGTATGAATCATTTAGGTGAATATTGCATGTATTACTACTCCTAGTTCCGGAAAGGAAGAAATTAATATCCCGGAAGAGCCCCCAAATATAGTGCGCAAGTGTTTCCACAGTTTGCCAGGAATGCCGTTGCAACATCAGCTGCCTCTCTGAATTCCTCTAGGCGAATTTGCAATCAGAACTTGTTGCTCTGATGCGCGCAAAGGACAACGTCTGCGAATCCCAAAAATTGACCTGGCTTTGTTCTTAGATTTCCGCTTTCCAGTCCCAATGTGATTGTTTTTACCGTACATCACGTTCAGTTCCCGCTGAGTACCACGCACTTGGCGCTTCATGGTGATTTTGTGTGTATGCTATGAGCAAACAACCTGAGCTCTAGCTGCGATGAACAAAACGTTTTCAGCACGCTCTTTCGGAAAAGGGCAAAGCTTAGTAAAGCATGGGAAGGCTCCTGAACGAAATCCAAAAAGTGGGGCTTCTATTGCTGTCGACAGTGCCAGTTAGACCCTAATGGCACGTTACGCCGTCTTGCGTCGGGCCTCGTTTCGGAGACCAGTAGGCTACATGTAATGCGCAGGGAATACAATGGTGCTTGCTGGTGAACTTAAGAAGGTAGCTATCTGGCGACCTATAAAAGGCTAATACGCAGAACGAGCGCAGAAATTTCTTACCAGTAACGAAGTAGGGCAATTTATCAGCAAGATTGCATGTGTAAACTTGAATTGTCTGTGCATACCCTGAGATTGGGGCTGCCGATGGCGCTGGCGCCGGTGCGGGGAACTGCCCCAACCGGGTCAAGAAAGGAAGAATTATCATAGGAAACTTTCAAAAATGTTCGATTGACAGACTCGAAGGATGACGGGTTGCTTATTATGACGAATGATGTAGAGAATTTGTCAGAAGGGCGCGCTATTTGTGCCCCAGGCAGTAGCTTCGTTGCACCAGAGAATGCCGTACACTATATTTGGGGGCTCTTCCGGGATATTAATTTCTTCCTTTCCGGAACTAGGAGTAGTAATACATGCAATATTCACCTAAATGATTCACACCCAGAGAGCTTAGCTCGGTAAGGGATGCACCTACGCAACGGGCCTGTTATCTTCCCCACACAACAGGAGACGTCTACAAACTCCGTAAGCAAAATGCCCAACGGGATGCCGGCCCATCATCGTCATGCTACTCCCAAGCCCACCGTGGCAGAGCGGCCGCACGGGCATAAGGAGGCGCCCCCACAGCTGGCACCTATAGCCAATGCCGGCCTGCTAGGGGACATGTAGCGCAGAGCGCCTTCTGCTGCGACCACGCTGCTACCTGGCCCACGAATAGGGTGCCCTTTGAAGAGCCCTTCTACTGCCGACTCATCTCTCATCAAACAAATGACAAATCATCGATAATAGCAGTCATCTTTCAAGTTCTCAAATCGACTTTTCTTAAAAGTCCCCGTACTCAGGGCTCTTGCTTTCTTGGCCCTGTGGGGGGATGGCCCGCACCGGTGCCGGCGTTATCGCCAGGCACAATTTTCGGGTAATCACAGACACGTCTAGTTTACACATGCTAATTTGCCGATAAATTGCCTTAATTCGTTGCCACTAAGACGCTCCTTTCAGCGTCGTAACATGTTAGATGCCACCTGCTAGCTACCTTCTTAAGGTCACCAGCAAGCCGTGTCGTAGTGCCTGCACAACCTGTAGTGCCTGGGCACTACACGACAGTCCGTCACGTGAAGCCAACTCTACTTCGCGATGGCTGTGATAAGAAATGTTATAGGGGCTCCGGGGAATAGGGCGCAACGTTTCCCATACTTCTTGAAGACGGCAGCATTATGCAGGCTTTTTTGCTGCGCATCGAACGACGGTTCACCCAGATGTGATTGGAGCCCCGCGACTGAGGAAACGCACTTATTGACTACCTAATATTCATAATAGCGATGGTGTTGCCCTCACGCTGCGGTTAATGAATTAGGGTCTAGAATTATGAGGAAAATAGTAAAAATGGGTGATTAATCTGAAAAAAAAGCGAAGCATTTGTGTTATGCTGCCAGCCCCTGACCCTGGCCTGCTTGCAGAGTCCCCTACGCCTAGTCTGCTGCCATGGCCAGGTTCGTAGAAATGAAACAATTCTGATTATAATTTATCCTTATGATGCCAATATTACAACCTGGGGGACGTTCCTGCGCAACATGGTCCTGCTGCACATTGCAAGCAGAGATAAAACTTCCAGGCTTGCTAATGCGCCAGAAAAGAATTTAAGGACGCACAAGGCAGAATTCATAGAGTGTAATACTTCAAATGTTTGGTGAGAAAAAGGGCAGGAATTCCTTTTCGTGGTGGTGTACTGCGATTGCGAAGTTCTATTTGTTCCCTCCCACACTACTGAAGTACGCGAGTGCTAGAGAGCACCTGAAAAGTACATTTTTGTTTGCGATTCTCATTCCAACCTTTTGCAGATGTTTTCATGCACCATCCGTAGTCCTAGAAGCGCCGCTAGTTCGTGAATGGGCATGCGTGCATGCTCGTCTTACAGCAATAAGATGCTGCCGATTTCCCCTTTGATAGAGCTAGCACGAGTCTCACGTTTTGCAGCTTTGAAAGGAAGAGGCCTGAGTCCAGCGCACTTTGCCGTAGCGGTTCTTGGGCCTGAGCTTTTGCCTCAGCAGGAAGTTGAAGCTTAAGTACTGCAGCCTCCCCCGCAGCCGTTTGAATATTTACTGCCCCAGCAAAAGCTCTTCTATTTGCCGCCGGAGGCTGAGGCTTTTTCGGTGTTTCGCAGTTTTCCGTTTTTGCCTCTCTTTAGTTAATATTTTGAAAAGCCTTGCCTTCCGCAGCGAGAGAGGCCTTCAGTTCATCACACTAAGAGTATTTATTTGGCGACTGCGTCGCTTCTGGGACCAGTGCAGCGGCAAAACAAAGAGAAGGCCACTAGAAACTCCTCTAAAAGAGGCTAGTGGCCTTATCTAACCCCAGCCGCAAAGCTAGCTAGCCACGGTACAGCGCCCTGCGTTGGCCAGACTAATACACAAGTCTTGAGAAGGCAGCAAAAGCTGATTCCCAGTCACCGTGCAGCAATTAGGTATGAGAGCCCAAGAAAAGCAACAGAACCCATTACCGCTTTCTACGTGCAGCCCAAAGCATCAGGTCAGATAAGTGCTGCCACATTCTCGGGTTAATCCGCTTTTCTTTGCGATTTCCCTGCCGCCGAAACAGCAGCTATCTGCTGCTGCAGCTGCAACAGCCGCCAGAAACTCGGCGAGACGCCCTGCATTTAGGCCCAGCTGGTGCTGCTGCGCAGCCTGCGTTTTCTCCTAAGGATGAGGCCTTCCCTTAGGAAGGAATGCTTTGGTTTTGCCCCCACCAAAAAAGCAGCGAAACATTTTCCGCCCAAGGCCCTTTGCCAGGCCCCTAAGGGCGCTACAGGGCTGTGGGAGCAGCTTGCTGCTCTGCAGCAACGTGAGAGCAGCTTTCTGTTCTGCAGCAACTTCCACATCTCTTTGCTGGCTCGCCTCGTGGGGACCCCGATCTCCACCGGGCCTACGTCCCCAAGACTCCGGGGCCCAAGGCCGTGGGCCCCCAAGACCCCGGGGCCCCCAAGGTCCTGAGCCCCCAAGACCGGGGGGCCCCCAAGGCTCGGAAAACCCCGAAACCCGGGGGACCCCAGGGCCTCGCAGTGGAGCCTCGGGGCTGGGGCCCAAGATTTGCTCAGCGCTAGGGTCTATTGCCTCCTGCAGCCAGCACCACAACATTGTGCCCGCAGGGGCCCCCAGAGGAGCCCTTGGGAACCAGGACCTTCGGGTGCCCAGGACCTCCGGAAGCCCCTGCTGCTGCACTGGGGGCCCCTGGTGCTAGCGGCCAACTCTAAACCCTAAACCCTAGACCCTTGTTCGGGGACCTCCGTCCTGCTACTAGCAGCCAGGGCTACCACGTGTAGCGAGAGCTCATTTCAGGGGAACTCCTGACTAGGGTTTGAAGGCCCATCTGTAGCTAGGATGGGGTCGCTTATGCTGAAGTCCTAAACCCCAAACCCCTAGCCCTAAGTAAGGGTTTTCAATTCTGTCTCACCAAGAAGCTTAAGGACTAAGTGGGGCACGGCAGCAGCAGCAAAGCCCGTGCAGCGCCAACCCACTAAAAATTAAACCTAAAATCAGATATTAAAACTAGATTAACTAGTTATTTATTTTAAAAGAGGACTTGAGGAGGAAAACGCGAAGTGCACCGGAGTCGAGGCATGTATGCAAGAAACAGCAGCAGCAGCAGCAGCAGCAGCTGCTGCTGCTGCTGCTGCTGCTGCGGCTGCAGCACGCGACAAGGACTTGGAAGTGTCTCATGTTTCTTTAGCTGCAAAACCTCCTTTTGGTTTTCTGAACAGCCCACCGGGCACACACCTTTGCGTTTCGAGCCCCTAGGGTTTAGGGTTTAGGGTTTAGCGCTCCAAGATGTCTTCTCAGTTCGCCGCCTGCAAAGCCCTCAAGGAGCTGCAGCACCAAAAAGAAAGAAACTGTAATTTGAGAGAATTAATCAAAGACGATGAGCGTAACCAGCGCATGTACAGAGAGTTCGGAGGTATCTCTTGCTCAAACCCTAAACCCTAAACCCTAGAACCTAAACCCTGAGCGCTACGCCAGTCAGGCTCTGGGCCAGACACTTGCGCTGTAGAAGACGAAGGGTTGAGGACTCGAAAAGGCTGCAGGGTTGCGAAGGTGTAGTGTGTGGAGCTTCCTTGAATGGCTCGAGGGTTTAGGGTTTAGGGTTTAGGGTTTAAGGTTTAAGGTTTAGGGTTTAGGGTTTAGACTATGGCTGTGCGCTCAGGCGCCTGCATGGACTTCAGCCGCCAGCTGCTGGACAAGAATGGCCTCGATGCCCTAATGAAGCTGGCGGAGGAGCGACAGGTGCCTGACCTCTAAACCCTAAACGCTAAACCCTAGCGAGGGTTTGGGGTTTAGTAAACCCCTTGTTGGGCGCATTGCAGCGAAACGTGCAGCGTGCTAAGTGGAGCTGCGTGCTGGTTGCTTCTTTCGCGCCAAGGGCAAGGCCAAGGGCGCAGCGCGTAGGGCCTAGGGTTTAGGGTTTAGGGTTTAGGGTTTGCGGGCAGGTGGAGGCGAAGGTGAAGGCGATGTTTCAGGGAGATAAAATAAACTCCACAGAACAACGCAGAGTTCTTCATGTTGCTTTAAGAGCTCCAAAAGAAAATAAAATTCTTCTCGAAGGAAATAATATAATTGAAGAAGTCCACAGTGTCCTCCGCAGAATCAAGGATTTCTCCAACAAAATCCGCTCCGGTAAACCCTAAACCCTAAACCCTAAACCCTAACCTAAGCCCTAAATCCTAAACCCTAACCTAAGCTCTAAACGGCGAAGACTTCTCCAACAAAGTCCACACCGGTAAGCCCTAAACGCTAAACCCTAACCCTAAACAATAGCTCCCGGGACTTTTTCAAGAACATTCGCACCGGTAAACCCTAAACCCTAAACCCTAAACCCTAGTTTCGAGGATATCTTTGACTAAATACGAGGCGGTAAACTTTAAACCCTAAGCCCTAAACCCTGTAGTGCATCTGCCGCTCGGTAGAGTCCTTTTGCGATTGGCTCGATGCTAAACCCTACGCCCTAAACCCTAACTTGCACTTAACCACTGAACTTTCGACTGTAGCCTTAGGGTTTAGGGTTTAGAGTTAGAATAAGTCGTAAACCCTCAAATCTCTTAAGTATTCGGCGTCAAAGCCTAGAACCCTAAAACCCTAAACCCTAATCCTGAAGACAAAACCCTAGACCCTAAACCCTAGTGTCGGATCAGAGGAATTAGACCTCTGGCTCCCACAAGTACTGAAGCTTCAACGGTCATTCACGGATTGGGGTTTAGGGTTTAGGGTTTAGGGTTTAGGGTTCAGGGTGTCTGCGGTGTGAGCGTCGCCGTTGCCTATCTTTGCTTTTTTATTGCGCCTTGAGGGCTTCCGGCTGATTGCCGAGGGTTCAGGGTTTAGGTTTGGGGACTTGGGATTAAGGATTTAGGGTTTAGGGTTTAGGGTTTAGGGTTTAGGGTTTGCGCTCAGGGGAGCTGCGGGGTGCCACCGGGGCGGTTTTGAAGAACCTGATTTGCGTGGGGATTGGGGGAAGTTATTTGGGGACTGAATTTGTGGTGGAGAGTTTGAGGGTTTTGAAAAAAGAAGAATCAAAAGGAAGACAAATAAGGTGCGCCGAGGCTCCAAACCCTAAACCCTAAACCCTAAACCCCAGTCTCGGCGGCCCCGTGGGGACTTCACAGGATCCTCGAAGGAGCCACAGATCTTCATAAGCAGAGCCGACGCGAGGGTTTAGCGTTTAGGGTTTGGTCTCGAAGCTAGGGTTTAGCGTTTAGGGGTTTTGTGTAGAGCCAGGGCTTGGGGTTCAGGGCTTCGCCTTGAAGCTAGGGTTCAGAGTTTTGTCTCGGTGCGAGAGTTTAGAGTTTAGGGTTGTTTTTGAAGCTAGGGTTTAGGGTTTAGGGTTTAGGGTTTAGTGCGACTGGGCCATCTCGCTGACGGGTTGTTATCGTTTTGTCTTTGTTCTCGATTTCTTTTTTATTTCTCCGTAATTTATGTATTTCTTTTAATATTTATTTGTTTTTGACATATTTGAATTATATATTTCGAAGTTCTTTCATATTTATTTGTTTTTAATTTGTTTATTTCTTTCTTCGGGCTTTTGTTTCAATCCACCGTTTGCCTTTGCGTCGTTTTTCCGGCTTTTCTTCTTTTTCGTCGAAAACGTTTTAAACTTCTTCCAAATTAAATAAAATAAATATAACTCATTGAAACATTTCAATTAAAAATAATTTGAATTCTTGGAAATGGAAATAGATTTGAAGCCAAATCTGAATTTCTTTGTTGAAACTTATCCGTTAAAATCGGAAATTGAAATTATTTCGGATGAAATAAAATTTTCAGATTAAATTCTTTACCAAAAATTTATTTTTGGAGAATGCCATTAAAAAAATGAATTCACTTACTTTGTTTCTCTCAGTCGCTTTCAAGGAAGTTCCAAGTATTTCAAGAAAATGCAAAATTTTCGAATAATTTAAACTTCAATAATTTAAACTATTATTGCCCTTATTTTTGCATTATGATTTAACAATATCAGCATATACTAATAATAATTATTGTTATGAATTTTATTTTTTGTAACAATTATCATTATTAATTTTATTTCTTGCTCTTTCAAAATACTGGAAATGTCGATTTCAGCAAATTTTCTGAATAGGCATTAAATGCGATTAGAAACAATTGCATCTTTTTGCTTTGTTACTTTTTGCTCAATAATCTCTCTAGTATTTAGCAATTTAATTAACTAATTAAGTAATTTATTTATTTATTTATTTGCTTTTATTTCTTTTTCAATTTGGCTCTTTTTGGAGCTTCGTCGCCTTTGTGTCTTTGGCTGAATTTCCGCATTTTCTTTTTGCCTTTTTCCTTTTCGTTTCCTTCTCCTGTTTCTCTTCTTTTCCTTTTCCTTTTCTGATCTCATTTGTTTTGTTTGTTTCCTGGTAGCCTAGAGAGCTGCATGCGCTGGCTGAGTCTGTGTCTGGCGCTAACGGACTGTCTGATGAATTGGTGAATTAATTGAAAAAATAAAGACAATGAAATAAATAAACAAACAAATAAATAAATTAATAAACAAGATAGTTTATTGATTAATTGACCCATTAATTCACCCTAATCGGCTCCACTTTCCTGCGTTCAAGAAAATTCAAAAAGTTTTTTGAAAAGCATTCAAGGTTTTGTTTCTTTCTGTTGTCGATACACCTCAGAGGCGGCAATAGTCACTTGTCAATTATAATAATTCATTTCTTTCATTTTACCTCTTGGGCAATCAGAATAGTGAATAGTGCAAATAGGCAGCAGCTCCGGCTTGTGGGCCATGGCTTGTGGCCCTAGCAGCAAACCCTAAACCCTAAACTCTAGTGCCTCCTTTGATCTTATCTTTTAGTTTCCCTTTGCCTCTGACTTAATACCCTTTGTCTCTTTGCTTCTTCTTACACCTTTGCCCTCCTTTTCTCCCGTTCTTTCCCACCAGCTTCCCCGCCGCCGCTGCTGCTGCTGCTGCTGCTGCTGCTGCTGCTGCTGCAGGTTTCTGGCGAACGTGGACCCCACAGACGTGGCCCGCAGCGTGGAGGGACTGTCTCCAGAGGAGACTCTTGTTTTGATCATCAGCAAAACTTTCACAACTGCGGAGACAATTCTGAATGCCCGGTCTCTGAAGCACTGGCTGCTACAGGGCATTGGCCGCGAGGACCAAATTGGTGAGCGCAGCAGCAGCAGCAGCAACAGCAGCAGCAGCAGCAGCAGCAGCAGAGGCGGAGGCGGCAGGGGCGGGGGACCGGAGGCGGCAGCGGCAGGGCTGACGCGGGCTGCAGCAGCAACAGCAGCAGCAGCTGCAGCAGCTGCAGCAGCAGTAGTAGTAGCAGCAGCAGCAGCAGCAGCTGGGGCGGGACCACGCAGAGATAATTTCCATTCATTTTATCAAAGCTGTCTTCTCTTGTTTCTTCTTTTTTTATTTCTCGCTTTTTTTTTATTTCTCATTTTATCTTTCCTGTTTCCTTTTTTTCTTTTCTTTTTTGTCTTACTGGATTTCCTCTTGTCCTTTTTGTCATTTTCCGTTCTCCCCTTGGGATTTTATTCTTTTTGTTTTTTCACCTTTGTTTCATTTTATTCTTTTTATTTTTGAAATCCTTTTCGTTTTTCGTTATTTTCGGGCACTCTAAATGCTTTCTTGCAAAGGTATATAGGCGAAGCCGTTCGCGCGAAAAGGGTTTAGGGTTTAGGGTTTAGGGTTTAGGGTTTGTGGGCGGGTGTGCAGGCCTGCATCTTTGCGCCGTCAGCACCAACCTGGAGCTCACAGCCAAGTTTGGCATTCAAGACGACAGAGTCTTCGGCTTCTGGGACTGGGTTGTAAGGGTTTAGGGTTTAGGGTTTAGGTTTTACGGTTCAAGGTCTAGGGTTTAGGGTTTAGGGTTTAGGGTTTAGTTTTAGGAGTGAATGTAAAAATCCAGACTCCGCGAAGGCTGTAGGCCGCGAGGATTTGAATGCTGATTTGCGGCATCCCGGGCCATATCCGCTCGAGTAAGGGTTTAGGGTTTAGGGTTTAGGGTTTAGGGTTTGGAGTTTGTGTTCAGGGCGGGCGTTTCTCGGTGACTTCAGCTGTAGGGGTTTTGCCTCTGGCCATTCATTATGGCTATGACGTTGTTGAGGAGTTCCTGAAGGTTCGCTGAAACCCTAAACCCTAGCAAACTCTAAACCCTAAACCCTACAAAACCCCAAACCCTAGCAAACCCTAATCCCTAAACCTCAGGAGCCCTTATTCGGCCTGGGCTGCGAAACCCTGCGTGCCCGAGGGTCTAAAGCCTAAACTCTAATATATCCTAAACCCTAGTGGTGGAGGCGTTCCAGCGGGTTTAGGGTTTAGGGTTTAGGGTTTAGGGTCTAGGGTTTTACTTGTGAATGGCCAGCGCCAGCAGTTCTACTGCAGCTTCGGCGCTTCGGAGCTCAGCGTTGCAGTTTCAAGGCTCAGGGTTGCTTTCTGCTGCCCAGCCCTCGGGTCCTAGGGTTTGGGGTTTAGGGTTTAGGGTTTAGGATTTAGGGTTTAGGGTTTGCGCGCAGGGCTGCCATGCAATGGACCAGCACTTCTTGACGGCCCCAGTGTCCGAAAACCTCCCAATGCTGATGGGCCTTTGCTCAGTCTTCAACTCTTCAGTTTTGGGACTCAACTGCGTCGCAGTGCTGCCTTACTCCCAGGTCTGCTGCTGCTGCTGCTGCAATGCTGCAATGCTGCTGCTGCTGCAATGCTGCTGCAGCAATGCTGCTACTGCTGCAATGCTGCTGCTGCTGCAGTGCTGCTGCTGCTGCAGTGCTGCTGCTTCTGCAATGCTGCTGCTGCTGCAGTGCTGCTGCTTCTGCAATGCTGCTGCTGCGGCCGCTGCTGTTGGTGTTGCTGTTGCTGTAGGGGCTCCTTAAACCCTAAACCCTCCTAGGGCAACAGCCTCCTAAGCTCTAGAAGCTAAACCCTAAACCCTAAACCCTAATTTCGTTGGTTTTTTGTTGCAGGCGATGCACAGATTTGCTGCCCACATTCAGCAGCTCACGATGGAGAGCAACGGTAAACCCTAAACCACCGATTGGCCCCAAACCCTAAACCCCTATTCAGAGTCTCAGGGTTTAGGGTTTAGGGTTTAGGGTTTACAGCAAATGCTTTTCTTGTTTTGGGGCCCCAGGCAAAGGCGTGGACCTTGAGGGCAACAAATTGGAATATGAGGCGGGAGAGATTTACTTCGGAGAACCAGGGACCAATGGTCAACACAGGTCTGCTGCTGCTGTTGCTGCTGCTGCTGCTGCTGCTTCTGCTGCTGTTCAGTCCTCTGCTGCTGCTGCTGCTGTTCAGTCCACTGCTGCTTCTGTTGCTGTTCAGTCTGCTGCTGCTGTTGCTGCTGCTGTTGAGTCCGCTGCTGCTGCTGCTGCTGGTCGGGCCGCTGCTGCTGCTGCTAAGGTTGCTCTTGCTCAGGTTGCTGCTGCATCTGCTGCTCAGGCTGCGGGTGCTGCTCTTCCGGCTGCTGCTGCTGCTTAGGCTGCTGCTGCTGGGGCCGATGCTGCTGCTGCTAAAGCCCGTGCTGCTGCTGCTGCTCTGGCTGGTGTTGCTACTCTTGCAGAGGCTGCTGCTGCTTCTTATCTTGCTGCTGCTGCTCATGTTGCTGCTGCTGCTGACTGTTGTGTCGACCGGGCAGAGAGTGAAGGGAGAGCTTGCCCCTAGGATTTAGGGTTTAGGGTTTAGAGTTTAGGGTTTGGGATGTGTGCATAGCTTTTACCAGTTGCTGCACCAGGGCCGCGTGGTGCCTGCGGAGTTCATCGGCTTCCAGAAGAACCAAAACCCTATCACGTTGGAGGTACCTGCTAAACCCTAAACCCTAAACCCTA